CCCCCCCCGCCGCGCCCCTGCCGTCCCCCCCCCCCGCCCCGCCGCTGCTCCCGCCCCCGACCTCCACCCCGGCCACCTGTGACGCGTCCGCCTCCAGCACGCCCACCACGCCCACCGCGCAACACCTCCCCACCTTCAGCCAGCGCCCGCACGGCCTGCAACCGCCGCCCAACAGCAGCAACAACAACACCCACCAACACCAGCACCACCACCACCACCGTCCGCACCATCACCACCACCACCTGCTCGCGTCCGACACCACGCGTCTGCCGCAGCTCGACCACCGCACCCCCGCCGAGCGCGAGGCCTCCTCCGCCATGGCCAGCATGCACCACGACACGCCCACCGCCCAGCTGCTGCCGCCCCCGCTGCAGCACAGCCAGCACCAACACCAGCACAAGCCCCCGCCGTACCCAGACTCCAGTGGCCCCCGATCCTTGGCCCTGGGACTCAGCGGCTTTTCGCGCCATCACGGTGGCGTGTCGTGAGAGATCCCCAGAGTTTATCGGCGATGGTTTGATTTCTTGCTTTTTTTTTTTTTTTTTTCCATATACCTTATTTTTATCTTTTTTCAGTTGTTTGAGCTGTTGTGGAGGTGAGAAACTACATAGCTACTGACTGGGGTTTGTTTTCTGCTGTGCAATATAACTTATGTTGACGGAGGGATGGATGGCTTTCTTTTCTTCGACTGTATCTGGTATCCCTACTATTTCTTCCTCTCTTGCTGCCAAAAAACCTATTTATATATATGTGCATGTATATATACTCTCATTTCGTGGCCACTGTTTCCTTGTCCTTGGTGCGCGCGTGAAAGCTTTTCTCCATTGTTTCAAAAAAGTTGTAATAACTAATTACATACCTTTGAACCTGTCCTAACAAATCTGGAAGAGCGAGAAAACAACCACCGCTGCGGGTTCTTTGTGCTCGGGAAAGTCCTGCATATACATATTGAGAAAAGAAAGTCCATTTATTGATCGTTTCAGCATCGTCTGTTAGGGGGATCTTCTCGCCCGTATTTGTATCTCGCCAATTATAGAATAAAACAAAGAATAGTAGTTATCTATCTATCGTCAATCTCATTTGCCCAAGCATATCATTCTCAAATCACCCTCCCACATAAACCACCACAAAAATAAATGTTTTTTTCATAAATAGCAGATTATTGCATGCTTCCCTTTTTCTTTCGCACAGCCCAAAGCATTAGATAGTCCAACATCCTGTCACCAAGAAAAAAAAAATATCAAAAAAAAAAAAAAAACAAAAAACCCCCCGGCAAATTCAATTTAGTATATCCATCGTAAACCGGCGGCGGGCGTCTCGTCATAGGCGAATTCGTTAGAGGCAGCAAAAGTACTTTCGCAACAACCAGCGGTGCCAGAAAGATCGTTAGCAAAATCGTCGCTGCGAAAAGCACTCTGTGACGGGTAGCTACATGCAAACACACACACACACACACACACACACACACATATATATATATATATAAACCTCCTATCTCCAGCACATCATGCTACTACTTCCCCGCCTCTTCATCGCCCTCCTTGCCCGAAACGTACACCGAGACCGAGTTCTTGGTGGCGTACAGCGCGTAGCCCACCGCGGCGAGAATCACGAAGAGCACGATGATGATGATCGCGATCACCACGTTCTTCTTCACCATAGCTGGGCGTCTGTCCCCTGTATGTGTGTGTGCGCGCGCGGTGGTCTTGAGAGGAGCGGCGGGGGGCTGGACCGGTGCTGGGTTTCTGGTGAGACGCTGCGATGGGGTTGGAGGGTGATGCTGGTGCTGTTGGGAGGCCGTTTGGTAAACGGCGTAACGAGACTCGGAGGAATAATGGGGGGAAGGGAAGAGAGGGTGACCGTTTGGCAAGATTTGATGGAAGAAGTCTTGCGACTCGAGAACCGTTTTTCCTGGTCGTTGGGTGAATCTCATCGGGTCTGACGTGTAAATACTTCGGTTGGCTGGGCAACACGGCGATCCGCTCCAATGAACAACCTTAGCTGCTGAAGGATGGGCCGCGCACTGGCCTGTGATTCTGGTGAACGAGCATCTCAGAATGTTTCGACTCTGATTTCTCAGATGCTTAGTGGATTTACAAGGTCAATGTGCAGTGGAGAGGTGACGTTGCTGAGTCCCCGTAGTAGTCGATTGCTTGAAATTCACTATGCTCTATTCCCGCCAACTACTCTGTCGCCAAGTGGAAAAAGCACTCCATACTTTCCAGCCTTATAGCTCTCTTTAAGAACAGGGATATCGGACCAAAAAAAAACCAGAAGAAGTTCGAGCTTGCCAGCGGTAGATCTATTAAGCTTCAAAATCAAAGTTCTTTCCAAGCTGCCAACATATGACTTGTTCATGCAGTCAAACAATGACCTCCAGTGCCACACAAGTAAATGGATAACGCTGTGTAATGAGTCAGGGCGGTATGTAGATGAAAATGGCAAACTCAAAACGCGCTGTGGATTCGTATGCCCCAGAATCCCCCAAAATAGATTCATATACCATGTTTCCTGCACTAAGTAAAAGAAAAAGAAAAAGAAAAAAGTCGGCTCTAAACGAATCGTACGAAAAGCAATGAATAAGAAATCATCCACGTTGGATTCCTGACGACGAGCCAGGATAGTTCGACTCAGCCCCAGGGTGGTGGGAGCCATATGGGCTATGGTCTCGAGTGCCAGATGCCATCCTGACAGAGTTGTGAAGATCACCAACAGCCTGACGACTGGTTTCGTCATCATCCTCCGAGTCGGCCTCCGCTTCATTTGGATGTTCAACAACATCCTTCTGGGCCTCTTTTCGCATCGACGTGATCTTCATATAATTATACGTCCCAATGCAGCATGTCGTGACGACCAGGCCGGCGACGTTGATCAGCGTGAGTCGGTCGTCGTACAGAATCCCGGCAGCGGCAATGGTGATGACCTCCTTGAAGATACCGCAGATACTCAGCGTCACGACCGACGACCGCCGCAGGAGAGCGAATTCAGATGCAATCATGCAAAACGCGAGAGTGCCGGGAAACAGAAGAACTCCGAGTGCGGGGAGAAGGCCAAAGTGTTCGACGAGGGCTCCTAAGCCATTCCAGATGTGGAACGGCCCCTCGATCAAAAATGCAAGGGTAATTAAGGAGACAAACATGATTGGGGTAAGGAAAAACAGGGTAGAGAATGGATTTGACGTAGCAGGATGACGAAGAAGCATGAGCTGGGTGAGCGCCCATCTAAACCCGGAGAAAAATGAGGAAGCAATGATAAGGGAGAATCCAATGGCGTTAAAGGTAGCTTCGTCGGCAACCATCATCACAACTCCAATGGTCATAGCGCAGATGATCATAATTAACCTTATAGACGCGGTTTCGAGGCCAAGGATAAGAGCGAAAAGGAGAACGAATCCTAACGTAGAGGACTTGCACATGGTGAGAAATGTAAGCGAAATGAATTTCAGCGACATGTTTCCTAGGCCGATGTCTAATGACGTTGCGGTTCCACATGGGACTAGCCGAGTGAAATAGAATGCCTTGGTCAAGATGGGGCTTGCATTTGCAACTCCTCCGGCCATTGAGGGAACGGCTTGCGGAGCGGCTGGGTTTCGAGGTCGAAGTTGGGGGAACGAATAAAGTAACGTCGAGGCCAGGGTAAACTGGACAATCATGTGTACGCTCGTCGTGAATAGAGGGTAGGAAAAATTAAGGTGACTGGGATCAAACATCCAATTGTTATACTACAGTCGGGAGCTGGAGTTAGCGAAGAACTGTGAAGAATCCTGATGGATGGGTGTCTTACCAGTGATATCGACACGGAGAAAAAATACCAAAGCAGAATGAAAACAACATTTACCGCCAGCTTTCTAACCACATTCTTATCCGCCAGGTGTTTCTGCGCCAGCGAAAGAGAAATGTCTTTCGCGTCGGCCTCGTCCCGCCGCTTTCGCCGCAGCAAGCCTCTCTTCTTCCTCTGCTGCGTCGTCAGGCCCGCCTCCTCGTCATCATCAAAATTGTCCTCCGACGCAGTGTATTCCATTTCTGAAAAGCTGCCGTCGTCGCTGTGCTTAGCCAGCAGCGACACCCTATCCGAATTGCAGTCGTCTTGGTCTTGCCCCGTGATTGATCCGCCTTCTTCCCGCTCGTTTGCGCTCGTTGCTGCGGCCAACAGCGCAGGTGCTTGTGGATCGGAGGTTGAACGGCTGCTTTGTAGCGTTGAGAATCTGCGGGAGGCTCCTATCTCCTCCTTCGGGCTCGCAGCATGAGTGGTCGGTGAATCAATGCCCATCACTGGTGCTCCCGGCCTAGTTCGGGGTACTGTGGTCAAAACAGGCTTGGCGTCATATTCTCAAGCCATAGGGTAAGTCTGTAAAGAATGGGAGGCTGGAAGAAAATGCCAGAGAGGATCCACGAGCGTTGGTAGTGGGCACGGCTCTGTTGTGGTGGTTGGTAGTTGGATGGAGACCGGGTTCAGCCTGGACTCCAGTTGTTCCACCTCAAACTCAACCTACCACTGAATTCAAATTCTGATTCCTGACCAGCCACTAGCTACCGGTTACTGTGTCCACGGCTAAAGGTATTCCCTACGGAGAATTAAAGCCAGGGATATAGCCTAGCCTTTTTCTTGATATTACTTTTGGATGTTCAAGGCTCTCTGTCACGTTTTTACATGGCAGAACTAGCTAAGGGGGATTCTTGGGATTAAATACTGCATGAATGACGTAGTGCCACATAAGTAAGCAGTCATAGCAGCGTACTTTATTTAGTGAGTTAGCATTGCAGTCGATGGTTGTAAAAACTAATCAGATACTACATATCATCCCTGCACAGCCTGATATAGATCTTCCATCATTAGTCTTCGGTACTTTGTAATGTTTCTTAAACCTCACATCACCGATAAAAGAATGGGAATGCTGTATAATGCTCAATTGGGCGAGTGCACATCATGCAAAGCTTATTATTAACCACTCTTTTATATTCTCTTGAATATATTAACCGCCCTTTCTCTGCCCTCCATTCGAAGTGTTAGGAGAAGACCGAACATTACTTCTTGGGACTGCAACGGCAGCAGCTCGTAATTCGCGACCACGGTCTCTCGACATCGAGGCAGATGCGCCAGTGGATGGATTCGCATTCGCAATAGAGTCCGTCTGGGGAGTATCGGGAAAAGCGCTACGCAATTCGATTTTCTTCCTTTCCATTTCAAGCTGCACAGAAATATTACTTTCATTAGCAATTCACTCCATGCATTGGAAAAAGTTGGAGAATTGTATACATACCACCTTCCGCACCCTGATCAGAGCTGCACTCACGCCATTCTCTGTCATTAAGGAACGGCAATCTTCGACACGATACGGCTTAGATATGATGACGGTATCCGCCACCACAATACTTGTCCCATCCCACCTTGCCGGCATGGTCCGGCTAAAAGCGTCAAACAAATCCTGCGCCTCCTTAGTCACACCTTTCCCTCTACGTTCCTCACGCTCTTGCAGCTGTGCGACGGCAGCCGCTTCCCGGGCGCGCAGGGCTTTAATATCAAGCGGATAAATCGCCGGGACTGCATCGGTGAAAGGCCCTGGGTTTTCTGAGTTCAGGTTCGGGTGCTGTTGGGAAAGGGATAAGAGTTGGAAACTTTGGATACGGCTGATCGGGATGACATGAAAATCACTGGGCTGAGCCAGTGCAGGTGCTTCTGCAGAAAGTGCAGTGGGCGGTGATGTGTTGATTGCAATCAAGTTGGTAATAGGACAGGCAGTAAACAAGCTCCCTTCCAGTGTAGTTGCAGTCGGAGGTGCAGTGGTCACACGAATACTATTCAACAGATCTGCTATCAGCAACATTCATCACCAAGAACCACAGTGCCACCATTACCATGTAATACTGTCTCTCTTCTCTTATGTATGAAAAGAAAAATATGACTTACCGTGCACCAATTGCTCCACTTAGTGCCACCTCCAGACTCACAGTTCCGGAGGGCCCCGGATTGGGTGCCACAGTGCCACTTGGGCCTTTCCCACTGCTAGCATGGCGCTTATTCTCTGCAGCCATGTTGGGATGTCCAGAGGACATCACCCCCTTTCGTAGCGTCACTTTGAAGGTTTTAAAAAAGAAACAGCCCACAAGGGTCTAAGTTCACGCGTTGAGAATGCAAGCACTTTGCTTGCCTGCCACCATAGATGTGACAGCTCCAGGCGCTTAAGAAGGTCCAGAGAGCATATAGATTGGCAGTTCAAAGGAATCACACTTATCAGCAGGCTAGATGGGACAGACAGTGCAGTGGTGGAAAGCAAGTGTTTGGGTGGCTAAAGCTCTCAGAGGCAGGAAAGGAATGACATGAAGAGAACAAAAAACCAGGACGGAGAATTAAAAGCGTTACAGGATAAATAGCAGTAGAGGGATATTTAATGCCTCCGCCAAAGGAGACCCCACTTGCAGGCAGGGCTGGTGAATGAGTTGGTGAGATGTGTTTCTGGTGCAGCGGGTGAACTGCAGACAGGCCAAGCCAGTTGTGCCTGCTTTGTGACTGGCGCGCGGCAAACAAATTAGGTTTAGCGCCACTGCCCACCGGCATTGCTTGGAACCCTTACTTCATGTAAATTAACATGCAATGGACAAAAGAATGCCTCATCTGGAGGCTCTATGTTGAATTTATCTGGCATCTTAGCCGTCAGAATTGTGTTACACTACTTGCTTATGGATGTTGAGGATGAAAAATATGACTTAAAGTACAGCAGAACTGCCAGTATTGCACTTTGTAATTCGGATGGAAAAACATCGGAAATCCTATTGCCCAGCGAAGTCGATAGGAATGTGATGCAGTGATATTGTGGGTTTCAGTAATTTTTTTGTCGCAATAAACGGGAGCGAAAGACTGGGGGCTTCCCCTTGCTGGAGGCCAACCGTTGTGCTTAGACTTGATAGGTTGAAGCTGAAACGTTGCCGCCACGGCCAGTCCAGTTGACATGGACATTCGTACCCTCCGGGTACCTCTCGTTGGCGCATTCTGGTTTGACCAAGAAAGTATGGGCACCAAAGTAGTCACGCTGAGCCTGGAGAAGGTTTGCTGGTAGGTCGTGCGAGCGGTAGCCATCGTAGAAGCTAAGTGCAGTCGAGAAAGCAGGAGCAGGAATACCCCATAGAGTTGCCTTGCTAACCACATCACGCCATCCTGGCTGAGCCTTGTGGATTGCCTTGTTAAAAAAGTCGTCAAAGAGGAGATTCTCGAGGTCTGGGTTGTTGCGATACGCCTTGGTGATATCCTTTAAGAATACAGAACGGATAATACAGCCACCACGCCACATCAATGCAATCGATGGCTTATTGAGTTTCCAGTTGTATTCTTTGGCAGCCTGTCAATTTTGGTTAGTGTTTGCCTCGAGTACCTCTTCCAATCCAGGGCAACTCACATTCTGCATCAGCATGAAGCCCTGAGCATAAGAAATAATCTTCGACGCATAAAGAGCTTGCTCCAAGTTATCTATAAACTCCTCACGGTTGCCAGAGAATTCGGGCTTAGGCCCTCCAAGGATCTTGCTAGCGCGAACACGCTCAGGTTTCAAAGCACTCAAGCAACGTGCGAAGACAGCTTCTCCTATCAGAGTGACGGGCATTCCGAGATCAAGAGCATTGATGGCTGTCCATTTGCCAGTACCCTTCTGACCAGCTGTGTCCAGGATTTTTTCGATCAGTGGCTTTCCGTCTTCGTCGTCATAACGCAGAACGTCCCGAGTTATTTCAATCAGGAAGGAGTTCAAAACTCCCTTGTTCCACTTCTCGAAAATATCACCCATCTCCTTTGCAGACATTCCAAGGCCACGCTTCATGATATCATACGCCTAGATTTCTTAGTTAGCTTCAATAACCCTCTTGCTAGCTCAATGATGCTTACCTCACAGATGAGCTGCATATCCCCATACTCAATGCCGTTATGAACCATCTTGACATAGTGACCTGCACCCTCATCTCCAACCCAGTCACAGCAGGGCTCGGCATCGGTCTTGGCGGCAATGCTTTGGAAAATATCTTTGATATAAGGCCAGGCCTCCTCGTTTCCTCCCGGCATTAAGCTAGGTCCATAGCGAGCACCTTCCTCACCACCAGATACACCGGTTCCAACAAAGCGGATTCCGCGCTCACTGAGGTATTTGCAACGACGATTGCTATCTGGAAAGTGGGAGTTGCCACCGTCGATGATGATATCGCCAGGTTCAACGAAGGGTAGAATGGATTCGATGAAGTCATCAACAGGCTTACCAGCCATGACTAGCAGCATAATTCGACGAGGCTTCCTGAGTTTGGCACAGAATTCCTGGATAGAATGTGCTCCGATGATAGTTTTTCCTAGAGGCGAGTTAGGGTATTGCAGGTGAGCGTGCGCCATTCAGCATATAAAGCCCACCTTTAGCTTCATTTTCTAAGAATCGATCAACTTTTGAAACTGTTCTATTGAAAGCTACAACGGTGAAGCCATGGTCTGCAGCATTCAGGATGAGGTTTTGGCCCATCACAGCCAAACCGATGAGGCCGAAATTACCACTGGGCGTGTGATGCGCAGAGGCACCGACATTGATGCCGGCCAAGCGCGCTCTGAAGTCAGCTCTCAGTTTGTAACATCACAATGGGGCGAAGTTGTAGAGATCATAGCAGAATGCGAGCGGAGAGAATCGAACGGCGGAGGGTTGGCACAACTTACACTGCTTGATCAGCCATGGTTGACAGGGCTTTGTAGGGAAAGCTTTTGTGCGATTGTAATGGCGGCGGTGGGCCTAGGTATCTAAAAGACTGAATGCCAGAGAGAGGAGAGGAGTGGGAGCTGTTGTGCAACGCAGGGCGGAGAAGGTCTAGGTAACGGAGGTTATTAGTGGGATGCTTCAACCAAGTTCGCCCATCAAGCATGACATCTCCGAACTTACTAATACGATCGCATACGAAGGCGGAATGTGCGGCGGGAGGGTTCTCCCTCCTGGAACCCGGCGAACGGGCCTTTTAAGTACTTCTATGCTCTACAACAGGCGTCCTAGCACGACATCATGCGTGTCATCAAGACATTCTGGCGCTCATACACAGCTGGGCGGGGCATGGCGGTTTTGGGTCTTAAGTAACTAATGAGGGGCAGGGCGGTGGTTACAGGTTTGCCGGGAGTTCGCAAGCAATCAGGTCCTTTACAAACCTCTTCCGCTCCAGCGCCCGTCAAGCTTCGAATCGCAGAGCAGGATCGGGATTGCGGCTGGCGACCCCCGGCCTGGCGAAGACTGATCTCAGCGCGTCCATCCGCCGCCATGAAGCAGCCCCTCCATCCCGCATGCTCTGGCGGCCCACCTGAATCCCACGCCGGCCCGATCAGGAGTTAGTCAGCACGACTAAACGGGAACTCCGGAGCTAATGTTAATTAACAACCTTATGTAACTAGCTAAAGCCTTGTATCACGTGCTTTGGATCTTCCGTGAGTTTTATACTACCCGCGACGGAGTAGTTTAATCACTTTGGATCCCAACCCGCTCAGATCTTGATCAGCCATACTCCGACACAGTACTCCATATCGCCTTTCCACTGCCCGCGTTTACCCAGCACATGCACGGATCCTGAAAATACACTAAGCACAGCGATAGAACACCGACATCGGCTCTATCAATACCTTCCAGGAACGCCGTTGGGTATTCTGAAATCTGAGACGTGGCTGTGGCCAAGGTACGTGTGTTTGCTACTGTTGCACGCTTGCAACGAAATCCATCTGGTCTTGTCGGCGAGCATTTCGTTCATCATGTCGTTTCCACCACCTCCAGGTTTCCAGCAACCGCCTCGCCCTTCCTCCACTCAACAGCAGCCCCACGCCTCCCTTCCTCCGCGACCTCCTTCCACCTCCCTTGCTAGCTCGGCTCCCCATAAACAAAGCAATGGTTCGAACTCCACCGGTTATAATGGTTTCGGCGGATTCCAGCCACGCTCCGTAGCGGCTAACCAGACATATCGCTCACGTACCACGCCAGCTAGCCCTACAACCTACAGTTCTGGTGCTAGCTATTCAACACCGACTGCATCATATAGCTCCAATTATCAGTCTCAGCCACAGTACCAACAACCACCTCAGCTTTACCCACCTCAATCAAGCACCTATTATTCACAACAGCAGTATGGAAACAGCAATCATGCCCAGTCTGCAACTTCCCAGAGGGCGCCTTATTCTGCAGCACAGGATCAAAGTACATACGGCTATGGCTCCAATAACCGTGGATTTGGGCACCAGGGCGAGTCTTCTGTGGACGCTGAAACTGAAGCTCAGATTGCTCAGTGGCAGAGCGCTTATATGAGCAAGGATGAAAATAATCAGTCTGCTGGAAGCAATAATAGAGGCGCGGCGGGACGGAGAGATGACGCTTCATCAGCTACAGGTGCCAATACAGGTCCCCTTGGAAACTCTCAGCGTTTTCATGACAGTTCTGCTACCTCCACCCCACCCAGTACCACTCAAACCTCTACAGCAACCCCCGCTCCCGGCCAGATAGGCCCCCAGAAGACCGTCATGCGTTCTGGAGGCGGCCAGACCTGGACAGACTCAACCCTCCTTGAATGGGATCCTGCGCATTTTCGACTGTTCTGCGGCAATCTAGCTGGTGAAGTCACAGACGATTCTCTTCTCAAAGCATTTTCGAAATACCCATCTGTTCAGAAGGCCCGCGTTATTCGGGATAAACGAACGGAGAAGAGCAAGGGATACGGGTTTGTGAGCTTTAGTGACGGTGAAGATTATTTTAAAGCAGCGCGAGAGATGCAAGGCAAATATATAGGCTCTCATCCCGTGCTTCTAAGACGAGCAATGACTGAAATCAGGCCCGTCGCCAGCGGTAAAGGCGGTGCGAAGAATCAGAAAAAGGGCAGAAATGTCCATGGTAGTGGGGCTGGCGGTAAAGATTCAAAGGGGGGCGGTAAAGGCTCTGATGGCGTCCAAAAAAAGCAGTCCAAAACAAAGGGTGGCCTACGAGTACTTGGGTGAAACGCTGGCCATGTGCAGTTGACATACTTTTTCCCCCTACGCGGACAAACTGTTGATCCCAGCACTGTATATTTGAGACCAGGCATGGCTCATCTTACCTGTCTGATGCCATAGATTTGGGGAACGTCCCATAACCTTAACCTATTGCCTACAGCTTAGCGTTTAACAAGATACCATAGTACGTGTCTATGTGCAGTGCCTCTACATGAAATACAAATGATTGTCTGAAAGCTGTCTTAAGCTTATGTCAAAGTTTTATACATATATCATTTGGGGATTATACTTTTTGTTATCATTCAACTAATTTTGTGATATCTAATAACTTCCTACCAACATATCTTTACCCAATACAACATCTCGACTTGAAATATGCAACTTTCACAAAGCTATTATTATAAATGATTAGCAAGCTGCTCTGTAATATCATGCATAGATAACATTCAAATATACTCCCTCCTGCAACATCTCTTTTCTCATACTGTTTGGCGACAGGAGGAAAACTTCAAAGCGTAAAATCAATACAAAAAAAAATCACTGTTTAGTTTAGCTCCACATCACTAATTGGTTCCAACTTGTTTGCTACTTACTCCATACCATTGAATTATTAGAGAAGACTCATTATAAAAGAAGCAGCGACAGTCCAAAATTCATAACTACGGCAAGTGTGAATTTCACTGTCTTCAGAGGTGGGAGTATCAAGTACTACTTGCCTTCCAATGGACGTGAAGAGCCTCACTCTGGGTTGCTCGAGGTTCTCTTTACCAATCATTTCCCTACTAACCCCTAGCCACCACTGCTGGTCATTCGTTTTTATGTATTTTAGTATTGGGAAGTTCTAGGCTATGTTGTAATATACTATCTGTACTGTTTGTAAGATTTTCCTATTGTAGTATCAAGTAATAAGTCATAGCTGACCAGGAGGCAGTCTTTAGGTGCAAAGGATTTCGATACTCTATCCTGATACCAGGTCGCCTTTTATTATCCTGACCGACACGTTTGTTGAGTCGTCTCTTGGTGAACAAGAATGATATACAGAGTCGAAGACGAAACGGGCCCCGATGACTCAGACTCAGAGGGGACCATAGATACTCCAGGGAGTTTAACCGATTCAACTGCGAATTCGTTGTCATCCACTATCATCTATGAAGACTCAGAATGCCCACCGCCTACTCCCATGGAATTCACATGGCAGTGCCATTGGTGCTGGAATGAATATGCATTGGGAGTCACCAATAGGTGTCTCATAGACGGACATTATTTCTGCCCCGGTTTGCGGAAAACGGCACAGAAACGAGGTAAAGCCGCACATCGATGTGTCTCCTATTTTGACTTCAAAGGCTGGAGAATGGTGCGTCGATGGCAGCAAGCTGTTCGAGAAAAGAAGCTAGGTATTAGAAAAAGAGATTGCTGGAACAAATGCTCGTATCCGTCAGAGTGCATCTCATTAACCCCACTATCCTTACCATGGGGCAACATATCCAAAGTGCCACTAGTACGTCACGTTTTGTAGACTGCACTGTGTCGTATGTTGAAGCTAACTGATCCTTCACCGAAAGTCAAACTACCGGGCTATGTCGCGAATCCAGAGAATTAAGCCTCTTTCAGAAGCTCAGTACACGGACATCTTCCCAGATGAGGAGGAGTTTCCGGTAGGACAAAGCGGGCTAGACACTTAATTCTGAGATTGCTCACCAGGCCACAAGGTCTGGCTCGTTATCTGGTAGTCTTTTCACATCCAACAGCCCGGAACCTCGAACATTTGTTGAACCGGGGCTGCGTAGTCTTGCCGTGCATTGTCTGGAACCCATTTAAGTGTTCCAAAAAATTCCATAACCTTAAACTTCGCACCGCTGGTAGTTATAGTCAGTCAGCCATTGAAGGGTGCTTTGAAATTATGAACGGACAACATATGCCGTCTTATTTGAGACACCCTGTGGCGGCAGCACTCTGTAGCCCAACATCAACCGTATTCTTATTCTCGCGTTGATGTTACTTTCGTTCATGTCTGGTCCGCAGTAGAGTTATCCTAGCGGCGGCTAACCGTGACAAGCTAGGCTCCTGTGCGATGGCCAGTTGTAACAGTAGGATCGAGGCTGTTCTCGCTGTTAGCTTCGGAAGCGAGGGCCATGACAGTCAAGCGGTTCGTCAGGAGTTGCGATAATAATTATTCCATCCCACAACGGCAGCCTCCTCCGCTTTAGTTAGTTAGCTGATGCTTGGCCTCTTCGGAATATTATTATCCAGTCAGAGCGATGCCCCCAAATACACTTTTCTGGGATGTCCAGTATTCGCATTGTGACACTTGTTGAAGCTGTCTCTTAAATCAAAGCTTGAAAATCTGCCGAGAGCTTCAACCCTGTTGACCGTCTTGGGAGCTACTCCTATGCTGGGCCTTCTTATTCCTCTGTAGGGATCCTATATTTTCTGTGCGCTATGCTAGGCACCAGTTCAGAAGGGCAGAGCGGAAACGGCACGCCGTCCATAAAGTCCTTTCTGGCTCCGCTGGCCTTGGACGATGCAAACATATACGAAATATCGTACCGTTTATCCAAGGTGTACCAGGATTTAGCACGGACAGGAGAGGGTCACTTTTTCCCGACACCCGTTACTTATTTGCCTACTGGCAAGGAGACAGGATTTTTTCTTGCCATCGACGTGGGTATAACGAATCTTCGTGTTGCTTTCATTGAATTGTTAGGAGATACTTTGGAAGGCACACGCGACGGCACGTCGACGGCTGAGTCTTATATCGTTAATAATGCCATTCCCAAAGTATGGCAGAGACGGGTTAGAAGAACGTTAGAGAAAGCATGGAGGATTGAAGAGCATTTGAAAGAGGATCCAACGGACAAACTGTTTTCATGGATTGGGAGCTGTATTGCGGATGTCGTGACCGACGAGCTCAACTCGGGTCACTCAGAGTTCCCGGTGGAGTTGACGACAGGTCTATCATTCAGTCTACCCATAAGGTAGCTTTCCCTTACCGCTCCCTCGTATTGCCCTGTGCTCATAATATTTCTAGACAGGAATCACTTGGGGAAGCCACCCTGATGCCAGTGGGCAAGGCATTTTATATCAGCGAAGATCTTGACCTGCGTCAGGCGTTGTTGGCTGGCTACGAGCGACACACAAAATGGATTGTCCCAGCAGAAGCGGCTATAAGCGACCAGCAAACCCATAGACTCCCAAAACTGAACATTGTAGCCATTGCCAATGACACGGTATCAACGCTGGTATCCCTGGCATATTCAGTTAAGTCGTTGCCAAACACGCGGGTAGCCATGGGCATTGTCGTGGGAGCAGGGTGCAATGCTACGGTCCTGATGAAACTTGAAGATCTCCATGACTCGAAGGCTCATCAAATACGCTCTTATAACGCAAGTGCAACAGAGGCTGTAATCAATACAGAATGGACGCTGCAAGGCACTGAGTCCCCATTCAAGGAGTTGGACGTGTTTACAAAGTGGGATATCGAACTTGATTCCAAGACCCATCGCCCCGGTTTTCAGCCGTTTGAATATTTGACAGGAGCTCGCTATATCGGTGAGCTCGTTCGTCTTATCGTTGTCGATTACTTCGTCAATATCATTGGCACATCCCATGATAGCCTCCCAGAATCGCTGATTACTCCGTATGCACTCACCACAGCATTTGTCTCCGACGTCATCGCCACATCACGCTCAGACACCGCTTTGGCCTCAAGTTTGAAAGCCCACCTTTCTCCTCCTGAGTCTAGTACTTGGGTTTGGACACCCGAATTTGCCAATGTGGTTCGTATCACCGCATCTACGGTCCAGACGCGTTCTGCCGCCCTAATTGCTGCTGCTTCTGTGGGACTTTTGGCCTGTAACCATGAAGTCAAACTTTCTGACCCCGCAGTGTCATGTCAGTCAAGTCAACTGTTTATAGAAAATTTGCAACAGCAAGATGCCCTATGCCCGACGTCTGGTTGGCATAGCGGGCCGGAAGAACTTGTTATTGCATATACAGGTGGTATCATCCAGCATTACCCGAATTTCAAAGAGATGTGTCAGGTATATATTGATCGGTTGATTATGAAAGCAGGCCCGCAGGAGGAAGGGAAGAGCGTATTGCTCAGAGAGGCTAGCGATGGCTCGATAATTGGCGCTGGAGTGCTGGCTGGAATGGTATCCCAAAAATGAGCAGTTGAAGTCCCTTGGAGCATATTTCAGCCATGGTTTGGGCTCGGTTGGCGCAAAGATAGAATTATGAACTTATAGACGTTATGGGAAATTGTCGCCTGATTTTGACCATCGCATGCTCTTTCTCTCTTCACCTTAGACCATTGCCGGCGCAGCATTGTATGGAGTTATGCTCAATCGACTGGATGTCTACTATCAATATAGCCTTTTAGTGATTGGTGATTGAACCTGATATGCGGCTATATGTTATTCTGAAAGACCACGTTAGCTTCGACCGTCTTCCATGTACATTTTAAAATGGGGCCTACAGATAACTGAAAAACAACGCGCAGGCGAAACTCGAAATCCATGCATCATGCATTCGAGTATTTCGAGAGAATAGCTAATACCAGCGTTTTAATTGCTGATTATAGAGCATTCAGTCCATAGTGCATAAAACAGATGATTAGGCTCAACCTCCCGCAGATGGTAGTAACCACACATGTATCATCATCCTTCCGTATCTTCGTCTTCTATACCTTTCCTTTTCCTGCCAACAGCCTTGGCTTTGCCAGTTGTCTTTCCCTTTGGGCTAAACATAGCTCGAATATTCTTTTGTTTCTTGGAGGTTTCTTTACTCTGTTTCTTATTGAAAAGCTCTTGTTGTTTTTGCCGTTCCTCTCTTCCTTCCTCTGATAGCTCTTTTTCTAGCGACACAAACTCTTCACTCTCCGCATCCATCCCAATCAAGCTCTCGAGGAGTTTGATTTCCCGAACCCAAACAGATTTATCTTCAACCATCACAGGCCTTGTCTTCGATTTTGCTTTCGTGGTAGGTGTGGTCTTGGAAGCTACAGATTTCTTCGTGCGCTTTTTTATAGATGGAGCATCTGTTTCCGATGCATTTGAGTCATCATGTTCGCAATCAGATACGATAGAACGTCCTTGTTGTTTTGACTTGACTGCATCTGCAGGCCTATCGATAGGTGTTTCCAGTATCATGGGCAGCCCTTCCAATCTTTTATCATTCATTACATTGTGAAATGCTCTTAACCCCAAGAATCCAGTGCCAATATTCGCGTGTAAGTCTCGTTTGCTTCCGAATGGCGTTTTAGAGTCATTAATATGCAAGGCTTTCAAAAATTTGAGTCCAACAACCTCGTCAAATTCTTTCATAAACGCGTTCCAGGTGTCGGGCGTGCGAAGATCATATCCAGCTGCAAATGTGTGGCAGGTATCCAAACAGATCCCCAACCGTGAGTGGTATGATTCAGGTATGAGCTCAATCAGTGATCGAAAGTGCTCAAGAGACCCACCGATGGTCGTTCCATGCCCACAGGTTGTTTCCAAAACAGGTATTACTGTTGTCGTTTCGTCAAGAGCTGCAATTAGGGCTTTAGCAAGGCGAGATATCGAGGAATCTAGAGTAGATTTGACTGTTGCTCCGGGACTGGGTGAGAAGTATTAGAATTTAGGCTGTGATAAAGAACTAGAACCGGAAACACTGACTGGAAGTTATATAGTTTTATTCCAAGTGCTTCACAGCGCTTCAAATCGTCTAAGAAGGAACTGTAAGCTTGTTTGGCCTTATCGGGATCTTCTTGGGCTAGGTTCACAAGATAAGAGCCATGAGGAAGGACGTATCTAATAAATGTTAACAACATTGTTTCAGAAAGGCGACACAACTTACTTCGAGGCATTATATTTGTGTTCGGAACACAAAGCTCGAAATTGATCCCTATGCTCATCTTGCAATGGAGGGTTATTCCACTTCCGCTGGGATTTCAAAAACAAAGCAAATGCATTTCCCCTATAGAAAGCTTAGCATTTCATTATAATATTAGTGAAATTACCTGCCCTTACCCAATATGCATACTGTTTGTAACTGCGTTTTGTACACCTATGTGTATGTTTTAGCCCTCCTATACCCATATAAAACACAAGTACAAAAAGTAACATCACTGACGTAACATAACTGTAAACCCACACACCTTTAGAGGCACTAACATGGGCTCCAACAAACATACGGAGCCCATGTGATCGAGGAGCAAGAGGTTTCATCTCTTCCAATTGAGCTCCTATTTTTGTCCCTTTCTTTAAGCTTGTTCTTTTTGATGTAGCTCCTGTCTCCTCCTCATTTATAGCTTTGTTAATTTGCTGTTTGTCTTCGTATTCTGCCTCAGAATTATTGGGCCAACGGCTTCGCTTTTGTGTAGGGCTGCTTGAGCGAGTCGTTTGGGAACTACCCTTCTTCAAGTTGGTAGTTTCGGTAGCGTCCAAAGAATCCGTAAAATTCCCTTTGGTGGGATCTTCTGCCTCAGCTAGGGACTTTCTTGGTCTTTTAAGATTGGGCGCAGACGATGGGTTAATGGCTGCGCAGTCTCGTTTCCCCGTTGTGCCATTGGTCTCGTCGGATCGTCTTGAAATTGCGCGTGTGGTCCGAGGGGCCATTGCATTAAAAGCGTATTGAGATATTCACACAGTCTGGTGGCAGGTTGGTTCCTAGCAAATCTATAGAGGAAGCTATGTAGAAATTATGCCTGAGGTCCGTCCAAAACGTGTTGAATTAGACGCGTGATCACGGGAGTCCATGGCTTAATAAGCATATATTTGCATTGTTTGCATTAAATGTTAATATTGCTAAGATACAGGGTACAGCCTTCTGAACAAGATATCAAAAGAAGAGAGTCATCCATCATGTCAACGTAAGTCATCCTACCTCAAGCACCTCCTCCTTCCATCGCTTGCAATGAAAAGTTAGAAAAATGCCGCTAATCTTTCTCTAATCCTAATCTAGCCCGTCGTCTAGCGACCAAAACCTCAAGCTTGTGTAGCTGGCCTTGGAGCCCTTTCCGACCAGCATTAGCCATAAGCCAAGCCTCCATCCGCTGGCGAACAAGCTGCATTGAATGGATAAGTGGTCCCGCAAGGCTGCTGCTACTAAGCGCCAAATTAGAATCCAGATTGACGTTTTCCTTGGACATTGAGCATTGCTGTTCAACATTCGTCCATTTCTCGCTAGCAGGATTAAGACAGAGGTCAAACACGTCAGACCATATTTCCCTTTCCCAGTACCTCTTAAGGGACTCCTTAATTCGATAGTTGCGGCCCGATGCAATACCAGGGCGGCAGCTTTTTGCGTTGTCGGCATTGGATACAACTTCCATGTATTTTCCAAATAGCATCACATAGATCACCCCTGCAAGGCCATAGAGATCGACTTGATATGTCCAGGGTCTGCATTCCCTCATTTCGGAGCACTCGTGCTCTGCGATCTTCCAGTCAGCAATAAACTGGACGCTGGGATTGAACACGTGCATGTCGATTGCGCGGCCAAAGTCGATTAGCATAAGACCCTTCTTTTCCCAACCATATGTCCCTGATGGACAGTAATCAAGGCCATCTGGATTAGCATTTGTAAATGGGATATTTGAAACTTCCTCAAGTCGAACCAGACAATTGTCTGCCTTGAGGTCTCCGTGAATCACCCCACTTGCATGCAACGCCTCGACAGTGCGGAATAGCTCAATAGCAAAAAACATTACGACAATTTCACTCAGCCCTGGATCTTGTCCAACATTATTTTGGACGCCCATGTTGACCAAGTCAATAAGTGTCCCCTGGTTTCGATATTCCTCTATTAGAATCGCTTCGTCTTTGAAATGGTGAAGTTCATGAGCTTGTACGATGCTGTCCTTTGCGCGTTTATAAGCAGTTGACCCATTGAGGCGAGAATGGACAGTGCGCAAAACATAGAACTCCCAAGCCGACGGAGGATCTGTTTCCACCTTGATAGCCTCAAAAAGCCCACGCTCAATGTTTCTAGTGGGCTTAACTTTCAAGCCCTTCGCCCTGGGAGAAGGTGTCTGTGGACTTGTGTCAGGGCTTTCACTGTCGTCTTCAGAGTCGGTGAACGTGTCTGGTGAATCGAGGCTTTCAACCAGGTAGACAGGGGCAAACCCACCCTCTCCCAACTGCCGTTTCACCTCATAACTTCGAGCTGCGCCTGAAAAGCAAAGAACTGGTGGTACCTCTGCCGGCTCGTCTCCGTTATTTTTTGTCCCTCTTGTTGTGTTCTTGAAATATTTTCTAATTTCCCCCGCGTTGCTTCCCATTTCTAACTTATGGTCATGATATTCGAGGTATGTGTGTAGCGCAGGCCTCACACTCCGCAAAATTTTTTGCTGTACCATGTTGTCCATAGGATTGCACTGGGGATCCGTGATAATCACAGGGCCGCTTCGTTTGAACGGGGATGATTTCGGAGGGGAGGATTTTATTTTGCTGGGAGAATCGATATCTTGAGTATACTCAAACTCGTTTACTTGAGTATAATCTTGAAAGGGACTGCCCAGAAGCAAATCGTCTATCTCTGGGATTGCTGGAGTCGCGGAAGGAATAAATGAACGACCAGCCTGACATGGCGTCTTGAAGCTGAGGGCCCCTCTCTCTCGAAACAAAGTAGAGGCCAAAGACGACTCGGTTTTCTCTAAAATTGGCGTCATGAAGGGCAGTCGACTTTGGGCAGCCATGTAAGGATCACGGTAAGGCCCAGTTGGGGGGTTATAGTCCTCAGGTTCAAGGGGAACAAACCTGTTCTCATCCATATCACCTTGAGCAGCAGAATGATCACCACCTTCTTGCTCCTCGTCTGGTATAAATTCAATAAGGGAACTGGAAAAATTTCCATCACTCTCAGAGTGTTGGGAGATATTTCCAGAACCCTGTATTTCTCTTCCGGAATGTATTGGAATGTGTTGAGCAGGGTTGAACTCAGTCCATTCACTGATTTCAGTTTTTGTTGGGTCAATAGATGGAGCTTCCGTGTTGACAAGCTGTGTTTGTCCAAAAGCACTGGTCTCGTCGTCACCAAACTCACTGTTTCCTGACGACATACGTCCAGTAGCTATACTTTCACCGGCGCTAACATATCCGTCTTCTTCACAATCACTATCATATTCACTGTCCTCACCCACCTTTAATTCAGCTTTCAAAGGCTGGTTGAAAATGCTATATATCTCATCAATTGCTGCACGAGTATGGAGGGTCATAGTGGGCTCAGAGGTATTTCTTCGCTTGATTTTTGGGCCAGTTGGGGAATCAAATTTCATTTTCACTGTAGCTTGTCAGTACAAGCTAAAGTGAATCGCATCTGGGCAGGGTTCACCTGTCTGGGTTTCTCCTTTGATTTCTCTCACTTTCAGCTTCCTTGGCTTCTCTTCCTTCACATCCTGGCACATTTCCACAGCTCTGTGGTTTTCCTTGTCTAATTGACATTCCTCTGTCACTGGCGCCCCCGTGGGTTCTAGCTTATTCGACGGAACTTTCCCATTTACACGGGTCACTGGTTGTTTGTATTTATTGCTTGACGTTTCTTTTAAAGCAATTTTCTTTTGTTTTGACCAATCTTTATTCATCCAGCCTCTGCTTAAAGCCCTTAATTCTTCAAGACTCATTTCATATGTTGGATTCTTGGGATCTGGATAAATTGCTGCTAGGTTAACGAAAACACGCTCGGCTTTCCCCGTTCGCGCATTGATCCTTTCTTTTTGGGTATGTGAAATATTTGGGATGGAAATAGGCTCTTTTGGTTCATTTAATAATAGATTCTGAGATACACAAAAAATAAAAAACGCCAGGGTTTTTATGCCAGCAATTAGTCCTGTGATCGTAAATATGAGGATGGTAAATAGATTCGGGGTAGGATTTGCAGCTTACCGGGTCCCTGAATATCGCCATCTTCTGGGTTGCATTTGGCTTCTTTCCAGCTTTCAATGTCTCCCCTGCCCATGGTCGCGGCTCTATCGTATTTTCTTTCTTCCTTTCCTGCATCGATCCGATGGTGTCCCAGCCTTTTGAAGCAGGCGCCACAGAGCTCGGCTCAGCATCGCCATCATTAAAAATCGCCATCTTTGGCTTTCTGCTACGTGTTTTTGCACCGCTCCCGGCGCCCCTCGTACTACTACCCTCTTGTGGATCGTCCGACGCTGACCTCCCCGTAGTTCCAAACGGATCGACTTTAGCGGCAAGGGCTGGTCGTACAGTAGGCAGTGCAGGTGAGGATGGTCCATTTGAATCTCTCGGCTGTTGCTCCATTCGGCTTTGAAAGGCTCCAAATTTGCGCAATAAACGTTCCGTGGGTCGAGCTTCTTTTTGTAATCCCAATTTATATACCTCTTCAGCCTGAGTATACCGGCCAGCGCCCTCAAGCCATGCAGCAAATTCTTCATAAAACAAAGCTAACCCCTCGCCAATTCCATGCCGTGACAAGAATGCGAACGTTTCTCTTGGAGAATCGGAGAATAGATTGATATAATGTAGCCAGAGACGTAGATATCGGGGGTCATTTTTGTAATGCGTTGATGGGAGGAATGCTTTTGTAGCTCGTTCGAGTAATGGGAGGAGGCCAGATTGGGGTGTCGCTTGGGCTGATGGAAAAGCATCTAAATTCCATTTCACATATCTGTCGTAGATGTCAAGAGGGTCGTCTGATTCGTTTATCGCTTGAAGCTCCTGCTCGAACTCGTGTCGGACCGCGTCGTTGATGGAATTCGTGCTATCAGGGCTGAATGGTGAGCGATGTCTATCGCTTAGAGGAGAGAACGCTGCAACTAAAGCCCTTGCTGATCTGCCGCTTGGTAGTGATTGGATGTTTTCTTTCTGGGTCTCGATTAAATCGAAGTTGACCAGATCTCCAGACCCCGACATGGTTACGGACCGGGTCTCAAAGACCTGACGATAAAAAGAAGGAAAATTATTAAAAGAAAATGAAATTAAGAAAAGGCTAACAAAGGGAGTTCAAAACGCTTCAACAGGGTATCTTAATGTTCGCTCATGGAAGCGAACGAAGATGTGATGAAACTTGTCGGGTTGTTGATCGCGCGTCTCGTTGCTGTGGAAACGCCGAACTCGCCACCCCGTTCCAGAACGCCAAAACTAACGTCGACTCTGCTGGAGCCTTCACGACGGGCCGTCTCTCCAGGTACGCTCAAACTATGTAGCCAGTAATTTACTGACATATGCCAAATTCTCTAACCTTTAGATAGTATATTTAGGCTAGCAGATAAACTGGCAGATACATCAGCAGTGCGTCCGCCAACGATGCACTCCCTTCTTAGTATGTCATCGATCTAAGATTTCTTTTCATTTCGGTGTACGGAGTACGGAGTAGCTACCAAGCATTCATAAATCCAAATCGGTGAAGCTGATCACAGCCTCCTTATCCCTTTTGAAATGCGGAAGCTATTAAGGACCTGATTATCAACGTGCTTTCCATCAACCAATGCCCTCCAAATTCATGGTTTTTTTTTTTTTTTTCAGTGGAAATAAAAAACTCATTGCCAACACTCATATTCAAGACAAAACATGTAATAATATCAAAAGTCCCGTACAGCCAACAAAAAGAATCCAACCTTTTGTTCGTATTTGCTTCAATACTTGGTAGACTAGCGAAGCTGTGTGCTGTAAAAACATCAGCATTCAACTTCTTGGAGGATTTCTAGATTGGTTTTCTATAAATTCATAAACGTAGCAAAGGACTGGCACCGGCGTGAGACTTCCTCAAATGCTAGCGCGGATGAGAAGGCTGCAGTGGAAATCGAAATTGTTGGGGGGAGGAATACTGATAGATACTCCTGAATAGATGGAAAGAAGAGTCGTTCACCTAAGTATTGCCCCCTTGAGATATCGATTTGATCAAGGCTCTACACACGAAACCCTACAATTACTCCGTACTTAAATTACCAAGGTGCACGAAGTATTACAAGGTACGAAGTTCCGCGGTCAAAATAGTACTGTATCGATTCATTTCTCATATGACAAGCTCATTATCATTGTCGTCGTCACCGCCATCCTTCCTTCCATCCATCCAACCAGGCAACAAAAACAAATCAATTAAACTTGCCAAGAAAGCCGAAGATATCAAAAGCTGGGGAGTGTCTAATGTCAAAGAATCAGGTGTTTTCTATGACTTTTGAGTGTGTCTGTCTGAGGAGAGAAAAGGGCCGGTGAAAAGAGAGAACAAAAAAGTAAAAAACCATCATCAATCATTCAATTCATCAAAAAGGGAAAAAAAAAGACCCCCTCATCAGTCAGGATGAACATAATATGGGGTAGATTGAAAAGAAAAAAAGATAAAAAAAAAATAAGAAAAATAAAACTCGAAAGAAAATTTCTTCACGGTCAAGGAACAAGGTGCTCCAAGGTGAATAGATCCGTTCTCTGAGGTGAAACTGAATGTCGAGAAAGAAGAGCAAGAGTATTGCCAAAGAATGGACAGGTTTAGTGAAATTCAAAGGAGCGAAAGGTTCAATGGCAAAACTCCCAAACTAAAGCGAGATAACAAAAGTATCGGGGCCAACTGAGGAAAGAATAGATAGATAGTTCAAGGTATGAACATATGCCACAAAACAAGGTCGATAGATAGCAAGAAAGGAGCATCTCCGAAATACCACCAAAGACGTTGTTAGTGCTCATATTAAAGAAAACAAAAAATAAAATCTTAAAGAAGGATTGTTTTTTGATAATATGCTGAGGACCTGACATGGCACCGGTGCCGGGAAACAAGCTTTGTAAATGGAACTACATGTTAGCGCGATCGATAGTTCTGCAGATAATCGACAAAAAAAGCGACTGAAAACACCATAAAATGGGAGGAGTGCAATGGCTTTACTGGTGGGCGGTAAATCGCATCTCGTTAACGGGCAGTAGGTATCGTTCTCTTTGTTTGAAAAGGTCTGAGTTCCTCGTGGAATCGTAAAAGTACAACGCTAAGGCGACTTGAGAAGCAAAGTTGCTGATGGCTAAGAGGACAAATGGCGGTATCAGGATCTAAGTTTTCATGTTTCGCACTTTGTGTTATAAGTAGTCTTGGTGGGCGTCAGGGGCAGGAACTTCGGGTGTTGGCGTCAACTGGGCGTCTGTGTAAAGGTCTTCTGGGGTCAGATGCGACGTAACAGTATTGCCGATCTCAAAGCGCGGAGTCTGGGCGTTTTGCAGGCTGGCAGCTCTTGCGCGAGTAGGTTTCCAAAGAATGAATGACTCTGAACGCGACGGTGCATGCCGGGACTGCATGCGTCGGCCTTTAGACAAATCCAAGTTGAAAGGTGAGCCAAGTCGTTTGATCTCTTCTTTTGGTGCTTCAACTTGCGAAGTGCTTGAATGGGCCACATTATCACTGCTTTCATTCGAGCTAAACAATGACGGTGGGGTAAATAACTGGCTTAATCGGTCTCTCGAGTTCAACCCGCCCATTGTTGCCCCGCGGTTTCGCAATCTCACTCGTCGATAATTTTGGTTCTTTCCATTGTCCTTCAATGGTTGTGGGAGATATTCTGTCGGTGCGTTTCTATCAGGGCTGACCTCATCCTCCAGCTGATTGATTGCGCGCCTCTTATGGGCTCCGGGCAACATTTCAGGGGGAATAGAAGATCTTAACCTTGAACCCGTTCCATGAACGGTCTCCGGCAAGTTTACAGCAGCCGAGTGTACCCGGCGGCGAAGGTTATCAGGGCCCCAAGTATGGTACATGAAGGGAGAGCCAAGACGGGGGATCAGTGCTGGTCCGCCGTGGACTGGAGGTTGTAGAACCTGCTGGGTCTCTAACCCCACTTCAGAGGGTTTCTCAGCTATCTTGTTAAACCAATCCGTCTCGGGGGGGCTTGAATGTCTGTTTTCAACATTGATCTTCGGAATATTTGCGGGAAGTGAAGTAGCGACAAGTGAAACTCCTAGGTCGCGCGAAAATGCGTTTGGAGAACCGTAAGAACCGGACGCGGGCAGTGAGTTAGAGGAAGATTGAACAAAGGGTTCAGGGAAAGGTGAGGGGCTTCGGGACTGTAGCAGCCTTTGGTAGTGTGGTGCGATAGAAAATCTCCTTCTACACAATTGTTTTAACCTCTTTCTAGTTGATGCATCCGAACGCGGCCAGAGAGGTTTGGTAGAACCACTAACTCCGGCTGTAGGAGTACAGCTGCCACTCTTCATTTCATTTTTTAATTCAACGTCTTTACCGGTTTCCTCAAAAGCATTTTTGGAAAGACCGTGCTTTACTCTCGGCCACGTTCTTCTAGCCTCTCTGGAAACTCGATGAGATACGCCGAGAGGTGGGAGGCTCCCAGGAATGGTTTTGAAAGGGGTTATGGTGGGATCTTGGAGATACATCTGGTAAGTATTCCACAAATGATTATCCATTTCCAAGGTCCATCTGGGGCCAGCAGGTAACTGGAGAGATAGACCACGGGAATGCATATATTTGCAAGGTGACTCGCAGGGCTGTTTACGCTCAGGATAAGACTGCATGACAAAAGGGTCGCTAATTTCACTCTCCGGGCTCGTACAGCTGCCACCAAAAGAAGGGCGTGAGTCGAAAGATCCACTGGAAGACACAGAGGAGTCTGAGAGATTTGAGCATGCTGACGATGGTCGCGAAATAGGATCTGTCCTTGGCGTCATTTTCTCGTCTCTCCAATTACGGTTGAGAGCAACGACATCATCAAAGACTTGAGCTTCGGGGGTTTTCGGGTCGCATCGCTCTCGTTGTGGCACATCCAGAAGGCTATTTTGTGACTGCGCAGTAGAACTTTGGTGTAAGGAGTCGGAAGATGGAGGGTCCACTGCCTGGGAGAACTCTATAGAAGGCAGAGGGGTGTCGGGGGAGCAGAATGGTATCATTTTAGATCCAAATTGCGGCAAAAGATCAAGTCGAGGCCTTCGAAGACGGTATGACGAATGATGTGGTGGGGGAGGGGGCCCTTCCGGCTCCTGGAAGGGTCTTGTTGGAGTGCGAGGCTCGTCGAAAGCATGGAACATAAAGTCCTTGGGCAGGGTGCTTGAAAATGTTCTTCGTCCTTGCGCCATTGTTGCAAAAGTAGATGCGCCCAAGATTTGGTTTGTTTTGTCAATATTGATTCGAAGGGGGAAAGTGAAAAAGGTGAGCTTAGATCTTTGACTAAGTCTGCATGATCAAGATATCTTCAAGTCCAAGCAGTACGTATATCTCTAGGAAAATTGCACGGATATCGTCAAAAAAAAAAAGAAGTGCTCGTTCAGAGGACAGTTGGAAGGAGTGAAAGCAAGTATTATTAGAAGCCCTGTATGATGAAGCGCGCAGTATTAATTGAAGTTTCGTCACGTCGTAGAGAGATCATAAACAAGGCAGTTTCATCAATTGGCCTGGAGGAGTTGGTAAAGTTACGCGGCAGGTTAATGAGTGAAGTATGTGGCAGCAGAACAGTATTGAAACAGTCGTGCACTATCACAAAAGTGAATAGCTCATTCAATCAATAGGAACCAACCCTGCTATCCATTGTTAGCTCAGCCGAGACAAGTATTGTGAATGAAAGAGTTGCCGAACCTGATTACGGCGCCAAACCAGCAGTTATCAAATAATGTGACAATAGAAAAAACACTTGAGCAGCGCGATGGCGGTTGGAAAACGCGTAAAGAGCTGGTGAGACGAAGTGAAGGCTCGAGGAGTGAAGCGCGTCAACCGGGCGATGCGAATGAGAGCGAATCAGAAAGATCGCAACAATGCTATGGGATGCAGAGAGACGTCAGCGCCCATTGTCCAGAGAGCCAGTTATTCGCCGTTATGAGGGACCAACGCAGAGACTCAACGCAGCGAAACGGGCTGAACTGGCTGCGCCGGGATTGCGGGCGACATTTGCGCGCGTGCGAAAGAAAAAAAAGGAGGCTGGGACGAGGAGACGGGCGAGGGTGCGCGGGTTTAGCGCAGAGGAGGGGACCAGAAGGAAGCGCATGCAAGGGGGGCAACGCTACATACCGTGGGCAGACAGTGAAGGGTAACAATACTCCGTCGTAGCGCGACGACAAGAGCGAGGAAGCGGAGGATTCCCACCGCGGGCAGTGCTAGTGTACTTCGTATGGTCTTATCGCAGTCGGCTGGATGAACAGGGAGTGCAACGGGAGAAAACCGGCAGCCCGTTTTGGCTGGTGGACGGGCCAGCTAGCGTTGCCACGCCTTCTTGGGCGCGCGCTGATTGACCGGCCGAGCGGGAGGCGCGAGCTTGGGGGATGGTGGTGGTGCGCTGGCGCGTATTTATCGCGATGGAGGAGTGCAAAGCGAGAGAAAGACGGGTAGGGCGCGAGCAACACGATGGATGGCGAGGTCGAGTCCGCGCGACGGCGACGGGCGAGGATGAAGCGAGGAGGAGAGGAGAGGAGAGGAGGTGATGTGTCCGCGCTCGGGGAGGGCGGCACAGGCGGCGCGCGTGCTGTTATTGGCCCGCTGCGGACTAGCGTCTGCACCGCGCACGCCCAGCCATATGGGGAGCTACAACTATGTATCAGTCGAGCTGCGCTGCCTCGCGCTGCTACCGGGTCTGGTCGGGCCTGGCCGCTGGCGGGCGAGGCGCGTGAGGATCAGGCAGCGAGCGGAACACCTGGCGCATTCGCCACCCGCTGCCTTGCTCTTGCACTGGTGCCTGGCTCGAAGTGCGCAGCTACGGCGCTGCATGGATATCGAGATCCGGCGCTGGAAGGGGTGTGTCGGTGGGCTGGTCCGTCTGCCAGCGGGCGGCTTGTGCGAGCGCGTCGGGACGGTGTCTCGGAATTTGTACCTTGCCAGCATCCTCTATGCGCCAGGATCCGCATCCGCAGCATCAGCAATCAGCAGCAGCAGCGGCAGCATGAGCTGGCCGCCGGGGCGAATCCTTGGGCAACGTCCCCGGCCAGCAAATGCGGTGAGAGCCAGCGCGTGATTGGCAGTGTTTCCCAGCCCGTCGCGCGCATCACTTTGGATCGCACGCTGGCCTCCTCCCTGCGCGCATGCCGCCGCTCATTGGGCCTGGATGCTTGCCACTGCAAACAAACGCCGCTGATTGGCGACGCGGGGGTCGCGCGCGTTGCGGCTGGTCGCGTGGCCCGCCGCGTCTAGACGCGTGCTCGTGACGCGCGACGCGCCGTGTTCGCGTTTAGCCGATGGGGCGGCAGAATAGCCGTCTTCGCAGGACTATTCTATCTTACCGCTCGGTCGAATCTCACTCCCCAAATTCGAGAACCCTCTTTGTCCACGGCTGTTGAACCCGTGTAAACCATGGTTCTCGGATGTCCTGACCATTTTGCAGTTGCTGTGCGCCCCTCTTCTGTGGACTGGAGGGTTTTCTCTGATCGCACAGAATTTTCGGTGTTGCCGAGAGTGGCGAAGGCACACCTCACGTGGCGGTTAAGCCCTTATCGCTTATCGCGGCGATCGGAACCTTCCCCGCCCGAGGGGTTGAGGACGGCGTGATATCCAACGCCATGAACATTTTGGCCTCGCAGCCGTGATTGTTCGCAAGGTGTCCGTGTCCTATCCACGAGTTACATGTGAAGAACGTCCCACAGCCCCTGCGTCACGAGCGCCTCCTGGACTTGAAGACGCACCACCTCCAACACAACATTATTTTAACTCCGCTCCACGCTGCATCGCTTGACACTTGAGCCCCGTATTTGTGTCGCATTCCCTTTCGCGAAAAGAAACGTCAGTGCCAATGGGGGATTTTGGTGTGGATCTAGCGCCTGAGGCGGCAACAACTTCACTAGAAACACCAGAACTGCTCGTGTCCAGCGAGGATATTCAAGTTCTCGTGACGGGCTTTGGGGTATGTTCGTGCGACAGGTACTTTTCTTTGATAGCTAACCTCTGTTAACCTATATTGCAGCCTTTCAAGACAAACCCTCTTAATCCCTCCTTCCTCATCGCTTCATGTCTACCGTCAACAATAACAACGTCATCCTCATTGTCTCTGGTTCCTCGAAACATTCGAATACACGTCCATCCAACTCCGATCCGCGTGTCATATTCAGCGGTACGGATAGCAGTTCCATCTATCCTTGAGTCGTTTAAACGTGCACACCATGGAAAATTGCCGGATTTAATCGTCCATATCGGCATGGCGTCGACACGACATTACTACTCTGCGGAAACTGCCGCGCACCGCGATGGATACCAGGTAACTGATGTAGACGGACAAGTGGGCTACGAAGATGGAGAACTGGTTTGGAAGCGGGAGGGCTTGCCTAAGATTCTCCAGCCAGGTCCTGCTGCGACTGAGATATCTTGTATCGCCTCACCCAGTACGCCTGCTGCGGCTACAGGGCTGTCGGATTCGAAATTTCCAATTTCTGTCCATCCTTTCCGGCCTGACTCGAAGCTGTTGGAGACCTGGCGATCTTTCGCCCCGCCTGAAGCCGATGTACGGATATCTGAAGACGCTGGGAGATATCTTTGTGAATTTATCTACTATGCCAGCCTAGCATACCTATACAAAGAAGGTCTTGTGCGAAACGCGATATTCTTCCATGTGCCTGGTTGGACCGATGACGCGAGTGTAGAAAGCGGCAGAGACATTCTTATTGGTTTAATCAAGGCTTTGGTTTCTTGCTGGATCGATCAAGAGCCGAAATAACGACTCATAGCGTGGTGTTTTGTTTTCAGCATTTTTGGGTGCCTAGCGCTGTTTCATTAATACTTTCGAAGGATCTTGTCAATTCCTAGCGATTAATATTTGCTTTGGAGGTGGATACTTAGGAAGCCGATGCCCACCTTCCTGGCTCAACGACTCTCGGATCGCGGCCAATAGTTCTTCATTTTTTCAATGGAGCGTATATTCCTCTTGGTTATTCATGTTTATAGGAATATGGTTGGAATATAGGACTCTCAGTACACAGTGAAAATCTCTTTCGCTTATTTTGTGAAGAGACCTTCGATCTAGAAATTGGCGTTCGATTTGAATACGGACATTTTTTGGACATTTTATTTGAGATATTGGGTACGGAGCAGTTACATCATTCGAGGGTCCCTCCACATACATACGCACCTCAGCCCTCAGCGGACGAAGCCCATCCCGACACGGTTCGGAAAAAACGTCTCTCCGCGCTCCACAGCTACACCGTATAGAATAAATAATTATTATGGATTCTGCGGAACGAGACGGGATTCTAGCGGCCGTTTCGTTGGGTAAGATATCATGCTGGCCTAGGAATTATTGAAAAACGCCATCCATCCTTGTGTCGGCACAGCCAAGCGTCAGGAACATCCACTAACTAAAGAGCTAAGCGTGTCATTCACCTCTTGTCATCGATCAGGGTCGGCCGACATCCCCTGCTGCAGGTGCAGAACCGAGTGCGATGCTGAAGACTCTCGACAGGCATGGGCCGTCTCACACTCCAACACTCTCGCATCGTAATCATGGCACACCCGCCGTGGCAAAAGCGCAGCGAAGCCTTGTGATGCACATCTCGACAAACTATAAACTCCACTAAGCTTTGGCCTTCCAGAAACATTCCACAGCCCACTCCACAAAAGCCAACTCTGTAATGACGAATCCCGCAGATTTTTGCTGCCCACAATCGTGATTGAGTTTCCACCCCAGGCGGCTGTACCTATGGTACTCGTCCACACCTGCTCAGACGGCGTATCAGGCTTTCCGCTAGGCTGCAGTAGGTTTAGTCGATGGGTGATGTTGCACTGTGGCGGGTCTTATCCTTGCTTCTACACGCTTTCTAAGGGCTAAGAGAAGGGTGGCGGGCAGCTTGTTTGTTTCGGCCTGTTAGTGTGCCATGGATGTCCGGACGGGTCCGAAATGAGGATGCCCTATTGGCTTGTCGCTCACTTGCAGCCTTTTTTCTCCTTCGATATTCTTCCAACCTGCGGGTATGGGGTTGAAATTTGAAGCGACGATATCCTGCTGTGCAAGCTTAAGTTGTTATTACTCTTAAGCTCGGGGTTCCTGCCTAGGGTTTTGCATTTATCCGTCCCTTTAAATCTTCCTCTCTCCCTCCCCGGGTGAGTTCGTTGGAATACACCCGTCCTCTGGGGTTGGTTTCGCGCCTCCAGCCTCGTCCCGATCCCCCCTACCTGTCTACTGTGTGTGGGCTTGGGCCTTGGCCTACCTTCTCCTAGTCTTCTTGCCTCTACATACCAAAACGCTTCCTGCGGCCTCCCCATTGTCACCATGGGGAATGAGAAAGATGTCGAGGTTGGACCGGGTGAGCCCCATGTCGCCGCTCCCCCGAACTACCAGAAGGAAGATGCTGGACAGAGTGAATACATTCGTTCCCTGATGGAAAAGGATCTTCTCGACAGCCGATATAACCAGACTCAGCGTGGTTTGAAGTCAAGACATGTGCAGATGATGGCTCTCGGTGGCACTATTGGAACCGGTCTGTTCGTCGGTAGCGGTCAAGCCCTTGCAATTGGTGGTCCTGCTTTTTTGCTCGGTGCTTATATTTTCATTGGAACCTTGGTCCTGATGGTCGTCACCGCGATCGCGGAAATTGGAACTTATCTGCCTGTACACGGTGCGAATATGAGTTACTACGGATACCGGTACGTGTCTCGAAGTCTTGGATTTGCTCTTGGATATCTTTATTGGTATTCCATGGGTATCTTGGTTCCGAACGAAATCGTCGCCGGCGCGTTGATTATAGAATACTGGCAAACGAATGTCCATATCGCCGTATGGATCACCATTCTCCTTGTCGTCATTCTTGCGCTAAACGCGCTACCGGTTCAATGGTACGGAGAGTCGGAATTTTGGTTTGCCAGTCTTAAGGTTATGATGTTGCTAGGCTTGCTCATCCTTTCGTTTGTTCTCTTTTGGGGAGGTGGCCCCAGCCGGCGACGTCTGGGTTTTCATTACTGGAAGAATCCGAGTGCTGCCAATGAATACATTCTCAAAGGAGATACGGGCCGTTTTATTGCTTTGCTGCAATGCATCGTCCTCAGCGCATTTGCCTTTCTTTTTGCTCCAGAATTGATCATCCAGACCGCTGGTGAAATGCAATCTCCACGATACAATATTCCCCGCGCCTCCAGACGATACTTTTATCGATTATTCTTCTTCTACATCTTGGGCGCCCTCGCAATTGGCGTTATCTGCCCATCCAATAACTCCGCTTTAACAAACGGTGGTGCCGGTGCTGGCTCCTCTCCCTTCGTCGTTGGCATCAAAAATGCCGGTATTCCGGTGCTCGACAGCGTCGTCAACGCAGTCATTCTCACTTCTGCATGGAGCTCCGGGAATTCCTTCCTGTATATGTCGTCTCGTGCTCTATACTCGCTGGCTATGTCCGGTAACGCCCCCAGCATTTTCAAATCTTGCAATCGATATGGACTGCCATACTATGCTATGATGGCCAGTGCTTGTTTTTCTGGATTATCCTACCTAGCCGTTGCGAAGGGCAGCTCTTTGGTCTTTAATTGGTTTGTCAGTCTTATTAACACCTCCGGTTTCATCTCGTGGACCTGCTGCTGCATCATTTATTTCCGCTTCCGCAAAGCTACTGAAGTTCAAGGCGTGGTACGACCCTACCGGTCTCATCTACAGCCATATGGTGCTTATATCGGCATATTTGGTTTTATCTTCCTCACGTTTATCAACGGTTTTCAGGTATTTTTCCCTTCGAAGTGGAATATCTCTGGCTTCTTTACCGCGTATATTGGCATTCCTGCATTCTTGATATTGTACTTTGGCCACAGAATAGCTTACCGGAAAGATCCCTGGGCTTGGAGAGCAGAAGATATCGATTTGGTGACGGGTCTAGAAGAGATCATAGCGGCAGAAGAGCCCCCTAAGGTTCGCAAAGGGCCGATTCGATATATTTCGTTCCTTTGGGAGTAAATTTCTAGTTCATACTCGGAAATACAGAAACTTTTCTCTTCAACCTTACATTCCGTATTTCTTTCTCTGTAGCTCCCTCATTTCATCTTGGTAAGATTCCTGCATCACCGGCCGCGCAGAGGCATAACATGCAGAAATCCTTATACTTCGATATTTTGAAATCCGATCATATTTCTGCTTGTTTAGATAAGAATAAATGGCCCCCCTGGCTATCATATACTGATTTTCGACAATCGAGTTTATTTACATATCGATTTCAACTCAATACAGCGGCATATTACATGCTTCATTAATGTGATATCGATGGCACCTTCAAAGCTTACATATTGCTGCGTCTTAACGACTTTCGGAGGATGTTTAAGGCAAATTTTCAAAACAGTTTTGTTCGTCAACAGGATATATACTGTGGACATATATAGTTGCCTATTTTCATTTGTTGCTATCGAGACCAAACCGAGGAAGATTCACTTGTAACTAAATTATCTACTTCATAGTCCTGATAAAAGCCATCTCCCTTAAGTAATGCCTCCACTCACTCTTTCATCGTCTTGCTCGCTGAAACGCACCAGTTGTTCCAATCCGAAAAGAACGAGGGCTGAACATGACATTTTTTGCTCAATAACTGCTTTTTCCGCGTTTGCGCATATTCATCCACGATACGCTCCATATTATCCTTATTATTTGCCACAAGTATTTTGACGACTAGTAAACTAGCCTGACTGCAGGCTGTAGAGTGGAAAGATGGCCCACTGTGTGTGGCTTCTTCATGTATTGACTTGAAAAGCTTCCAAACCGGTTCTTCGTCTTCAAATGAAGGGAGACTAGCGCCCTTGCAGAGTTTGCAGTATTCACGCAAAATGACGCTTGCTTTATTGGCGATCTGCAGCACTTTGGACGACCGGAGGACCTTTAGGAGCGGAAGAAGGATATTCGTCGCTATGATGTTAGAGTGGGATTTCTTTACGTAAATCTCAAGAAGGTCGAGAGCTCGGTTTTTGAAATTAATCATGTTCTCTCGGGCGTCTTTCTTCTGTTTCTTTTTGCTTAAAGCCTGGTTCTGGGCTTTGAAAACTTGGGCAAGTTTCTCGTCTAAAGCCTCCATTTGATCGTCATCCATATCGGAGGTCTCAGAATTCGTGTCAACATCTTCATCCGCACGATGAGTTCCAAGCGCGATCGCGAGTTTTGCATCGAGCTCTTGAAGTTCAGCTTCGTTTTCAGAATTATCCTCCGCACTTTCGTCATTAGAATCGTCTGTGCCATCTGAGTCAGCATCTGACGATTGGCTTATCTCTTCCACATCACTATCAAGTCCATCAGAGTCGACCATTTCTACGTCGCTGTCTTCATCGTCATTGTCAAACATCTCTTCCTGGCCTGCAAGGGTATCTTTGGCTTCTAAAATCTGTTACATCTGTTAGAAAGGTTACTACGAATGTATATAAGTGGTGTATCATACCGAGATTAATGACTCAAGACCAGTGGCGGTAATCTGGTGAGCAAACGCACTGAAAACCTGTTCGCTTGTCCGACGAAAAAGCTGAACCTGCTTGGATGCAAAGCTAAGTAATATCTCAACTAAAACATCAGAGGCCTCCGCATTTTCTTCTGTTTTAGAACTCTTCTGGCTGATAAATTTGTCGTAGCAGAGTTTGAGCTCATCCAACATAGAAACAGCATCAGGATCGCCATTGTATATCTGAAATATGGTCATAGAATATAGCAATTTAATGGCTTGAATGCTAATAATCTCCGTTTGACTACTTTTTTTTTCCTGTTAAAGATTAGTATAATCTCATATACTAAAACGGAACCACCAGAACTTGCCTTGTGGTGCATTTTTTTTAGAATTCTAAAGCCCGCATCTACAGAGTCGCTGATATTCTGCCCCATTTCAATAACGAACTTCCCACATTCACCATTTTGGCCCAATTTGTGGATATCTTGAATGACTCCATACACAATGGATGAGGCATTCTTGTGACCGGCAATGACCATGTTTAGGCATGACGAAATTTTATTCTTAAAAAATTCCTGAGATGACTGGGAGACTGCCGGGTCATAGCTTCTAGTTGTTGCTTCACCCAAAGACACAAAATACGCTGGGCGTGCCAGAGCTACCATGGCATCCTTTATGGAGGAATCCAAACGACCAGAGGTATCTGATTTTGCCACAAGGGATTTCACGACTAAAGTCAGAAGGGTTGATAGCTGCTGCCTTCGGGACCCTACAGTTTTGATATCATCTGAACCAGGCGAAGCAATCAAATCTTGTAGAAAGATGATGACTTGGCCGATATTGTCGAAAGGTGCATCACTGATCAATTTTTCAATGGTTTTAGTTTTGGTAACTTGATCGAAATTGATAATACCTGCTGGCCCTGTTAGGCCACGAAGTGCGGAAATCGTGAATTCAGAATCATTTGCGCCGCGGGTTTGTATTGATTTTGCAGCTTTTTGGGCAACTCGATGGAGGTATCTATCTTCAACGGATAGCTGATTGACTAAGCACCGAACCAAGTTCTTTGTGAATATAGACTTGGCCGCCTCGATCGGTGCATTATTGACAACTTTCATAAACGCCAGAAAGCCCCAATATTTACGTTCCTCAGAGGATGCAGCTGAGAATAGTCCATCTAGAAAGTTCATTAATTATACTACATGAATCAAATAAAGCGAAATGTTCACTTACTGTCGACAACCTCAGTCCAAAATTCAGAAAATAAAAGTTGCTTGGGAAGATGATCATTTTTCTCTGCGTCAAAAGCTGCGTATAACTTAAGGAGAATCGGGTCCCACACAAAATGTAACTTTGGATTCCAGACACCAGACCCGTTGGCAGCGTCATTTTCGTAGTCTTGTTCGGATTGCGGAGCTGACGATTCTTTCAAAATTCTGGCAATCGTGGCCCTCTCTTTGGAGTGCAGTGGGTTATTGTTGTGCCATATATTGGAGGTAAAGGTGACAGGCAATGGGAAATCCATGGCAGCTAGCCAGATTGCTACTCCCTCGGACGTTTTCGCCAATCCATTATCTGAAAGGCCTTTAATAATCTCACTGATATAGCGAACGTCGCCTTTTTCATTAGCGATGCTGATAATTGCCTGGTATATGATATACCCGCATTCTTCTTTCAGCCAAGGCTTTTTCTTGAACAAGTCAAAGACTAGGTTGAGAAGCTTCGTCCAGAGGTGAAACGAAACATCAGGTTGTAGCAAAATCAACGATTTCAGTATGGCTTCTGCGCCAAATAATCGACCAAAGTAGTGATCCCGCTCCTCCTATAGTATGTAATAAGTAAAGCGCGATTTTATGAAATAAGATGAACGGAAGAAGTACCTGACCAGAAGAACAGTTCTGAGGGTTAGTTTGTGATTCTAAGATCTCCAGTGTCTTTGAGATATTCAGTTGCTCCGAATCCCGTCGCCCAACGCCTGAGAATGCTTGTGAGAGAAGCTCAGTAAGGGCAATAGAGAACCCAATTCGGGCAGCTTTTCGACTGCTACATAGACCTCGAAAGAGCCTTCTTAAAACCTTTTCAATTTGTTCTTCAGAAGGTTGTTGCTCTGGTGTAAAGCGAGACAGTAAGTCATGGGCAGCTTTGAGGCGAATTTCGTTTTTCTCGTTGGCGAGGTCTTCGTAAATTTCTACAAGCTTGACGTCCACATTGACTGCTTCTCGCCGTCTCTTTCTAGAATGCGCTAACGCAGCCATGGTCTACCCCTTTTCTATATAAACAGCTCGTTTTGCTGCTGGTAAATTTCGCAGACAGATTTTATAGTCTTTCACGTGACCAGAAGTCGGCTTTGCCTAATCCGAGCTAGTGGAAGCTCTCTGACCAATAAATATTCATGACTAATAAATTACTAATTCAATACATTTTGTATCGTTGACCAACTTCTTCTGAATCGTGTTTATAAACACTTTGTAATTGATATTAGAGGTGTGGTAAAATTTTGATCGGCTATTGCTAACATTGTGTTCATTGGCTTGGCTCTGGCACGCTGTGTTTTCTAGGGTATCATGTTGTAGGGGAGGAATTTTCCCCGTAAGAATACCTAGGCTATGCATTCTGACCATGCGTGTTTTCAAAAATATATAAAGCGCAAGGAATGAGGATTAGATTTGTGCAACTAATGTACCTAGCACATACGACCACAGGAAGTGGAATACAGGGCTTCCCGTCCGCTCAGCCGTACTTAAGCCACTTGCCGGCCGGCTAGTAGTTGGGTGGGTGACCACCAGCGAATCCCGGCTGTTGTATGTTTATTTTTTTTTGCTTGTCCAGTGTAGTCTCATCGTTGCTATTCTTTAAGCCGTTTCCATCTCCTTTACATAAGGTACCAGGCACCTCAGTATGTTCATATCGGAATACTTCATTGGATGCTAAGATTAGGATGGAATTCAAAAGCACAGTGCTTACAGGCCAATCCGCGGTCTATTGGCATCGCCCTATCGAATCCACATCAAATTTTGTTACCAAAGGTGTATCTGGTGTATCTTGAGACGTCGGAAAGCCAGGCACCATAAAGAGAATCAAAAGAGAGACCCATGAGCGGCTGCTGTTAAAAGCAGCGTTGCTGTTGTCATCGATGGAGATATTATTATTGTTCAAGATATGAATCGGGGTGGAGTGCGGAGCACGGAGCAATAATGGAAATCTCTTCACATTATTGATGTCCTGGGATCACCCCGGGATTTCCTTGGGAAAATTCTCAAAGCCAATCTCCGACGCTTTTGTAGTCGACCCGATTCTAGAGCTCAGAGTGATAGAGCTAGCTGTTCTCCAGATCACATGCTGTGGTCATCATAGTATTTTTCATCTGTGGGCGCGTGGCGCGGGTATGGGGATGTGCATTATTCTCCTGAAAATAGTAGTAACCCGATTCCTTCAGATTGCAGCCGACAAGAGTTTCCAGGTCGTTGACACTGATTCGTGATAGAATCTTAGGCTTCCCTTTTAGTGATAGTTGTCTGTTGCAGTCCTATCCATTCCTTGCTGGAATGTAGGTATTTCCTTCGCCACTGTTCTTAGAGGGGCTTCTGAGAAGGCCTGCGAACAAAATACCAGTCTAACATTAGGTACGGAGTACCCAGGTAGTTGCTACCTCCCACTAGCGTAAACCTCCAGAGCCGGAATAGCGGAATGGGCCTGTATTTCAAGTCACAGCCTAGCTTGCCAACAATTTGCAAATCATCTCGTCCGACTGGGTCGCGCCATTCCACTGCGTCATCGAACTCCACAATACCAAAACCGCTACAAGCTGCCATGCGGCTGTGCTTGAACAGGTCTTCCCTGGTACCATCAATGATATCAGCTTGCTAGTAGTAGTTGGCAGAGAGCTTCGACCTCAAAATTTGCCTGGCCGAAAATTTGGCAGACATCACCACCCCACTCTATCGTAGTTAATCCACTCAGCAACACCCAGCTTTCGCCAAATTGCAGCTTTGTACAGAGTGTTCCATGCATTTAACAATAATAATGTAATTGGAATCAATGGAACTATTAGATACAAGAAATAAAAACGGGATAAGACATAGAGACTAGATCTAGGTCAATCTCAAATCTCCTTAGAGCCCTAGTGGAAAAATGTTTATACTCCGTACATGGCTGGCAATTGATAGACAGGGGACAGAAACATAAAAATAGATTGTTTGTCGCTTATACTCCGTCCTCTTGTGCCGTATTGATTGCTTTTTGAGACCGTTTCCAACACGAAAGCTTGAAGGGTCGGCAAAACAGCTTCCGCTGTGGCAATAGACTCCATGTTCTGGAAGGCCTTGAGAGGAGCGCATCCTTTGGGAAGGAATAATAGTGGAGGAATGCGACGTGAAGCCCAGATCCCAGCATGGCATGCGCGTAGATGAGGGGTAAAGCAGGTGGGGGCGGTGTTTGTATTGATGATGCTTGTGCGCAACACTGGAAGCTGGGACGCGTCCACGCGATGTAAACACCGCAACAACGGACGGGGAGCTCGGCACAGTTGCTCGCTCGGGACCCTCGCGGCCAGGTGGGTGCTGGCTAGACAGCCGGCTGGCTTGTGGGCATTCGACCCTTGCAAGGCTATGATTAGGTTCCATTGACGCCATGCATGCGAGTGTTGGCCTGGACAGCACCGTCATCGTGCACCGCCAGGCTCTCTGGGCCGTGCAGCTTGTGAATGCTGTGCGGCCCGCCTCGCGCGGCGGTCACCTGAGAGCGCGTTTCGGGCCGACTTGCTCCGGCCGGTCACGGGGCTCGCCTGCTGGGGTTCGTGTTGTTTACATCTTGGCGGACGCGGGAGCTGGAGAAGAAAAGTTGGAAGGATAGCGATAATGGACAGGCATCACGACTCTTCGGAAGCGCCCTTGGAATGAAACCATGCCAGGGCGCCGTGATTGGTGCTTGGAATCAGCTCGTGAGGCGTCGACTCAACCGCCCGGGCTTATTTCCTAAGCTTGCCCGGACAAGCCCGAATCTTGAGAATCATGTTGTGCAGCTAACAGTAGTTGACGACGACAAGTCCCCACAGCCAGGGAGCAGCTAATAATGAAGCGGCGAGATATAGGCCGGTCTGGCAACCCGAGATGTCGGGTTGGAGGCCAGAGTTGGTGCACAGGGCTCTCTCGCGGATACTCTCCAGACTCTGAAGCAAACACCTGCCCGTAAACCGCAAACACGCCGCCTGCTTCATCTTGTCTCGCTTGCGGGCTGCCGGGCGAAACAGGGAGCCAGGCCAATCATTGCAGCCACAACGCCAGCGCTTCAGAGCTGGAGGGCTGGCGAATAGAGCTGTCTCCTCTCCCCAAGCCCCTGCCCGGTGGAGTCGATCCTTTGGCGCTATCCAGAGCCAGCCCAAACTTGGCGTGTGTTCTCCGCCGGCATTACCTGGGGGGCGAGCGTTGTGCAAGCCCTGCTGCCACGGTGATACGAAACGCTATCCGTTCTTTCAACCTGCTTCGCTTGGCCGCGGAGTGCTGCTTTTAGGACGTTGGGATGTCAATCCTCTGGCTGTAATTGACAAGTCGTGCATGATCGGCAGGGCCACCAGAACACGCCCATTTTACGGACGGAGCTGTTAATTTGGCAGCGTACCCGGGCAGCCTCGTGCGTAGACCGCGAGCGTAGGTTGATCCCATTCTTTGGCATCGATCGTGGGCAATCTGAGTTTAAAAATACCCGGCGCTTAGCCTGGCAGTCTGGTTCGGCGGTGTTGTGAAGGAAACGCGCGGGAGGGGAAGTCCTGGGATGCAAGCTCGAAGCTTGCCGCCTGTCTCAGTCCTGAGTAGTTAGCTAGAAATTGGGTTCTCCAGCAACCCGCATGCGTTCTCGTGACGTGCTGCAAGATGTTTTGGATTATTATTGCTGGGCGAGAAGTTCCCTTGCCCCGATTGGGAATGCCTAGTAGGTGCGTGTGCTGTAGAGGGGTACGATGATGACGATGACGCCCGCGATGACAGACGGAGCAACGGCAGCTCTGCTCGATCGCCAGTCGTAGTGTTCTCTGCTCTGGATGAAGAGTAAGTAGCTCACCGTCGAGGCGGCTGCGGCTGGGACGCCCTGGCGACGCCCACCACCAGCTCCCTGCGCGGCCACAGAGACCAGCCGGCACAAACTTACATAACCCAAGCGTATGCGGGCGGCGGTAATACGGCGGTATCTCATGTATCATCTCTCCACCTGCGTTGCCCGTTGCAACAGAAAGCCCACCACCTTGTTCCAGCTTCATTCTTTCTTCCTCCCCGTTTTGCCTTTTCTCTCCTTCTCGTCGTCGGCGTCGCTGTTCTTTCACCAGCTTCGATTGCTTTATTCTCCCGCCTCTCTTCTTGCTCTCTCTCTGCCCTCTCTCTTCTCCTCGGCGGTCTTCCTCCCCGTCGACCCTCACTGGCCTCGACGACTCACCGTTTTCATAGCCTTACTTGATTTTCTTTGCATTGGCAGCCATGGCCTATTCCCTTTAGCTTCGGTGTCCGAAAAGGCTGACTCTTTGCTGGCTGCACGGGTATCGAAGTCTCGTCACCACTGCTCAGAGCCGTGCTGCTTCGTTTCTTCTGGCTGAAGGAAAATACCCGCATTGGCCTCCTTGCTGGCTGTCGTTGTCGTGACGACCGGTTGCACTGCTCCCATACTGCCCGAACTCTTCCCATCCGATTTCGTCCTCGTTGTGCCCCTCAGAGACTACGTACCGTGGAGGACAGGGCTCGCAAGACCATCTCCAACAGAAGACCATGGAGCATTCATCGCCCTTGGCCGCCATGCAGCCACCATCCGTGATGTTCGGCCACCACTTTGGCACCCAGGCTAAGGCTGGATTCTCATCTTTCCCCATTGTGAGGAAGTTCGGTCCGGAAAGCTTCAACTTCAAGGACCTTTCCATGAAGACGGGCCACGCCGACTATTTCACCGCCAACCCACACAGGGGGTCTTCGCCCACGGTTAGTCTCGCGGCAGATCTATCTCAAAACTTTCACATTGATCGGAGGTAGGTCTTCCTTGAGCTGCTGAAAACTCCAGTCCACTAATGATCCACCAGCCCGCAACTAGTTACCCCCCGAAGGTCTCTTTTTACGGCGAGCCTTTTGGGCCCCGACAATGGTCGTGGTAAGAATGCTTTTCTATGTAAGAACAAAAAAACAGGATATGAACAGGTCTTAGTATTAGATACAATGACGACGCCCCCGATGCCGCCCTCATCGCCTGCTCGTGGGTTGGAGATCATGGAAATGTCTCCTTTGCCTCACAAGATACCCTATTGCCATAATGCGGATTTGGATTTGGATTCTCCTACTGCTGAGATTTCTTTGGCCAAGGCTCAGCAAAGCCACCTACAGCGTTCCTTACAGGCTTCTCCCATGGACTTGGAGCCGCCAGGTCGTTTACAGTAAGTCATTCTGTACGGTATCTTGCAGCTATCTTGTTGTCTAACGTTAAACAGGAGGGCTAAACCCCCCATGCTAAGGCCTTCTTTAATCCGCTCTAAAGCCTACAGCTCTAACGACAAGGACACATTGGTACCCCAGCCGCCACCTTTCATGTTTGCTGCTGGCAGTAGGATTACCCCCTGTGCTTCACTGTCCCTGTCCGAGATGTTCGAAGAATCCCCACCGCGAAATCTTGCATCAAAGCCCAATATTTCAGTAAACTCTATGGGGCCTCCGCGACCTAGAGCACCCTTTTCTGGAGTAGTTGGCCAATCTAGATCAAATGGCTCTCCAGCAAATGGTATACGCAAAAGCCCAAATCCTTTTTGTCGTCCCAGAAAGTTGAGTAGAAGATCTTTAAGCATGTTCGAGCATCCAGAAGATATTGTCAACCAAGACGAAGATTCCATTATGCTCTCGAGCCCAGGCCTCCAATCCATTGCCGACATTGACACTCGACCACAGTTACAGTTGCCGCATTTTATACCAGAAGACGTACCGGACCAGCTCCCCCGTATTGAAAGTAGCGTGCTGGTCGACATAATTAATGGAAAATATAATGACCGATATGATAATATAACTATCATTGATTGCCGTTTTGAATACGAGTATGAAGGCGGCCACATTAATGGCGCCGTTAATTACAATGATAAAGAGCATCTTGCTACTCAATTGTTTGGAGAGGAGTTTAAGCCAAAAACAGCGTTGATATTCCATTGCGAATACTCAGCCCATCGCGCCCCCATCATGTACGTTCTGTCCATGATTATTATGACTACATCTGGTTTACTTATCAATCACTAGGGCCAAATACATCCGACACAAAGACCGCGCGGTCAATGTGGATATATATCCTGAACTCACTTATCCGGAAATGTATATTCTGTATGGAGGATACAGCGCTTTTTTCTCCGAACACCGCTCCTTATGTTACCCCCAAAACTACGTCGAAATGGCCGCCAAAGAACATGAATTTGCTTGCGAACGGGGACTTGGCAAAGTCAAACAAAGGTCAAAGCTGTCTAGAGCTCAAACTTTTGCCTTTGGCCAGAACTCGCTTCCGATGGAAGACAGCCCGACCGGACGTTGTCGCGCAACCAGTGACCGCAGCGTTGACCCTGGTTCATTTGACCAAGACTCTGCCGGCAGCCGCATTTCTGGACGTCGGATGTTCTCTTATTAACTAACATTTGCTCGCTCTCTCTTACGTCCCATACTGAATGCTTTACGTTTCGATCCATTTTCCTTCTTGCTCTTGCCTGGTGCTGGTTTCTAAAAAAAAGCCACTCTCCTTTTTATGGTTTCCTTTGTTTTGCTCGACTTCACTAGGTTTCTATTGAACGACCTGGACGCCCTTTTTCTCTTCCACTTTAGATGTCACTCAACGCCTCAGCTTATTTCGTTGCGTTGCACGCTGTTGGGCTACCCACAGCTGCCTAATACAAGTTCAACGATCCCTTTTTGGTTCCATTGACACACTGCAGCAAGTTCACTCTAGCAACTTTCTTAAAACAGAGAGATATTATTCAATATCTTACCCAGTTAAATTGATAGCATGATGCATCATATCTTACTATCGAACCCTATGATATGCCTTCCTATTGATTTCCTTTGTTAATTTCCCCTTTCGCACTCACATATTAAGCTATGCATGATTTCTTTATTCCAGACTCCCCAGAATTGAATTGGTCCCATGCAAACCGGCTCTGCAGTCTTTTGCTTTTGACCGTAACAAAACTTTTTTTGCAGCCTGAGCGTCCAGCCCCCATTTCATTAGCGCAAATATTCGTCGTCGATTGTCTCCAGCAATTTTATTTACGTCTATATCCGATATTGTATTGGTGTTGGGGGAGTTATGTGTTACTATTTCAGGAGTGTGCGAGTTTTGACGATAAGCCAGGCATTGATTTCCGCTTTGCATTAACCTGCCCTCCAGTTGGCGACAAGACGTGGAGAATTATTTGTTTCCGGCTTGAGCTCTATTGGCTCGTCAGTCCTGTTATTACTCAAGATTTCGTTCCTTCAATGAATCAAACAATTGGATAAATTGTGTGCATAATCAGACATTGATTGTAAAAAAAGGTTCTTTTCACAACGTAATCGACATGACGTCATGGTCATCAGCCCTAAGCCCTACTTTATATAATTAATTACAACGTTACAGCTTCCATTACCGGGCCAATACCTAAAATACACCCCATCCTCCACTCTACTGCGGTCTGTTCGATCTGCCAGCATATAATGGAGGACATCGACGATATATTAAACTCCGTTAGCAGAGATGATATCGATCTCCCAGAATTCACTGCCCTTGATTACCAACAGTTAACGCGGTTCTGGGTGGCGGAGCGCGCGGCGCCTGACTTACTCCCATGGCCTGGACCATTAATGGAGAGGGTGATGGAGAGGGTGAAGAAGCAGGTGAGTGCAGCGATTGATCCCTGGAAAATGGCAATTGGATTTCTATAATGCTAATTCAATGAGCTATTATTGTTTTCCAGATAGCTAAGATTGAAGATATCTCTATCTCCGACCCAACGAGTACTACCGCAAATAACCCAACCCTTAACCTCACCCTCTCAATCATCCAATCTGACCTCTCTCGGACGCAATACCTTATTCGTTCCTTGCTTCGGCAACGACTAGCAAAACTAACGAAACACCCGATCCATTTTCTTCGTCTGTCGTCTGGGTCCGGTGCCTCTCAACAGCTGTCCACACAACAACCTGGCCTCCTTTCGCCTCAAGAACATGATTTCCTGTCATCACACCACTCCCTTCTATCTGCACACTACAGTCAGTCCTTTCTCTCAAGTTTCCCTCCTGCCCTGAGGAAACTGGACGATAATGCTGGTGGGACGTCTATGGTAACTAAGCCTGAGACTAAGGAAGTGGTGTTTGTACGGTGTTTAGCTGAAAGTGTGGATATGGTGATTCCCGCTGAGCCTGAACAGGCGGACCGGTTGACCATGGGAGATCGACTGGGAGAAAGGATGGGGAAGGGTGAGGTGTGGATGGTGCGGTGGGAAGCTGTTAGGGAGGCCTGGCGGAAGGGAGAGGTGGAGGTTCTTTGACTTGCATGGAATGGAGCTTTTTACTTATATCAAAATTGCTTTCGGGGTGTACGGGGCTTTTGGAAAGCCGGGAGTTTTGGACATGGCATGGAGTCAAGCTGGTTTATAAAAGATGAGCGATATCAAGAAGCAACGCGACGAACAATATACATTCATACATACATAATACTATAGTCACTTTCTATTAGACGGACTATAAGTAGTTCCGATGGATTAAAGCTAGGGACCGGGCGGTTTTAGACAAGTGATCAGTCCTGGCTTGGAATTTGCCAAATTGCAAGAGCGAACAATATGATAGATACTCTTAACAATATCAAAACAGCAGAATGAGATTCTTCAGTAAAAGCTCCCCTAAAAAACGCCATTATTGATCCACTGAACCAATTTTTAGCGCCTGCTTTGCACACGGCCCGTTTACCCGCAATGCCCTTGGGAAACCAATAAAATGATGAACTCATGCACCAAAGTTGCTGAATCTATGCAATATAAGCGTACGAGGGTGGCTCAATGTCCGAAAGTCGCTCCAAGTACTCGCGATCTATCAAGCTTTCGATTCGTTTTTTGACCATGTTTACGTCAGGAACAAATCGAGATGCAAGTTGAGTGATGACCTCAGTCATCAGCTGAGAATGTGCCAGCTGTTTTCGTTGCCTTCATGCCATTAGTTCGCCACGCCACGTTTGAGGGGTGGGAATAGAAATACATACTTCATCACCCGAACAATAGCTGCTTCGATGGCCCCCCCTCGTTCGTCATTCATCTTCTTCTCAGTATCGGTCCTTTCCTCTTTGTTCTCAACTTTGTTGCCACCGCCGCTTACAACACCAATCTTTATTTTGGTGTATTTGCTCTGGAATTGTTCATTGAAAAAAAAGCGATCTGTTGGTTTAACATCTTTACTCATCGGGTCTTTCCTAAGGATGCGAGTCTTCGGAGCAACAGCTAGTGACTGCAAGTTTCGTATAAGGTCGTTAATAGGAATGTTTGTGCGAGTCTGAATGTCTTCGAATGTCAGAGATTCAGTCGCTGGGATGTCATTGAAAAGGAGAAGAATAATCATTGCATATGTGGAGACGTTTAAATCATGGCGTTCAACTTTGCCATTGGCTCTGGCATATGTGGACCGAACATCAGCACTACCCATTCCTGGCTGCCATGAAAGTTTACGACCACTATGTTTTCCCAGGTAAAATGTTTCGAAGCTCTGTTTGAGGCGGTCCAAGGCTTTGGGATATATACATTGCATTTGCAATGTACTGTCTCTCCCCATGATTTCCATAGGCCACATCGTGCTAGTGAGAACACTCATTTCAAGATCAATCTGCTTAAGGCTAGAATCGTCACGTTGGGCAATATATCCTTTATAACTGGCCGTCAGATCTTCAGATATCGCCATATCCTTAAACATTGATTCGAGTTTTTGAGTGAATGTGCTTCCAACTTCCATTTTCATTTTTGATATCATTTGTCTTTCAGCATCCATGCTAGCGGAACGCTTCATGAGTAAGCGACGTGAAAGGTGTTTCTTATAGTAGGTTTCAAAAAGGTCCTTGTCCCGGATATACCGGAGCAGGGTTATGCCGTTATCAAGAAGGCTATCTACTTCTTCTTCTGATTTACCCTTGATTCCCTTTTTAAGATTTTCATCAAAGAAAAGCGAAAGATATTCCGCACTCCGAAGATTTACGTTGATGAAGTCTGAAAAGCTCATGGTCAGAGAGGCTTGCATTCCTTGGTCTTTCATGAATGCAACCTCCCAGACATGATCAAACCGCCTCTTTAACCGCAAAACACTGTCTACCCAATCGATAGCCGCAGAGGTTTGCAGCGATGCAGAGGGCTTCTGTTCTTGCGGACGTTTGGTCTCTTTCTGCGCTTCATTATTCTGATGAGTCGTTCTTGACTGTGTGACTTGTGAATGCTCTTTAGCGACAGCATTGATCTGGTTTCCAAGTTCAATAATCCTTGCTTGGGTTGCCTGTGTAAGGGGCTTTTTTTGAGGGTCAATTCGAGAGATAAGTTCATAGACAGTAGCAAGGTCCTCAAACCGATCATTATCTAACATCTCTTTGACGCCACTGCCTTCCATTTTAATAACTTCTGCAATATTTTGTTTAATTAGAGCTTCATCAATGACTTCCAAGATTTTAGGGGTGGTAGCTGATGACAGAGTATGATGGCATCGCTCTTGTTCTTCTCGGATCCGACTCGCAACTCTTTTGCAAAAGGACGGCGCATCCACGGTAGATAGCAGCGTTTCACCTTCGGCCAAGTAGAAATTCTGACTGGCATTCAGAAAAGCCGGCTCAAAAGATGTGAAATAAAGTTTGCTTGACTCTTCTTCTTTCTCGGTTTCATAGAGCCCCTCTAGCATATATATGCAATGACGAATGAGATGTCTATCGATTATTATGCCGTCCCGCTCAAGACGAATAAGAAAAAGGATGGTTGATAGAAGAATGGAAGCAACACTCTCTTCGTTATCCACTTCTAAAGAGAGTCTCAGTACGACATCTCGAAACAAACACATACAGGCGATATAAATAGACGGCTTTCGCTGCTCTGTCATGATAGATTTATCCTTGAACCTTCGAATCAATATTATGCACGTGTAAAACATAGAATGAAGCCATACCATGTACATCAGAACATCTGTGATCATTGCCATGCAAAGTTGATAATCCTCCCAAACTTCCCTTAATTTGGAAAGGAATCGCTCGCTAGCAACACGACACTCATTTACTTGGTCCGCAACATTTGTCATTTCAGCTCCAGGTAGAAGCAATGGCGTAATTAACTCTGTAATCCTAGTGCGTAACTCGTCTCGTAACAATTGCTGTTCGAACTCGATGACTTTATTGTAGAGGTCATGCCCCTGCTTTTTTAACACAGCTTTATATGCATTCCGATACAGTTCCTCAAAAGAGAGCTTTGAGGCGTTCTTGGTGTGAATCTCGCGCATAGCTGAGGCAAGGGTATTCCACATGCTGGCCAGATCCATAGTATCGTCGCTTGCCATGATTCCCTGTAAGAGGTATTTCATCTGTCAGAGAGTTCTAGGATGTATATAAAGCGGGATAATAGACGTAGTAAAAGACAAAAAGAAGAACATAATATCCGGATATATCTGAAAGTAGCAACATACCCGACGGGGAACCCTGACTTTGGTCCTCGCTTTCATGGCGTGAGGTGTAAAAAGTCTTGTCGAGCTTTGGTGGGCTGGGAGCCTTAGATACTCTAATGTAAGGAAATGCTAGAAACGCCCATCAAAGCGCTTGGAGAGGGTTCATTCAATCTAGATCGTGAAGATCACCGATAATGCGGGGTGTGATGTAATGTAGGGGTCTGGTGGGAGGGTGAACCAGGTTGTGTAGAGCATGAAGAATGGGAATCAAAAAGAGTCGCAATGACTAGATGAAGATATTTCATGGTAATTTTGTCGACAGCGCGGAGCGCGCGGCAGGTCATCCACCTGGAAGGCAGAACGAAGTATATCGGCTGAAGCTTTGTAGCATAATTGGCTTATGTAAGCAATCCTTCCTGATATTTCTGCCCGGTCAACCCTTTTGCGCAAAACGCATGAACGACGCCTCACGCAACACGCTCTAGCTTTGCCAGCATGGCAGCCCCAAGGAGCCTAGCCCGCCATGTTGCTTCCCTCTCATCACGATCCTGTCGGGTAAATTCCGTCGCACAATGCCGGAGCTTTACTTGTGCCTGGTTTCCCTCACTATATTCGAACGCCGTCTCGAACCGCCGACCAACAGCTCACACCCCTTTGTTCTTACGAAACAAGTCTACGTACACAAGGCCTCCTAGCTCTCTCACAGACAGCACACCTGCAACGTCGGAAGACAGTGCACAGAATGAAGCTCGACGCGCGGAAGAACCCGCATACCTCATCACATTTACCTGCAAGCCCTGCTCGCACCGATCTGGCCATCGGATTTCAAAACACGGATATCATAAAGGAACTGTCCTTATAACTTGTCCTAATTGCAAAAATAGACACATTATCAGCGATCATTTGAATATATTTATGGATACTAAGTCGACATTGGAAGATATTCTTGCAAAGAAGGGTCAAAGTCTGAAAAAGGTCACTTTAGGAGAAGGAGATACGGAACTATGGCCGCAGCAGCCTTCTGATGGTGCGGAAACTGATTCGCTCAAGCCGTTGGAAGATACGAAGGGTGGTTGAAATATGTCGTGAAGTGGGTGATGCCCTGTTGAATAATAACTTGTTACTCTGAATATATGATCTATTTTTCATAGATAATATTACTTTTTCCACTAGTTAACCAAAAAGCATAAGAAAGAAAAAAAAGATTGGCTACAATATGTGAACTAGGCTTGAGCTTAGTATGGTGATATTATACCTCAATATTTTAACACAATGAGAATAACTTTTATAGATATTATCTCTCATGATGCCCCTTCAACGCCATCCCAAAGCGGCTAGAACAAAACATAGTCAGAATCTACCAGCCACGTCTTTGGTCTCTAAAACTAAGGCCCTTGTCCTTTCTTTTATCCTTCTTTCGCTCATTCCTTCTCTTCTTCTCTCGGCCGAACTTTTCTGGATCAGCAACAGCATCGATCCTTCTCTTCACCCTTCTTTCATCTCTTCTTGATTTGACACCCTCTTGTGCCCGGGAAAGTTCTGTGACGAACACTGTGGTCCCTAGTTTCTTTTGTAATAGGTCTAGGATTTCTTGACTGCTTGTTACCAATGACTTATGAGTGATCTGGAATTTCTCATCCGAAGATTCAGGGATGGAAGGGTCAGTCAAATGAAGCAGGGGTAGAAGAATCTTTTGCAGAGAGGGCAATATTTGTGACACTTCCAAATGGGTGCAAAGTGCTGCTAAAAGCTTCATGCAAGCGCCCTTGGCAACTAAGCCGTCCGCCTTCGTGGACAGGGGTTCTCGTCGTAGGACCCTTGTGGTCCTCTCAAAGAGATACTGTATCGCCTTCTTCTCGCCTCTGTGAACCGTTGTCTCATCATCGGTTTCGCTTGCAGAGTCGCCCTCGCCATTATTCATGTTTGTTGGTCCCCAACTGCCCAATGTAGGGAGGACGAAATTGTTTTGGGCAAAACATCGTCCAAGAAATACCAAATTTCGTACGGATTGTGTGGCCAGTTCTTCGGTGACGGCTGGCGATTGGAGGCAAAATATGCTTCCCCGAGTAATATCCAGCATAGAAGTATCATCTAAAGCCATACCTGACAATCCAATCAATGGTAGAGATCCGTATCCATTGGTTATATTGGCCTTTGCTAAATCAGCCAGCCACATCCCTACCAGATTTGCCGCACAAGATTTGATCCAAGAATGAGGAAAAAATAAGCTTTGTCGAGTTTTAGACCAAATCAGTTCACACGCGGGGGAGAATGTTATAGATGGGAAAAGTTTGGCGAGCTTGATAAAAAGCTGTAAAGAGAAGTACAGCGTTTCCCATTCTTCACTATTCCGGTTTTCAAGCGGCGTATCCATCAGCTGTGGAAGTAGATGTACCACGAATTGAACTTCAGATTCTTTTTCTGCCAAATCTGCCTCGAAGAATATCCTCATTGCCTGTAATCCAATCGAAGTAAGAGGTAGGTTCTCGGGCTGTTCCAACCACATTCGAAGGGTGGAGGTAAAAGACTGCAGTTGTTCAGACTCAGAACGACGATATATATCTTTTAGAAGAATACCAGCCATCTCTCGACACTCGAAGGATTCATCATTTGCCATGACCATAACAATTGGAATGAAAAAAGTACCAACAATCGTCTGAGCGAGTTCTCCGGCTGTTTTGGACAGAAGAAGGTGCACGGCCTCCATGACGGATTGACGACCTTCTTTATGACGGTAATCCAGGTTTTTAGCTAAATATCCCAATTGTTTCGCCCATCTATTTTTCGTTTGTGGATATTCAATTAAAAAGTGAACATATACACCTCTTGCCAGGTCTCGGGCACTTCGAGTCTGGTTTGTAACCATCATAACGGCGACCTTATCAACAAGCTCGTACATTTCAGGAACAACCAGTTTCCGTGCCATGACTGCTCGAATGAAGTTAAATGTAACTCCCTGCCGATCCGGTTCTTCAATGTCTGAGGAAACACGTTTTATTAGGTACGCAAGATAAGAGTCTTTTAATTTGACCATTTGGCGTTCACGTAAAATTGACGCGATCAGTTTAATCGCAGCCTGTGCACCTTCAGTGTTGGTGTTTGGCGCCTCCTTCACCAGCTTCAGAGCCTCAACAAGGTACACATCGGAATTTCGATCTATTTCTTCCAGGGGTAACTTGATAATCGTGGATAATAGTCTGATTGCGGAGATTTTGACCTCTTCATAGCCTTGAACCAAGGAATCACCAATCAAAGGGAGGAATCCGCCCATATTTTCCGCTGTACATAGAGTACTATACTTATTGAGAACTGATCGAAGGACGTCAAAGCTGAATCGAGCAAGCTTGTACAAGTAGGATGAGGTGCTTCTTCCTGTGCCACTCTTATTGAAAGCAATCATTTTAACTATAAAACGATCCTTTGGCTGTTTAGTGTCGGCTTGTGGAGCGTCCGCCACTCTATACGATTCCTTCACCACCTGGTAGCAAAATACCAAAAAGTCGCGGCATTCGACCCCAGGGTTTCTTAGCAGCCCGGCTCCGATTCGTCTGAGAAGATCATCAACCTTTTTAACTATGTTAGAGGTAAGCTTCTCTTCCAATAATCTTTGTATCGGCTGGATAAGGCTGTAAACATGGCCGACAGATGCATTTTTCGCAAGGAGCTCTATTGAATCGTAGCTTTTACGAGCTTTAACTTCTTTCATTTTGCTAACGTATTCTTCGGCTTCTTTTTCCTGGCCGACAGTTCCAAAAATATCATCTAATATAACGGAGGCAAGTGTCGGAAGATCTTGGTCTAAGGCACCAGGTTTGAATTCCTCAGTAGTTGCAAGTAAAATTGAATGAACTGTAAAGGACAGAACATGGAGTTGATATCCTTTTGTTAAAGTAGAGCGTAACTCCTTCAGTATGTACCCAAAATAGGATGGGCCAAGGATAAGCGCAATATCAGCTAATGTTTTCCTAGCGACATCCCGGGAGTCTTGAGATTTACTTTTGAGGATATTTGAAATATCTAAAAGTATGGGGGGGAGTAAAAGGGCCCTTTCTTCGTCTGATATCAATTTAAGAAGTTTCACGGCTGTAACCGCCGCTGGCAAGCGTAGGCTAACTTCCGATTCTTCCTTATGATGAATAAATGTTGATAAGAAAGAAATGAAATGCGTCCTCAGTTCCGATTCTATTTGGGCACGGGTTGGCAATGACCGGCTAAGTCTGCTCCTCAGGACATCTGAGCAGTCCAAAGACATCTCCTGGGTTGAACTGGAATCACAAGCACGATTAAGAGTGTCGGTAAATTGCCCAAGAAGACGAATGATGCTTTTCTCCATTCCAGGTTTACTGTGTAAGTAGCCTTTAAACCTACGGAAAATTGCCCTGAATTGGCTCCACTCTAAACCACCACCAAGTATACCGATGGTAGAAATCGCTTCTGCAGCCAGGTTATGTGCATTCTCGTCTTCCGCTTGGTTGAAGACATAATGTTCAATCAAAGGAAAGAAAATGGCACTTATATTGGTCGCCGATACCTTGCCGCTAGCGACTTCGGCTCCCAGACGGCGAAGGGCGCGTTGACGACGATGCTGTTGGATATGAAGAATGTTGTTAAAAAAGGAGGCTTCCTCGTCTCCATTGGCAAGCAAACCAACAAGATCACAGAGACCGGGGTGATTTGGGTACTGCTCAATAAGATAGCCAAACACCGCTATTATTTCAGCACGAACAGTCTCGGCACGCTGTTTCATACCATCCTTTAAAGATGGAAGAAGAACCGTATCAAGCAGCTCGGAAAATTCTCCTGTGTCCTCAGTTTCCATTTTCAATATCGCACTGTGGACGAAGCGCCGAAGGCCAAGGGAAGCACTCGTGCGAATTGCGAGCTCCTCTTCATCCTTTATGTGGTAAATTAAATTATACAGCAACGGACGCCACTCTCTGGAAGAGAAAGAGAGATATTTCTCCTCGTTTATGCAATGAAAGGCGCTGAGACGTCGCTCGAAATCGACCTCGTCTAACTTTTTACACGAGAGGGCATTTAAGTCTGTAATAAGTCGAGATACATCAGATAAATTTGTGTTCAACGTCGAAAATAAGACAAAGACGGACGAGAGAACTTCTCGATTGGGGTTGTCTTTAAAATAATCGAACATAGATGAAAGGGTTTCAAATATCTGTTGATTTAAATCTTCATTTCCTTGGGGGTCAAACATTGAAAGAAAATGCTGTAGAACTCGCAGTATACCGCCCTTCGTCTTCGGAGGAACCCTGTCTGGAGGTTGTCGCAAAAGGTAAATGGAAGTGCCGATTAATTTCGATACTTCAGCAGAAGATTGTACGAACTGTGCTAGTTTTGAGAGAGTATCTACTGCAGCCATTGTAAGGCGACGAGAAGATTGTGTCCGGAGTAGAGAATCGATCCGAGATAACATATGCTCAACATTGGGGATAAAAATACGAGACCGAATTAGGTCCGTTAAATGCTCAGGCTGAATCTTCGTACCTCCGTCTGGAGTGCTTTCTGTAGATGTAGCGGCATTCACGAGCCCATTCAGCACTACCTCAAATACGAAGAGCTTTACTTCATCTCGAGCAGAAGCTATTCCTAAGATATCAACAATACTGGGAACAATGTCACTGTTGGCAAGGTACAACGCTGACATAGTATGAGATGCCCAAGTACCGAATAATTGGAGCAAGCCAGATACGCTTTGAGCAGTTTCCACGGCAAAATTAGACAGTCTTGGTTGAATAGTTTCTGCGAGCATAATTGGCAAATATGGTGTCCAGTCGACATCCGCAGATATTGAAAAGACTAAATCGAGGCACTTAGTGCCTAGCTGCCGAATATTACGTATCAGAGATATCTGGTTGTTTTGATTTGGATCCAAATTTCCTTGCTGTTGGAGTTTATGCAGTTGGCGACAAGAGCGGACCAGACAATATAAAATGATGTTCATGGTACGATCAACAAATGGGCGCATTTTGCTTTTGAGAGTTGAGTACATTGTCTCAATCATTTTTAAAAGACCAAGTTGCCTTTTCAATCCTATAATTTCTTGGGAGAAAGCATCTTCAGGTTCAGGTAAATCGGCCAGAACACTAACATGTTCCAGTGGACCGAAAGCCAGACCTACAAAGCGCCCAAAATCGTTCTCCAATAGCTGGGAAACGGTCCTGAGGATCGCCTTTCTTCGACCCTCTTGGCCACCACCTTGAGAGCCCCTAAGGCCGGAGCGCGTGACCATTTTACCGTATAATAATCGCAGGAGATAGAAGAACAAATCTTCACGATGTTCACTTTCAATGATGCTGTCTTCAGTATTAACATGTACAAATACTGCCAGCTCATCTCTAAATCGCGCGTCATCAAGGAGGTTTAGTAGATTTTGCTCGTATGGCTGGACGGCTGGGAATTTCCAGGTAAATATTGCCTTCATAGCAAGCTTTTGAATCTCGGGGTCGCCATTGGATAAGAGATTCGCAAGTGTATCGTGCACATCGGATGATTTATACAATACCCTTGGGTTCGTAAAATTGCCAAATAATGCGAGCATCGCCTTTTTATCACGCAAATCCCAGCGATCCCTAGACTCCGCCTTCATATTTGAAGGCTCGAAGTGGGAGTCATCGTCTTTTGAAGCCCAAGCCAAGAAAAGGGGGACCAGCTGCCGGGATTTCTTCTCTGCAACATGTGGAACGGCAGTCAACACTCGTAAGGCTTGTGATCGTGCATAAGCGGGGCGTCGCGCCCTGGAAGAGTGGGTTTCCTTGAAGTTATTCTTTAGCAACGACTCGGAATTTCTCGCAGTATTAAAGGAAGACGAAAGAGATTTTTCAACGTTGAGTACATTAAAACATTCAAATTCTGATGTCAAATTATGTTCATCTGTAGCAGCATCAATGTGACTATCTTCATTGCAGCTCAGGTCAGTAGAATCTGGGAGAAGCCAGCTCATCGCAAGTTCGGTGACTAGCCGTTCTCCGGTCGGCGTGCTGCATATCAATTTGATTGCTTCACAAGCGTCATCCCAAAGAGACGCTAACTTCTTTGAAAGTAAACCAAAACAAAAGCTGGGTATTAGACGATCCAGCCACTTGATTTTTGAGGTTTCTTTATAAGCACCAGCAAGACGGCGCACTTGTAGGGAAAGTTCTCTTGCTGTCTGTAAAGTTAAGTCACTATTCTCAATCTCAATGGCCAATAAGACGAGGTCAGTTTCAATATTGAGCCAACAAAGAAGGGCATGGATTATTTTTAAAGATAACAGTCTCAACTCATGCGACGGGCCCACAAGGACTGAAAGTAGAGAACTAGCAAAAGGTTCAATGCCCTCCTCCGAAAATGTGGGTGGCTTATCAGACGCAGTCGTGTATGCTAGGGTCGCTTCCAAAAACACGGGGACATGGGCGAATTCAGGGCCTCTTAAAGCAATTATGTCCCACGCGTTGGCGTCAAGATCGTTGGCCTGTGTCGCAAGTTTAACATACGCAAGAAATCCAGAGCCACAAGCAAACAAATCTAAATCGGCTTCTTGGACCGTTTGCGGGCTTGCAGCAGAAGTCACCAAACGATGTAGGTTCTGGAGTACCTGCGGAGTAATAGATGGGGAGCAAGATAGAGATATTGCATCCTGCAATGTTGTATAGGCATTCAAGTATAAAACATCCGTATTCGTCGGCTCTCCGATGGAGAATCGGCGTACAATAACGTCCTTCCACCCAGTGGGGCAAGTCACATATCCGAGCCGATTAGGCTGAGAATTTATGCAATTCAACCCATATATACGGGGTAACGTAAGGCAAAGTCCCGCTTCGTAATCCTGCCAAAAGGAGAGAATAAATCTTTAAAGAGGAGTGTTAGCTCTTCTCTAATCAAGACTCCGTAATTCAGCACTTACCGCTGGAAGTAAAGCAAAACTACACTGTGAAACCGCTCAGAGCCGAGTGTAGAAAAAAATAAGCAGAAAGGTAGAAAATATTGTGAAATCTGGCTACTGATCATGGTCTCCATAGTCTGCCGCATATAAGGCAGCAGCTCGTCCATCGGGGATGTCTGTATCGCTACGGCCGTAGCCCCAAGCAGTTGCTCAATCGATAAAGCGGAATAATCCAAGTTCTCAGTCTGTTTCAGCAACATCAGCAAGACGCTATGAACGCGCTTCCAGTCCTGCACTCGAGAGCCTTTTCTTGTCACAACGCAAAGAAATATCAAGCGTGTGTTAGTCCTGAAGCGAGATATAGAGCCCACAGATATCGAGGAAGCTTCTATGCAACGGCACACAACATCGAGGACTGGTGAAAAGGTATCGGCAGTACTGTGGTGAACAAGATTGACTAAAACGCCACTGAGAACAGCTTCAGCCAAAATACACTGGAGGCCGTCATTTAGAGATGTAGCGTCAATTAAACACTGGAGAATGTCGGCACCGCATGAGTGGATCCCCCCTTTGACTCCTTTGATCGCATCCGCAAACATATTCATTAGCCCTTGCTGATACATTCCTGTCTGACGTTTACTGTCAGTCGTGCTCAAATCTTCGAAAATAAAAGCGACAGCACGCTCAAGGGGTATTTTGTTCTTATAGTATATTGTGGCGGCTTTTCGAATAAGAAATGACACGGACTCGGCGGCGAATCTAGCAACGAAATGTTTTTGTGGCTGCTTTCCAAGGTACGGGGACATAATTCTCAACAGCTGCCGTAAGTCTGGTACAAGCAAGCGCGAGAGAAATTTGAAAATCCACGCCAAACAAGTAAAACTCCATTCTATAACTTCAACACTTGAGTGGGTAGCAGCCACAGAAGCGACCAACTGGACAGCAGTCCCAAAGTGTTTCTCAAATTTCGAGCCCAAGTCCCTTGCAAACTGCGCCAGTAAGCTGAGCAGAGGTTCCATACCAAGCTCCTCTTTCCTCCCTATATATTCAACCAACAAGTTCATAATCGCATCCTGGTGGTATAGCACTTGCGGCAAGCTTTCGCAAAGGCGTCCAACGCGCTGGGAGAATTCTGTGAAAACTTCAGACAGATTGAGCTCCATCCAGTGCTCAAGTGAAGTCCTAAAATGCGAATGTAGTTCGTCGCCATTTTCTTCGCTAAAACTGTTCCGTCGTACTCGGTGGACAGGGTCTATCTTCAACTTTGCGATTCGTTGAGAGAAAGGTTCAAAACGATGTGACTTTGTGGTTTCGGTGCCACCTTTGCGTAGCCTCGGGGGTTTATCCCGGGCTGAATGAGCTGCAACCATCTTGCACCAGCGACTGCGCAGATTGGCCCAGAGACCTTTGCAAGCAGCTCTGCGCAATGCTCAACTTACGCACATCGAAAATTATGACGGAGCGGTAAAACTATATTCCATAGAAAGGTGATTTAGGCACTACTTAGTAAGAAATTAGTTAGTTAGTTAGAGAGTTAACTAGTTAACTCCTCTGTTAGCTATGTAATAATCAATTAAGTCTTGGCATTAAATATGTTAGCTCCATTAACTATTCTGCAGATAGCACGCATGTGGACAAAGTTCTTCCATGGAAATGAATAGCCTTCTTCTTCTTATAATTCCACTTTAATGAATGAAATATGAGCACTGTTTCAAACCTGCTCTTTCCACCAAATCATAATATTTTTATCACGAAGTTCTTTGGAGTTTGAATAAATGGCCTCCAAAATGTATGTGTTGTGTTTTGATTTTTTTTATTCCCTTCCACCCCCTTAATCATACACAAAATACTGATCTCTCTCCCTAGAATTGTAATTGGAGGTGTGTTCTCGGCCTTTGAAGAGGTGTTTAGCAAAGTGCAAAAACTGCAAGCCAAACAGAATTTCTCATTTGCCATTGTGGCTGGCGACCTATTCGGAGAGACTTCTGATCCGAGAAACAGTGGAAAACTAGAAGCTCTCCTTCAAGGGAAAATAATTATTCCATTGCCAACTTACTTCACTGTTGGACACTATCAACTTCCAGATGCTGTTGTTGAAAAGTTAGAAAAGGACGATGAAGTGTGCCCAAATTTATATTTCCTCGGCAGACGAGGCGTCCTAACTACGTCCGAGGGCGTCAAAATTGTTGCTCTCGGCGGTAATTTAGGGTCAAGTCCTGCTTCAAGTGAAAGTTTGGATGAGAAGTATCTACCGCAGTACACGGATGCTGACTGCAAGCTGCTTTCCAAGGCAGATAATGCAGATATTCTCCTCACGAACCAATGGCCTAAATCAGTCCAGCATGGTTCAAATGTGTCAGTTGGTGGGTTAGACACGGTGGAGGGCGTGCAGTGCCTCGCAAACCTCTGCTCCATGCTTAAACCGAAATATCATATCTCTTCATATGCACCTTTTTTTTTTGAACGAGAGCCCTTTTTTTATCTTCCTACAGACGATGATTCGAAACCAGCCCACGTTACTCGCTTCCTCAACATAGCTCCTTTCAGGACATCTTCCAAGCAAAAATGGCTTTATGCCTTCAATCTCAGTCCGGGTACCTCTTCGTCTACACTTCCTCCGGGGGCGACGATAACACCATTTTTGGATAGTATACCAAAAAGAAAAACCGAAGATGATCAAGAGATGACGTTCAATCGCTTCTCGCAAAGAGATGATCACCGTCATCACAACAAACGTGCCCGCAGATCGGCTCCTAAGCCATCAGAATGCTTCTTTTGCCTCTCAAATCCGGACATTGCAACCCATCTTATCACTTCTATTGGTACAGACTCTTACCTCACAATTGCAAAAGGGCCCCTTACAACAATAAGCACCTTTCCTGGTCTCGGCTTTCCTGGACACATATTGATCATTCCTTTGACACATGCAGCTACGTTCTCAGCCATGAGTGACCCCGAAAATGCACGATCCACGTACTCTGAAATGCAAAAGTATCGATTAACTCTTCATTCGATGCTAGAAAAACAGGGTTTGGGTACAGTCACCTGGGAAGTGAGTCGGGGTAGTGGCGTCCACATCCACTGGCAACTGCTCCCAGTGCCTTCCAACATAATCAGACGTGGGCTAGTTGAAGCAGCATTCAAGGTAGAAGCCGAGAATTTGAACTATAGCAAATTTGAGAGACAGTCGGAGGATACCGTTTTGCTGGACGAGGGCGATCATTTTCGAGTCTGGATACGGGCGTCAAACTCCGACCAAGAGGAGCAGCCAGCATCGCCAGCAGAGTCGATATTAACTCTTCCTTTGTCTGGAAAATTTCGATTCGATCTCCAGTTTGGTAGAATCGTGATGGCCAAACTTCTTGCCCTTGACAACCGGGCCAGCTGGAAGGACGCCGCACAGTCGAAGACTGAGGAGATAAATGATGCAGAGGCGTTCAAGGCTGCATTTAAGAGCTTTGATTTCTCCCTGGATGAGGACTGATGTGGCCTTCTTCCCTGTACGATACCCCACAGCCGAAACTCGTATCTATTTTTGGCTTTCTTCTGGGCTCCTTATATATAACTACCTAGTATCTAGTGACACGGAATCCAATAATATCCTCTCCGCATCAGCAGGTGTGAACGTGAGCACGACCGACGAGGCGTACTTTCCCTTCCGCTACCCCAGATGCGTGGCAAGAAGCTTTCGCCGTTGATGCTCTGCTATGTCGCTTGACATATTATTACCCATCCATTCGAACATACGCTGTGCATGTACTGCGACCACGATTTTAGTTCGTTCCATATATGAATGCCTGAGGTAGAGTTTCGCAGATCTCCTATTCGCGGGCAGATACTCCTCTTCTGACCGTCCTTTCAAGTAACAAAAGCTAACGCCGCTATGTTTAGACAGGGATATTTCCTGGCCATTTGAGACTTTTTGCATATAATTTTGTTTTTTGTCGACTTCTAAATATCTTTATTGTAAGTACATACATATAGATTTAATCCACCCGCCTTCGCCGGATGGATGGACTGTCGACCTGTTTTCTCTGACCCCCGCAGTGATCGACCAGGACAGCTGTTCTGTCGACCAACCTGCCCACAGCTCGGGCGATAACCCCTATCTTTATCGTGTTACAATTAATATCGCCAAAATTACGCGCTCACTGTCTAAAATCTTTTCCACCATTGCCGACATGGCATTGGTTACCCTCGCGAACAGCACAGCAAAACCAAAGCGCTTTTTTAGCTATCGGATCCCGCGACACAAAATAAAGGTCTCGCTGTCACGTTGCTTTTCAGATGCAAAGGCGCCCTTAGAAGTGTCCGCAAGTGGGCATGCTGCCGAGCAAGCGACTGGCACCATTGCAGAGAACTTTGACGAAGCATATCGTGACCCTGGCCTAGATTGGTCTCGAGTGCCGCCAAACCCACCGCGCAGTGCTGGCATTTTACTGGTGGTAACCTCGCCTGATGGCAAAGTCAGGCTGGCACGGTGAACTATGGCAGTTGAAACATAAGTCGCGCAGAGCTGCTGAGTATCGACAAGTCTTCTCCCAGTTACAGAAACGCAGCTTCTTACAGCCGACCACCAATAAAGAGAACTACATACTTCAGTCATAGCCAAGTGCGGATGTCTGTTCACTGGACCGCCAAAGCTCGAAACATTCCCAACTCCCTACATTTTTTACATACATAGATATAGCTTGGTGCTAATGTAACTATAGGGGGTGTATTGATAACCAAAAACGCCAGAGCGCGATTTTGTAAGTAACTAGTTGGCACCCAAGGCAGTAGTCGAGTTTGTGTCTTGCATATCATTATGGTCTTTTTCTTCATCATCATCATCATCATCTTCTTCTTCTTCTTTTGACGGAAATGGAGTGCTGGACATGGCCCGCCATTTTGGTGATAAAGGCCCGATGAATTTGACATACTGGACATGATCCTCTTCCTCCCCACCCTCCACCCATATAGAAGTCAGCGATTCCGTGCCGGATTCAACCACCTCTCTCCATTGTGCATTCGAGTTCTCCGTGTAGAATAGCCTTGTCAACAGTTTTTCTGCGGCTTGGATACCAATAAGCTCAAGTCTACTTGTCCATGTATCTCCCCAGGCAAACATTGTGCGTAAATTCTTCGTTAGAACATTGCGACGGAGCGGATATCCCCCGTCGATAACGCCAATCTCGTGGACCTGAAGTTCTGGTCGGCTTTCTAAACATGTTGAACAGGCTCGCTGGCAGGTGAGAAGGTGGATACGGAAACACAATGTACCGCAAAACCGACACCTTGGCTCGAGGAATTCGGCATATAACTGCTTGAGGGGAAAATAGGAGGAAACCCCAGCGACACGTAGGGTCTTTATCGAAGAAAAGGCGCGAAGCATCATTTGTCGATACGCATAGACCGAGCTAACAGCTTTGCAAAAATAGCTGTTGGTGCAACGGAAGAACATCAGACTGTCTACATCCAGCTCCATAATAATAACATGTAATATTTTTTGATCTATGCATTCCAGACGCGAATTTGAGGGGCTGAAACCAACGCAGCTAGCGAACGAAGATGGTGGAGTTAGATATGTTATTGGATTTTCGGGGTAGGTGGTGTCATCAATCGCTTCTGGGATACCACCGAAGTCTGCTGGTACAAGACTATTGGAGAAGCAATTTTCCTCGTAATGCGAATCCGCATTGCTATCAGAAGAATTTTCTGCAATAGATTCCTCACTGAAGCTTTCCTCCGCGATGCCATGATATTCCTTGGACAAAACCATCTTATTAAAGCCCCGGGGGAGGGAATAGTGTCGATAAAGACAACAAGATAAGGATAATGCCGAAAACCGAGAATCGTATCTTCAAAATCTAACAGATAGAAGATAGAATAGGATATCTAATGTTAAAATGCAGCGGCGCTTTTGGTTTTGTCTGGATATCTGTATTTTTGCTCATCACGGTAACAATTCCTGCGACCTCGCAGATGATTTTAGGATTCAGCCGCGAAAGCTTTCTGGGGTTGAGGTGTAATAAGGGAAATGCCATCAACGAAGGTTTATGGTGAGAATAAGTGGGAAATCAAGGAAATGGCAGACAACCAAGGAAATTGATGGTAATCAAGGAAACGGCGATGCAATAGGGATCTCTATGTGTGCGAGTAGTAATAAAGGAAAATCTCTATCCGTTCACTCCATGATGCGCAGATCAACGCCTTGCTACCCAAATAGTGCTATCAATAATATAGACAGTAAAACGGTACACCTTCTAAATTACCTGTTCAAGCAATTAACACTTTTCCGTAATGATGCATTCGCGCGAGAAATATTAGAAAAGCCCCAACCAACATTAATCCGCCGCTAAACCCCAGAGCTGGCGTGAAACTCTTAGTGTTGCTAATGATTGCACCCATCATCGGCGACCCAGTAAGACAAAATACCCCTATCACGCCAATCATCATCCCAAGATAGGTTCCGATTTGATTGGGATGAGGAGCAGTAATGGAGATTGTCGTTGGGAATAAGCCAATAATCGCTCCAGAAGTAATACCAAAAAATACTGCAAAGATGATGAGGCTCGAAAGTCCGGTCATTGCAAGGAGACAAAACTCTAAAATTCCGGAGAGGAAGACAGCGCATATTAAGACGTTGAACCTGCCACAGTAGGACGTAAGTTTCGAGCCCGCAATCCGACCAACAAATGACCCGGAATTGTAGACCGGCAGAATATAAAAGGCCCAGTCAATGCTAATTCCGTGAGCGATTGCGAAGGCAGGTAGGAAGAAGAAAGGGGTATAGATTCCCCAGAAGATCACGCAATACCCCACAACCTGAAGTGAATAGACAGGTTTCTTAAAGGCATCAAGAAGAAAATGGGGACCTCTTCTCGGCTTGATGCGAGGAACGAGTGTTACGCAGGCAAACAGTAATAGTACTAGAATGATGAATCCGATAACTCGAATTGACCAGCCAAAGCCGACGTTTGTGTACTGTAGGAAGCGGTTGAGGACAATCGGGAATATTATTCCCCCAAGAGGAGAACCAGCAGACGAAATACCAATAGCAAGATCACGTTTCTTCTGAAAGTAGTGGCCAAGGATCGATATGGAAGGGGTATAGAGCATCCCGATACCGAATCCACCTAGAACACCTTGGGCTAGAAGGAACTGGTAATATTTGGTGCAGAGCGATGTGAGCATAATGGCGACGACGTATAGAATTGAACAGGGGAAAAGAATCATCTACAGTAACAGTGAGCTAAGGATTGCAAATAAGGCCGATACTGATATGTCTTTTGGGTAGTATTTGTGTTTTTGCGTACCTTTGTACCATATCGATCCACGAGTGGGCCAGAAAGTAGCCCAGTAGTACACATGAAAAACGCCTGCAACGAGCCGATCCATGCTATTTCGGAATGTGAATTGTTGCGAAGCAATTTATCATGGTAATAGGATTCTAGAACACTAGAATGCACTCGCGTTAGATTCCTTTTCTGCTTTAGCGGTTTGGTGAGAATAATCCTACCCAAAAGTACTCAGATACCCAAAAGTACTGAACATAGTGGCAAAGGCACCCGCAACTGCAAGCCATGCCCTCAGTCCTCCATCGGGAAAGGTTGATAGATCGTCAAGCTTGTCGTCCGGTGTGATAGAGGAAGAGCTCTCATTTTTCGAGTCCAATTTCTCCGACATCGCTGGTCTGTTCAAGTAAATTTTAGCTACAGCAGCTTATGGCCGCCTTATTTCAGGCATCACAATTTTTGAGGGGATGAATTCCGAGAGAATGGGGCGATGTGGGGAGCAAGGTCCAGGTTTATATAGACCCGACAAAATTAGCACATCGACAGGCTGACAGCTGGCTGATACCGCCTGCAACCAGTCTGCTAACATAGTTACCCAAACACCCGGTGGAAGAGGAAGTAGAACCTCGTTGGCAGGGATCAACGGGTGGAGAATCTGATGTTAGCCATCCCTTGACACGGCGTTAAGAGGTCACGGCGGATGTTTCGCCGCGCCCTGAGCCGGTCTGTGGGCTGTCGGGACATCGGGCCGCATAATAGGCAGCATGTCCATGGTCAGTGCTCATCTCATCTCTAAGCCAAGAACGGAGCTTTTGATGCCCGTTTTGGGTGGGCGAGAGTAGGAAGCCCGAGTCAAGTTTGTGTAAGGCCCGACGCCTCAACGGAACGGGCGGAATGATGTGCATCTCCACGAGGCGGGTTGGGTGTTTGAATTCGAGCCAGGGTTAGCAATTGATTAATACATGATTGATTCGAGGTCGGGTTTGTACTGCGGAGCTAGCGATACACAATCAGGGCAGGCGTTAACCCCGATTCCGACATGAACTCCAGCGGCACCGCGATACTGGAATCCTCTGGGCCCAAAAGCCGGTAACTCGGCACAAACACGCGTTACCGGAGAACCAACACGAATTGTGAGATTTCTGGTGAGGGCCGCCCACCATTATCGGGGCCAAGATTCGTCTAACTAGCTGGCCGGCAAGGTACGGCTGTTTCGGGCCAACTCTCGTCCGACTTTCGACTGATCAGCAAGGATTGGTTAACTACAGTAATAGAAGACGGCGAATAAGCAAGCATCAACGAAGTGCTCTTTTCTCCTTTAAAAGTTGATATTTAGGATTCCGTTTAAATAGAGCTAAGTTGCTTCTTGCGCATATGTACATACATACATACAAGAGTGGCCAGAGTTGGATTTTCGGAAGAGCTGTATCTGCGAGCAATTGCTTGAGACTTGTTGTTTGTAGTTCGCCCATATTATTCCGTATTGTTGCAGTTCCCCTCACAAGAGTTCAGGGAGTTCAGGTTTAACTACTCCGTAGAAAGACTGTTCTAGGGTTAGTTGCATATGATTGGTTCTGTGATCCAGCCAAATCTCAGCACAGTTCCTGGTTGTCAAAAATTTTTTGAGGCGAGATGCGCAAAAAAGCTTGTTTGGGCCTGAAAGTGAGCTGTCAACAATTGGAACGCCGAAAACCGCTTGATAAAGTTCGACTAGAATGATTCCGCCGTACTCCGTATTGAGCGTCTATACTCCGTACTCCGTACCTCAACTTCCTCAAGTCCCTAGGCACAGATGATGAGAACTGAGTAGAAAATTGAAATAAATATTGAAGCATGAAGACGCATCACTTACTTATCTTTAAAACGCACAGCGCAACCGATCAGAATGAGGTGCGGAGAGTGAAGCTGTTTTTAAAATCGTGCTGTACTGTGAGGACCAGTGCACCAGGAAGGTGAATTGTGAATTGAATTGATAAAGCAATGAATAAAAGGAGGCGGCTCAGTTTCAACATCATCCCACTGAGGCGGCATCACGGAGTACTCCGATCACGAAGCAAAGAGAGACCTTGTTGGAATGCACAGACACTTGGCAGTGCCGGGGGTAATTATGCTGAGTCATTGACTCTAGCTGAATATGGTTAGCTTATATAATCAAATTAGTGGATCCCGAAAGCTTATGTAACTAGCGAAAACTCTATTTAGCGCGATGCCGTCAGTTTCTCGACAAGCGCGGCAGTTGGCAGCCAAGTCAGTTCACCATCGTTAACAACTCGTTAGAAAGATAACTGCCTATCTGTTCATTACCACATCGACTGGAGAAATTATGAAAAATCCTAGAGAAACTGCTACCTGAATCTCTCTGAAACTCTGAATCCTTCAAACTACTTCCCGACGCCTTTTCATCAGCACTGCCAATGTTCCAATGATGGAGGGGAAGCCAGACCCTTCATCCGTCATCAAAATCCCCGAACTCCTCTTAAACATCCTTAAATATCTTGAGGGCGATACAAAGTCGTTGTTATCCGCTCTTCTCGTTAACAGAACTTGGTTTGAGTGCGGCGTCACCATCGCATGGAAAAACGCTACTGTTGCGTCGCTTGCGGCAGCCAGCGAGGAAAATCGCCCCATATATGCTTCAAGTATCCGCCATATAGGATGCAATACCAGCTTTCAAGCTAGTTTGCAGGCGAAAGTTAAAGACCTTGAGTTCACAAATCTTAGATCATTCTCAATAGAAACATACCGGCTACTACAAGATGAGGATTTGTACCTTGAGCAATATATACGTCCAACCTTGGAGTCTATACATCTCTATGGAAGTGGCCTAGGTTCAAAGTTTTTCACTGCAGTGCAACTTCGTTGTCGTCGGCTTCGTGAATTAACATTGGACAGCCCAGGACATGAACTTACCTCTGAACATTTCCTTGAATTTCTTAGAGGTTGCTCTGCGCTGTCACAACTGAGCCTTTTATACGGCATTGAAAATATTGTTAGTGACGACGTCGTTGTGCATCTTGCATCACGCGATAATCTTAGGACCCTCAGTCTAGGCCCGGTCATTGATTCTAGACTCATGGAGCGCATCGTGGTTGATGTTTCGAACCCTTTTCAACATACAAAAGACCTTCGTCTATCTCTTACATCCACAGCTTTACATCTAATTACTCCCCATTTATCTTCACTCACAGTTCTTGAGCTCACAGTCAAAGATAACGAACACAGTGCTCTTGAACATGTAACATCTCTTCGGAATTTGCAACGCCTTACCATCAATTATGCAATGAATACAAACCTAAGTTCAGCGGAACTTCTCTCACTAAAGCATCTCACTAATCTAGAGGCAATCACTCTCAATGGTATGCAGCATGAAATGAATACCTTTAATTTGGACTGCTTCCAGTTTACAGACAGCGAATTTGAAACTTTGCTCTCGAGTTTGCCACGCCTCTCCCGCCTCAATTTTGGCGTCCAGTGCATGTTAACAAGTACAGCATTGAAAACCGTTGCAAAGTATTGTCCACGTATTGACACATTGCAAATCCTTGTCCCAATAGAGACAACAATACTCCGTCCAGAGAGTGTGGACCAGGAACCCATGCTTCCTGAATTGCACACCTTGGACCTTGTAGGGTTTGATAGACCGGCTGATGTGTCTCCTGATGATGAGGAAGTGTGAGTTTTTAGCCACAAACAGCCGTGCCCCCTTTGAATTATTGCTTGGTTTAGTTACAAAGAGAAAGACTAACACAAATTCACCAGGTGGATCGCCGCAGCCAGGACAATAGCGTCATATTTTGTACACCAATTCCCAAAGCTACATGAGCTTTTTTTCATGAGCGATGATCCCTTCTCAGACCGCCTGGCGCTGGAGTTTGATCGACTGATTGGCCGAACAACTGAGCCGTATGATGAGTCTGATGATGATATGTACGATGGACCTATCAGGGAGGGTGGCCCACTTTCCTTGTAGTCAGTGGAATTTGTGATACAGTCTCGAAAGCTGGTAAAAGATCGCATGTATAAAACTAACGAAACATGCAGAGATCTTTTTAGCGGGGTGAACTTATGGAATACCTTACTTCCTCTGGCTACTTACTGAGTTAATTTTGATTAATTGGGGGGGGGGAGGCACTTGTGGGATTTTGAGGGCATCTTTGTTTTTTGGGCTCTTTCATACATGCGCATGGAGTTCGGATTTAACTCGGAGTAAAGAACACGAAGGAGCATCAGGTGTCATAATCGCGAGAGGAAGACCTAGTCTAGCCCATTCCACATTTATCCTGGAAGATTTCAAAACAGAAAATTAATCACTCATATGAAACTTTCGTTCAAATAAATTATATGTATGCCGGAGACAAAAGCAAGAGACACAAGCCTGCCCCATCCCTTTGTTTTGACCCTTCCACAAAGACATCCGAAGTCATTCCATACAAGCATCCGGAAATTTCTACAAAAAAACGCCGCATATCACTTTCCCGGGTAAGAACAGACATGAAAGAAAGTCAGGAGCAGAAGGACCCGGAGGTCAACACTGACAAAGCGGGATATGGAAAAGACGTAACATACGGAAATGGGCACATTGAAGAAAAGAAATATTATGCACAAGAATAAAACGTGGGTCGCGAGCGGATTAAATAGAGAAAGAAAAGAAAAGACCCAAGTGCGAGTTACAGGCATAAACAATCTGCTGCATTTGGAAAAGGCAGAATCCGAGGTGCAGGAAGCGGAGAAATCAATAAGATAGGGATAAAACGGAAAGCGAGGAAAATAATGGAAGAGTAATGCAGGTTACACGTCTTTCCACGAATTCGAAACTGGCTTCCGTCCGGGCTGCAGTAACCCGGGCGTATTACGTCCAGCGGGGTTGTCACCGTACGTCGACGAGAATGGCGGCGGTGGAGACGATGGTGTGGGGGCAGAATAGGGGGCATATCCAGATTGCTGCTGCCCGTGCTGGGAATACGGAGCATAGGGATTTTGGGCATATGAATTCTGTCCGGCAAGAGGGGGTGGAGAGCCAGTCGTGGATCGCGGGTATGGTCTGGATGCGTCGGGATACATTCCTCCGGAGCTATGGACTGGAGACTGGGTTCTATAGGCTTGATCGTTGTATTCATGAGTGCGGGCAACGCCAATAGATGAATTGTTTACTGAGTTGCTCGGGAGCTCTGCACCACGGTAGGGTTCTGGGGCAAAACGTGGAGAGCTTGGTTGGGATGGGACTTCTGCATATCCGCTGTGCGATCGGCCGATGATGCCCAGTGATTGGCCACCAGTATTTGAAGGGTTGAGGTTCTTCATTTCCAAGTCTTGCGAAGTATCCTCCACCCTTCTCGTTGAAGCGTGTTGCCAGCTTGGCATATGAGGTAGCGCATCTTCATTGACTGGCTTGCTTGGGGTGTCAAATTGGGCATATTGAGGAACCGGGCTAGAGTAGTTGGGAGCGGGTGAATTATACACAGGTGGAGCGGGCTGTTGAAAACCATAGCTGGCGGGTGGGAGAGGCTGGTATGCCGCGGGCGGATCCGCATATTTGGAACGCGGCGGGCCATCATCACTGCGTTTCCTACTGGAGGAGGAACAGCATGAGCAGCAAGAGCAGCAGCCCTTACAGCATGTGTAACCGCAGCATAGACACCCAATGATACACCAGGCGATACCGAGAACAACGAGGGATCCGAGCACGATACCAATAATAGCGGGCCACCTATGCGGTTGGGCGAACTGGATTAGCATCCCTTGCTGCGGGGTCTAGGAATAGAGACATCAATCCAAAACATACTTGCAATACGCTTTCTGCATGCACGCATTCCAGCTGGAGAAGGTCTGTTTCACATCGGTGAGAGCGCGGAGCTCGTTGCGATGCCAGGGGGTTAAGTCCACAGGGCCCATGGTTCCCAGTGGTAGTTTTTTGACGGCCGGGGCAGTCAAACACGAGGGGAGATCGAAGGGTTCTTCGGCAGCGCACGGAGCCAGGACAAGGAGCGGGCAATTGTCAGAATGCGTCTTTGTCTTTGGTGCTAACGGGGTAGGTAACCGGCCAGGGGCTAGGTAGCGGGACGGGGCACAACGAGCGACAGTAACTAGTTGAGTGACCACGAGTTCGCTGGGATCACTTCATCTCATGTCGCGACCGGTGATTAGGCGGGGTTGCTGTCGCATATAGCTTCGGAAGCACACACCAAGAAGGTCGCGGCGGGCAAGGCTGAGGTCAATCGACGCTGCGCAGAAAGTATGGGTTTGCCCTGTGGCGCCAGTCCTGATCCGGGCAAATAGGGCGCGCCCCGAGTGGTTCCTGGGAAGCGAAGGGCAAAAGAGCACGAAGATCTGGGATCGCAAGAAGCAGCGCGACGCCGCTCAAGAGAAAAGAAGAAGTGAATGACGATGGTCGAGTGCTTGTTCTGGAGTCGGCGGGGAGCACTGCCTCCCCGGCTCAGCGCTGGTGGTGGCGCTAGGCGAGCTAATCAAACACTCCGCGGTTTGGGGCAACGGGGCAGCGGGCAGGACAGGGCACGGCAGGGCGACGCTGAAGAGTTTCTCGCAGCAGAAAATAGGTGAGAGGACTTATAACAATATCACTAGTTAATTGCGCTGAAATTTGATTGCGTCTAATTCTCCTCGTCCAGGGGCATGTCTCGCCGCTAGCTAAGACCAGCCCGACATGGATGCGCTGAACGAACGCTGGAGATACGCCCGCTTGGCCGCGGAGAGCGGAGAGGCGCTTTTTCTTGATTTGAACTTCGTGCTCGAGAGTAAGACGCGGGCTTCTGGGCGGTGACAAACGTGCGAGTGGCTATTTCAAGAACCGCACGCTGCTTGGAATGCTGTTGGTAACGACCTTGCCCCTGTCAGTCGCCGCGTACTCCTGTGCGCGGCCCTCGTAGCGATTGGCACCAATGTTGCGAAACGGCCGGCAGTGACAGCTTTGGCCGTATTCTCCATTATCGTCGACAACGTTCGGCGGATCTCGTTCTTATTTGAGCGATTTCGGCGTTGGACGTTGTTCTCGCATGGTAGCACCGCTTGCGCATTGTACGGAGCACTCCGTACGGGACTGAAAATACGAAATTACTTGTGCCAATTGGCCGTAAAATTAATCGCCATTAGCTACGTGTGGAGCAATTTCAAGAACATTATAACCTGGAAAGCTGCTTAATGGAGAATTTTCCGAGAAGAGCGGGCCGTAACGATAGAGAAACAGAGGAATTCATGGTATTCATACAACAGATAAAATCCCTCCAGAAAAAGATCGGTGGCATGAGAGCGAGAGAAAAGGTGTCAACTGAAGCTGACAGAAACAAAAAAACGTAATGAAGTAGTAATGCCGTATCTAAATTGCAGGTAATGCCTCCATAAGCCAGCTCCCTGCCTCAAGTCAAGGCAAAATTCGAAGTGCCTGGCGTTTATGATGTTTTAGGCGGAGGGGGGCCTGCTGGGGGTCCATACACGGTTTCTCCCCGGTATGCATTTGGCGGTTGTTGGAGTTCGATTCCTGTCTGTTGGTTGCTGTTTGCGCCGGCTGGGGGTGGACCATTCATGTTGTTGTTATTGTATCCATAGTAGCCGCCTGCTTCGCCTGCCGGTGTGTACTGGGGAGGTGGAGGGTACTGATATTGGTACTGGGGCGGCGGTGGTGCTTGCTGTCCTGGCTTACCAAGATTTGCAGCCCAGCCGGTACCCATGAAAGGTTGCATGCCTCTGTTACGGCGTCGACGGGCGGAAACACACCTACGAAGGAAACAGCGGTTAGCCAGCGTGTAGGAGAGGGTTGGGGTGGGTGAACATACGCAAAGAGAAAGAAGATCAGAAAGCCACCGGCGATGATAATAGCCAAAAAGACCCATCGGGCCCAGTCTTCCCAGACACTGGTACAGTACCGTCGGCCGTCAATGTAATAGCATCTGCGGTCGAGCGATGGTTAATTAGTCAAGTCAAACCAGGCAACGCTAATAGCCTTAATAAAAGGGAGGCCCAGTGCAGCAAATCGACGAGCGTACCTCCGTTTCGAAAACTGAGTTTCCATTGTTCACAATCAGGGCCAACAGCAGCCCAGGTAAGAGTGTATGAAAATGTTGCGGGATGCAGAAGAGGAATGAAGCGATTGTCAAAGTCGTAACACTTGGCAGCAGGATTTTGGGGTGAGCGAAGGCAGCAGGCTTTGGGGGCGGTCGGCAACCTCAAACCCAGATTGTGGTGCCAGGGAGTTTCAGGGCGAGGTCAAGAGCAACGAAAGAGACGTGAATCAAAAGACAGGGCTTGCTGTAGCGACCAAAAGTTCAACGAACGACGGAACGGGTGGATATAATGGCGATCGCTCAGCTGGAGGGCACAGTAACAGAGTCGACGGGGGGACGACGACAAAAATGTGGCTCAGCGGCCATGGCTGGGGTTTCAGGCAGGCCGATTACGTCATCATGCTGCCAGCCCTACCTTGCTGGGACTCGGGCAGCCGACGTGGCTCGGCTATCGTGGCGCACGCTGCTTCACATGATGCCGAGCGTCTATTTTTGGGCTAGTTAGCCTTTGCCGCGCGCTGAGTCATTGTCGGAGCCTCGTTCCCCCGCGCCGGCGCTGTTTGTGGCTTGGCTCCGTGATGCATCAAATTCGGCCGTCTCCAACAGTACCAAGACCCTCACGGTTGCTCGTCCCGCTGTTCTGGCGGCTCAGAAAGTGGAGTTATATCATTCATTAGCATAATATTCATTCTTATCTGTCTTCTTCCATCACCGACCCTGCCCTTGGTCGTCGTCTATCTATAGTTTCGCGTCACTCTTTTTCAAGTTACCCCTCATTACCGGCTTTCTGCCATTGCTCGGCCCGATGCTCAACGGGTCGTCAACCATGTGTGGCCATTATGACGACCCTGAATACAAGGCTCTCGAAAGCCACGATGCTGTCCCGTCACAGTCTACTCCGGCGTCCTATTCTTTTCCTGATGATCGACTAAAGCAGACCATGGACGACCCCGAGAGAATTCCCTTACTTCTTGTCGCGTGCGGCTCGTTTTCGCCAATAACCTACCTTCACCTACGTATGTTTGAGATGGCTGCCGATTACGTGAAGTTTAGTACAAAATTTGAGCTCATTGGTGGTTATCTTTCGCCTGTATCGGATGCATACAGGAAAGCCGGGCTGGCTAGTGCGCGACATAGGTACATATAAGAACACTGCTCCTTCTTCCTTTGATATTTAAAATCAGGAGACTAACGACTTTTGGCCCACCTTTAGAATCACAATGTGCCAGTTGGGTGTTGACAAAACATCGAATTGGTTAATGGTTGACCCCTGGGAGGCCTTGCAAAAGCAATATAGCCCTACCGCTAAGGTATTGGACCATTTTGATTATGAGATCAATATTCGTCGTGGTGGAATAGATATTGGGAACGGTGCTCGTCGGCCAGTGCGGATTGCTTTGCTGGCAGGCGCAGACCTAATTCATACCATGTCCACACCAGGCGTTTGGAGCGAGGAGGACTTGGATCACATCTTAGGCCGATACGGGGTATGTTTCATTTTAATTTATTTCATCCAAAATTCCTCATTTTGAATAAATCTAATTTTTTGGGCGGCATAAGACCTTCATTGTGGAGCGAAGTGGCACGGATATTGACGAAGCCATTGCTGGTTTACAACCATGGAAAGACAACATCTATGTTATTCAGCAACTCATACAGAACGACGTCAGTAGCACTAAAATACGTTTGTTCCTGCGACGTGAGATGAGCGTTCGATATCTTATCCCAGGGCCCGTGATCAACTATATTGAAAAGCATCAGTTATATGAAGAGGACAATGCCCCCAGCATATCCTCAAGTACTCTTGACAAAGGGGGTGACCAAGACGCGTCTAAGCAACAGTCCAAAGACAAGGAGCTGTCTTCAAATTGACGACAAGCACCCCATTCCCTTTGTATGTACATATTTCCTGACACAGTGCCGGCATAAGTGACGAAATTATCGCCTGCTAGACGTCCGGTCAGTCCCCAGGGAGCATCTTCGGGTATCCCGATTGTTACCCTTCCCCGCGCCCCAAGTGTAGCAACTGCTACTGTTCATATCTAAAGCTTGTTCGCAATGAACTAAGGGGCCCATTCTTGCGAAGAACTCATGCAGCGTGGAGTCTTTTTCTCCACCACCAGTTTATTTAGAACTGGGAATTCTCAGGCAAGAGGAAACAGAATGGTTCCAGAACATTGCTAAATTGAAGATAAGCTTTTGCCTTCGGAAGCGCAGTGTTCCCAAGTGCTGTTATAGAGCTGCAGAGACGCTTAGACTAGTCATTTTGGATACCTTTCTTCAGAGCTTGGGCAAGAAACAGCGCTCCGTAATGTGTAATGTTTATTTTCACTATAACCAGCGTTTTGATGAGCCGGTTTACTACATAACTACTCGAATAGACATTGCCCAACCCTTTCAGTCACCACCTCAACCGCATCACTAGCCTTCCACCCAACTCCCCGACATTCTCCGCTGTTCCTTGACTGTCTTAATAATGTCTCTATTATTCATTTCCTCGCCGCCTGGAGTCCGGTCGGAGTACCCACTCGCTTATCTAAGCTACAACTGTTTTGCTATTAGTACAGAAATTGATAGCAATCTCGGTTCTGTTCCGATTAAATTGTATTAAATAGCCGTCAGTAGTACAACATTCTAGAATTCAACGTTTAACCCATCCAGTGGCTTCAAAATTTGGCTTAACCAACTCAAACTCTGGGATTCGAGATCTAGAGGTAAGCTTGACACATCAGGTCCCATTGTCCCAACCCCCCCTCCTCCCCAGTAAGGCGCGGGGCGGCGGGATGCTTGATCTCAAAAGTTCCAACAATCCACTATTTTGGGAGCACTGTCCTTTGTACATTAACTATACCTCAAGGATCTGTCAAGCCCATGGCATATTTTCTGTCACATATTGAACAACATATAAAGCTAACAGGTTGCCTGGAAAGATCAAAACAATTTTGAAAATGGGCTCTCGTGAAGCATTGCCTGCTATGCAGACACAACCAAAGATTATCTTCTTCACAGACTTTGATGGAACAATTACTTTGAAAGACAGTATGTTTTCTGGCGTTATCATTTCCATTCCCTGCCCATCAGGCTCTGGCTAAACTGGCGTACAGGCAATGATTATTTAGTATGCAAGCTTTATGCGCTCACATTCACCTATCTGGGTGATATATATTAAGTTCATCATCCACTGACATCTGTGGCGGTGACTTCTAGACCGACAATCTTGGTTATGGGCAAGAGAAACGCCGTGCAGGAAACAAAGCAGTTCTAGAAAACACCATGACCTTCCGGTATACCCTCATGCAGTCTGACTATGGGACTTGATTCAGCTTTGGCGCGAAACACAGCCTTTTCTTTTTTACCGTTGAAATGCGGAATGGTATGCTAAGCTACGAATAAATATAACAGGGATTCCTTCCGTGAGATGCTAGACAGTGTCAAAAACCCTTTTGACGAGTGCATTCAGATTCTTTGCGATAAGATGCAGCTTGACCCCTATTTTGCGGAGTTTTACAATTGGGCCAAAGATAACAATGTTCCAATCGTAATTTTGTCATCAGGCATGGTCCCCATAATCCACGCACTGCTTGTCAAACTTCTAGGCCATGAACCAGACCACATTCAGATCGTGGCAAACCAGGTCAAGGCCAGGGATGGCAAGAGTATTAACGAAGTGGGAGGTTGGGAAATAGTGTATCATGACGACAGGTATTTATGCTCTTCTGAAGCACGATGATGAATATTAAACTGGTCTATTTCCATAGCCACTTCGGCCACGATAAGTCCCTCGAAATCAAGCCATACCGAGCTTTGCCCTCGGATATACGGCCAATATTGCTTTACGCTGGAGATGGTGTATCTGATCTCTCAGCCGCCTCTCAAACAGATCTTCTTTTTGCGAAGAAGGGACATGGTATGTGTGTTTGATTTCTGAGAGGTTTGGTCGTTCATTGCTGGGTTTTCTTACCGTATATAGATCTCATCACCTACTGTGAACGGGAAAAGATCCCTTTCACCGTGTTTGAAGATTGGTCGAGCATCCTTGCAAAAACAAAGAAAATTTATGAGGGAAAAACAAACCCGAAAGCGATTGCAGAACAGCAGTTGCAGAATGCATAGATTATTTTGATGCGTCCGTAGCATCGAATTAGAAAAGGTATATAGCTGGATAGATTAAGCAGACTCGCGATGAACGTGTTTCAGTTGAGTGTCAAGTAGTTAATATAATTTAAAGAAAAATATTACTTGGTCAAATCCTCATATTCAATCTCTCAGGCCCATAAAGCAAGCACAGAAAAAGAATGTTGACAAGGGTGAGATTCGAACTCACGCCCCATTTCTGAGAACAGGACCTTAACCTGTCGCCTTGGACCGCTCGGCCACCTTGCCTTCGAATATACTTTCTTGTCGAAGTACTAATTACGATCTTAATGCCCGGCTAGTCTGGAGTTGAGATTTCTCCTGTACGGCCATCCACATTTGGGTGGGAGACAGGTAGAACCCTTATTTTGGAGTCGTCAATAGATTCCGTTTAACAGCAAAGCGAATAACCACCAGCCATATTTACAACGCCATACGGAGTATTCTAATAATTGCAACGCCCTGTGATGTTGTAATGGGGTGATATGTTCGAACTCGGCGTTCTAAGCGGGTTTGTTGTATCTCAAAATCCCAGGGTCTTATTCGAAATGACTTGTTTTTTTGTGAACCAGCCACCGAATTTTTCTTTCTTCAGTTGCTTTTTCCTCGATGCTACTCCATGCTCCCCTAAAGATGCATTTGCAGGCATCTTTGTATCGAGCGGGCATTCAAGCCAGGCATTGTCACCGACACGTGTGGACTGTTTTATGGAAGGATTGTATGCTTGAGTTCCTTCGGAGCGCCGGCTGGCGTTCTTTTTTATGCATGTACGATATGCTAGTTCTTCCTTCGCCAACACATCAGTGCATCGGCCTCCGCAGTTCTCCAGCGAGTGGGAACCCAGGATCCCACAGGGCTATATATGCGGTTCTCTTGCGATGGGGCCTTGAGGTGGAGGTTGAAAAGGTTCGAGAGGCGCCCCAAGGTGTTGAATTCGGAAGTTTTGGAGGCATTTTTTCTTTCAGCGAGATTGCTTTTTGAGACAAATTATTATCTTCGCGGCTGTCTTTTTTAGAATTATCAATTATATTGAGTTCAATTGATCCTTTACATGTGAATATTATCAAATTTGCTCCACCGTCGTCTTCGAAGTCCAATTCATCGGCCAAGAATACGACTTTCACCGTCACGAAACACCAAAATGCTATGCAAAGGGAGGGGGGTATTCATGCTGTATGTAGGCTAAGGGAGGCATGAAAACGAAAACATCATCGGCCGTGATTGAAACCAGAAAATGCCAAAAGACAGCTTCGTAAAAATGGCAAAACGAAGGAACCAGGAATGCCGAAACCAGAACATACAAAAAGACACCCCGAATAAAAAGGCCGTTGCAACAAGGGAGAAAGCAGCGTAACTGACCGGAAGCGTCAATTTCGCCATGATGCAAAAGAGAAACACAAAAAAGGGCTATTTGCTTGAACGCGCGATCAACCAATGCAGCACCGCATCTAGATTCGTTTCTTCTTTGGCGCTGATGCCATAGCAGCTGACCTCGCGGCGAGTAATAGACTTGAGGTTCATCTCCTCGATCAGCTCGTCGACCGATAGCTTGTTAGGGAGATCGGATTTGTTGCCCAAGACAAGCAGCGGAATCCTATCCAGAGATGGCTTATTGACGAGGTCATGCAGCTCGTCTGTCGCCACAGGCAAGGACTCTCTATCGGCAGCATCTACGATGTATCTAACTCGCAATTCAGCCTTGGGTTTGCTGACGCGGTGTTGGGGCTCGTGACTTACACTATGGCGTTGACTCCGCGACAGTATCTCTCCCACATTGGTCTGAATCGGGGTTGGCCGCCGAGGTCCCAGCTGGTGATACGTATTAGCATGGCTTCAAGTGCACATGGTCAATACTAGAATGATCTAACCATTTCAGCGTTACGTGCCCCTTTCGCACGTCTTTCGTGTTGAAACCGATCGTTGGAATCGAGCTTTTTTACAATTTTGGATCAACATGGCATCCGGACTCGGTCACCATGGGAGAGCTTCAACTTACTCAATTGTGAATTCACCTCCCTGAGCATCAGATTAGCACATTTTCTCGGGTTTTTCAAACGGGAACTAAAACACTAACCGCTAAGACTCGCAACAGAGACGATTTCCCGGCGTTCTGAAGCCCGACCATCGTCACATCCATCTCCGTTGCCCTGCCCCAGCCATCCAGCCATATCAGCATCACATTTCATCCAGTCCATCGCCCATGGGTGGGCTGCGGTGTTTGTCGCGCCGCTTGGCACCACTCCGCTTAGGCAGCCACTAACCAGAACATTCTGAGCAACCAGTCATAGATGCTCCTAAAAAAGCTCCCCATCCCGGCCCCGACGCTCTCCCGAAGCCTGCGTTTCTTCCAGATATGAAAGGGTCAAGCCGAAGATGGCAAATGCAAAACAAGAAATGCCTGGTGCAGGCCAGGCAGAACAGGAGGCAGCTGGCACAAGGCGATGATAATAATGCAAGGGTTTTGTCGGTGAAGGGAAAAAGGCCTTGGTTTTGCGTCCAAGAAGGCGTGGCGTCTGTAGACTTTAAAAACGTCGCAAACAGCGCACTAAGACTTGCACAATAACAAACCAACTAAATTACCCCTGAGCTTCGTGCTGGAGAGCCGATAGACCAAGAGCAACGGCAACTACGGAGTGCACGAAGGAGCTTCAGAAACAGCCCTGAGGGCAGGATACGAGTGGCCTGGTGCTGATCCGCCGAGCGGGGGGGGTTCTGCTGTGTTTCAAGGGCCGCGATGTACTCCACGGACCAGCCCAACGCCATCGACGACCGCCCGCCTATCCTTCTGAACGCAGCCGGGATGTCGGTGGACACATGATCAATAATGATTCGCGGGCTTTACGGAGCGTCTGTGCGACAGGCAGGATACAGACCCCTAGTTAGCTGATCCTCTTCCCTTAGCTCGCCCAGCGGCGTCGGGGAGGGTCCCTGTCAGCGCCGGAGGGCGGTCAGCCTGTGGCCAGCGGGCCTGCGACAAGCACCACCACCTCGACGCCGCATCTCTGCGCGTTTCGAGACCGGGGCGGTTCTGCGAGCGGCGCGCGGCCTGACTGGCAAACTCGCCCGTCGCACTGCGGAGGCCCTTCCCGGCGCTAAATGCGACCAACGAGCGGGTTTGGGGCTGGTCCGGGCGGGCCTGGCCGCCCGCTGCTATTAATACGGAACATGCGAGATTCACAGCGTCCACTGCCACTGCCCCGGGGCGTCAACGGCCCTGGACGATCTCGTTTCAAGCGGTGAACTGGGGCTCGACTGTACGATCTCGCTTCCGACATCTTGTGCCTGCGCCAAAAATATATTCTCCCCTTGCCGCCGGCCTCACCCTCGAATCAGGACTGCTCAACTCGCGCACCCTCCAGCTTCCTTGTCAGGCTCGGCTGCCTGTTACGCCTGAAACAAATTGGACCCCACGTGCTGGACCCTGAGATCAAGTTGATTTCTTAGTTGAAACTGCAAAGCGCAAATTCTACCTAAGGCTATCACAGTCCACAATTCCACGCGGCAGTTCAAACCAGCACGGAATTGTAGTCAAGAGATTTGTCCTTACAGGCTTCGGCACCTCATATTCCTCTCGCTACCCTATTATTTGTTGCTATCCCAGCTGCTGACTGAAAGGCAGTTCTCTGTACGGAGTGCACCGAAAGCAAAACCATACTCCGTATAGTTACATACATGACTACTACATAGTGAATATACTAAAACGAAATACGCTGTACTCCGTACCATTTAGTTATTACATGCCATAAGATCGTTAAATTCCCCCAGGGCGTAAATTTCGAAATGCCTGTAGGGAGAACTCCGTACTCATTTTAAGAACCATTTTCCGATCTATCTTGAAATGATCCACTCTCCGTTCGAGATCAGATTTGCTGTGGAGTTTACAATCTGGTGATGGCTACTCTCGGTTGACCTTTTAGGGACTTTAGCCGTTAGCTATATTACAATATGCATAAAATCATTGGCTAAAAACTCACGTACATACATACGGAGTGCATACTACTCCGTACCGCTGGACGGTCGATATATATAGAATATAGATAATTTACGAGACGAACCCCGCCTTTATTAAAGGCCATAATCGCCACAGTAAGAACATACTCCTTTTGCCATACAAATCCTCCTCCATTCACTGAGATGGCATGGGATAACCTCAGTTGCCAGCTATTATTAACCAGAGCAAAGATGCGTCCTCTCCATGACGACGAAAAAGCCTTAGTGGTAACTACAGTCCGAGTTACAGTCCACACAATGGGCTATGTCTTCGAATGCGATACTCGCAGCTCTAATCATGCATCGATCTACCTTATCGCGAACAGTAACGAATCCGTTCGTTTGAATATGGTTAACGCCAATACGACAGATACTATGGGCACATAACTCGGTGAACCATTGCCGTTATATCAGCTCAGGATCATCTGTTCGAAACTTTGATATCAAGGCTGCACAGAGTATAACTGTTGAACATTTTCTGAACGTTATACTCCAGAAAGGGTTGGATAAATATGAACTGCATCCTAGCGGAGTGGGATGACGGTTCTGGACGTACGTCTTCCATATAGCTGAAATCCACATTTCAAGCGCTTCAATTAATTAACGGGACTATAGGAAGTCGGTGCTCGAAGCCTTTGAATTCTCAGGGCTGTTTGATCAATCTGAAAGTACATCTCAAGCGGCGCACGACTTAGAGTTCAACTACACATTGGGAAAAGACAAAGAATTAGATCCCATGCTTCCAGGAAGGTTTATTCATAAACAGGTCCCAGGATTCCCAAATTAGCACGAACATGTTGATTCAGGAAGTGCCGGGGATCCTAGACAGGCCCTGAAGCCACATAGATCCTTGGGTCTGCTGGTCACCAAGAGCTGGGTTCATATGACATATTTTAAGAGACTGGAGTGTCGGCCAGTAGCATAGGCTTCCATAATTTCACTATATTGGTGTGCGCAATAGATCTGGATCCATAAGATCCAGATCACACCACTTTGTTTATCATGTATACACAATCAGAGTTACACTCTGATTGACTATTTTGCCCTACTAGAGGCTAGCCACTCACTTATATAAAGCACCTGGATTTTTCTTCAATAGAGATAAGATGAATCAGGCATTTTACTCCAGTTTGTAGCTCATAGGGTCACATGGAATAGTCCTGTTGCACTGAAAGAAAGCAAAGAAGGTTGTAAACATTGGAGCAGGAGAAAATGGGAGCAAGCTTGGTCAGATCCTGCTGAATTGACAAACAACAAATTCCTACAACTTAAAGTGGAGCACAGACGGAGTACTTTACTATGAGAATAAGTATTTTCAAAAATTCACGTAAAACCCTCCAATTTTACAAGCAATTGATGACATAATGCAGATTCCACCTAATCAGCTACCAACTCAGATTGAACTTGAACAGGCACAGGGCGCAGCTCTGTGTCCTTTTTGCTTAGACAGGAGCACTTATAGCAGCTACTAGCAAGGCTGAGCAACGAACGAAGTGAGCGAGCTCTGCTCGTGTAACTATGTTTGTACTATGTACTCTGTATGTACTGAGTACAGAACATACTCCGTACTCCGTACTGTGATTGGGTATAATTAATTCTGACAAGGCTTGGGGTGCGGGAGCCAATCAGAGCACGAATAAAAACACGTAGGTAAAAAAGTCTACGGAGTACTGCGAAAGATATATAATTGAAATCCATTATTGATGATAATATATCCGCCTTAGTGGTCCCTATATGGTGATTGAGGCTTGGCTAGTATAGGTGCTATCAGACGGATTAGCCATTCGACTAAAAAGGCGACCACTTATTTGTCCCACAGAGTATGGATATACTCCGTACTCGGAAAGTTACGGACTGCTTAGTTAACTACGTAAGCCAACAAGGTTTGGGATGCATGCTTATTAATCAAAGAAGGCATGAGTTGATATAAATCTAGTCGACTCTGGGAACCCGAACCTACATATGCACTCCGTATGTAGTACTTAGGTACTTTTGTGCAGAGTACGGAGTAACCCCATCCATGTTGAGTACCACAGGTTCGGAGGACTCCATACGGAGTACATCCACTAGCTACGTTGAGGCCTGCTTGGTTGGCCAACAACTTATTTTACTTTTACTGCACATGCTGTTCTATCCTTTTAAACAGCTTAACCTACGAAATTTAATCTAATCGTTGTTGGGTTCCCACACGCCTTTCCCCCTCGCTACTGTCTTTTTTGGCCTTTAGATAGGTTCTCAACGTCCTGCAATGAATGCGGTAAGAATTTTTACTATAATAACTGCTTATCATGTGTTGTTTAGCCATAAATGCTCACAAAAACTCTTTGAGACTATACCTTCTCGACTTGGCCGTGTAAGGGACATGGTTCTGGGCTTCATCGTCAGGCATTCTCCTTTACTCCTCCAGCGTTTGGTCATTCAGTTATGCCCTCCGTCCTGGCTTGTCAGCCTCTCGAAATATACTGGAACTTATGATGGCTACTGTATTACTCCATGTGTCTTATCTCTTTCTTCTGACATTGTGGTCCAGTATGGAATTGGAATAACAAGCAGTCGGGCTGCAATGCAGGAGTACGCATACAAGCGTGTGGATCAAGCTGTAGTCCGCATCCCCAAGGTCTATCGATTTTTCATGTACCGCTCAGCCAATCGTTCATGCTCTTATGGGTATTTATTTATGGAGTATATGAAAGGAAAGACTGTTCTTGAGCTTGATGAAGCTACAGAAAACAATGAAGCTAGTACTGCTTTAACAAAGCAGATATCTGGCATTGCTGTTCATCTTCTGTCAATCAAGGCCCCAGATGGAACACCACCTGGTCCGGTAAATGGTGCTCCTCCTGATGGATATTTGTGGGGAGATGATGGTTCAGACACTGCTTTTGCTTCCGCCGCTGATTGGAATACATGGCTAAACAGAAGGCTTAAAATAATAAACAAGTCCATTGACATCAGTCCATACTATCCTCTTGTGATATGCCATGGTGATTTTGTTCGCAGAAACATCATTGTTCTAGATGATAACAAGGATTCAAAAACCAACAGGAATTATAGCTATGAAGGAAGACAACTGGCCTTAGTTGATTGGGGCTTTGCCGCACTCTTGCCTCGGATGTGTGAATTTGCGTCAATGTTTAGTTATAATGATGAAGGGGGATATCAATATACATTGAACCTGCTCCAGGCTACTAAGGATGAAATAGGAGGGCTGACACAGGAAGAGGAGGAATGTTTCAAACTGCTTGTCAGTGCACGAGCAATGTGCTTGAGATATACTAGATTGTAAGTTCAATAAATTTCCTTTTTGTTAGCGAGGCACTACTTGCAGCAAGAAAAGAGATCTTGACTAATTGATGCTTTTTAGCAATTAAACATGCGACCCATCCTTGTTTACCAGTAAGCTCTTATGGGATTGATTACGGCTACCCTGGGAGGTTGTCATGCTAAGTACGTGGCTCGGCAAGCGCTGTACAAATTAGATGCAACCCTATTGATTGATACTTGTTCATCGAATATTTTTAAGAAACTCGATATTTTGTACTCCAAGTTGAGAGACACAGGAAATGAGAGGGATCCGGGATGCTACGGCATACGGGGCTTTCAATCGAAGGGAGCGGCATCGCAAGGAATAGAGTGCGACTACTTTTGCCATATTCTTGGTTTTCTTCTCATTGCTTGCACGACTGTTTCAGTTCCCGATACTTTGCTATTTTCAAGAGGCTTTTAGCGATACAAACATGTTACATGCATACATAATTATGCATATATTACTCCGTACTTCCACGTATTTTTGACGTTTCATATTGGAGATAGTCAATAATTGATTGTATGTAATTCTGTGGAAAAGTTTGAAACGTACGGTGAACTGAGATCCATTTTCTGGAAGGGAAACTTATATAACTAAGATATAACGTACTGCTTCTCGAATGATAAAGTATTCAAGGTGGTATATGTATACTAGTCAAAATCCTTTTATGATACAATCAATGTAGTTACGTATTAGTAGTAGTTACAGAGCAGCTATATTGAGAATGATACTAGATTGTACTTACATTTTGTTTGGAAAAATGATATGCCAAAGGTATTAAGAAAATCTAGAATTCCGGTAGGGGTGGGGTTTTTAGAGCCGGTGAAATGAACACCCCCTAGACACTAAATGTTAATAGCTATGCAAAAATTGTGGCTTTGTTTGGTGGAGAACGTTGCACCGTCTTCATCATCACCAAGACTCACCACCGCACATCACAAATAATAATGGTAATGGAGTAACTCTTGCAATGACCTACAATAATTATTAAAACACAGACCAAAGGTATCTCAAGTACTTGGTATGGACAAGTGTTGACATTCAGTTGAGACTGGTTACCATAGAATCGATCTTTTCTCAATTAAAACATGAATAAGGATATCCAGCCATGTTGCATATCAGTCACTTCTTCATGGTTGTATGAAGTATTGGCTCTTGTCCAGACGCGTAATCACTGAAATATCCAGCAGCAACGTCTTGTCTCTGGGGCTTGGTTGTATCTGTGTGTTGGGTTGCAGTATGTTGGAGTAGGCAGTATATAAGGGCCTAAGGCCAACTGCCCCCAGGACCCATCATCCTCTTCTCCAAACACCTCACTGTTCTTTGATCTCGATCTTCGCTGTTTACTTATTGATTTCAATCTCCCATAATGGCGCCACTACTGCTTGCTACTCTTGCCCTTGCAATGGCTGCCATCTGCACGGCAGCAGCACTTCCTCCTTCTGCTGAAGGATCCAGGATTGTTGGTGGAGTTGAGGCAAAACTTGGTGAATTGCCTTCAACTGTCGCTCTTGTAGAAGGGGGCCAAAGGTCAGGCGGAGGTATATTGATTGGTCCAAAGTTGGTTCTCACTGCCGCTCATTGTGCGTATAATACCAGCATGGATTTTAAAATCCGCGCAGGGGCTCTTGTAAGTTATGATGCTCCAATAAACCAAGGCAAGAAAAACGCATACTCACCTGTTTCTAGAAATGGAATGAAAGTGGAATTTTAGTTAACGTGTCGCGGTATTGTTGTACCCTGAATATAATATTAATGGATACAACCATGATATTGCACTTTTGTATTTGGCAGAGGAGGTTTCAGAAAGCCCAACAATTAGCTATGCAAAGTTGCCCAAGCGAGAATCAGACCCTACTGCAAAGTCCAAGGTAACAACAGCAGGCTGGTACTTACTCTGGATCCCACAGATAAAAACGGCGCTGATTGTTAAAATAGGGGCCGAATAGCCATCGATGAAGAAGCGTCCGTAACACTAAGGCGCGTGACGGTTTCTGTTGTTGATCGGTCCACTTGCCGGGCTGCATACCAAAAATTGAACCTGCCAGTCACAGAAAACATGGTTTGTGCTGCAGAGCCTGGCAAAGACTCGTGCTCTGGGGATAGCGGTGGGCCTCTTTATGATGACGCAACCAAGGATCTGGTTGGTGTTGTATCCTGGGGCTTTCAATGTGCTGAACCCGGATTTCCAGGAGTATACGTCAGAGTGGGCAAGTATATTGAGTGGATTGCCAAGAACAACAAAGCTCCTCAATAGAGTGGCCGCGGAGTATAAATGTTTACGGCGCGGGCTGCAAGGCTCTCTCATCCCAGTCCAGAAACTATCCGAAGGATGGACGGAGTATGTATGTATGTAATATGTATGCATCCAATCAGTGAACTAGACAAAGAATTCAAGGATGGCGGCCCGGTAGCGTTTGAAAGATAACCTTTTCTTATGATAAAAAAAATATCGAAGACTCAAACCACCCTGCCCCTTTCAGGGGTGAAGTGCCTGGAAAAAAAATAGACTGTCAATTTTGCTGTTCACAATACCTTAGTTATGTAACCATTAGGTACGGAGTATGGAGTAGTTTTAACATTAACTAACTAGGTACTCCGTACACTTAACTACCTAAGTTATAGTTAACTAAGTAACTACTCCGTAGTTAGTTAACTAGTTAACTAAGTTAGCTAGTTACTTAGTTTTAGTTATGTAGCTAACTAATTATGGAGCAACTAACTACTCTGTACTGAATACTCGGTTTTTTTTTTAAAAAAAGCTTAAGCTCAATGGTACTTTAATCAAGGAGAACCACATACACATATTTCTAATTATATTCTTGAAGACTTGGTGGTGCGTATCTCCTTTTGCCCAAGCTGGCAGCTTCAATCCCTCCTGGGCAAAAATGATGTCCCCCGCAACGTCCCGCACGAAAACGGACTGGAATGTTCAATATGATACTATTAGACGTGAGCATCTGTCCAGACACCCGCCGAAAGACCATACCGCATACCCGATGCTTGCAGCTGCTGTCAGACCCCATATCGACTCTTTCAATGCGTTATTCGACGACACCAAGACGATGCAAGTCGCATTACATGATATCGGCACCAAGACATTTCTGGACGGCGTCGAGGAGACAATGGAGCTTAGGAGGGCAAGGGGAGAAGAGGGCAAAAGACCCCCAAAAAGAAACAAGCTCAGCATACGAATTACGGAGCTGTTTTTAGAAAAAGCGGTACTACCAGCATCCAACAAATTCAGCACTCGTAACCGTGAAATCTTTCCAGCGGAATGTCGTGAAAGGCATGCCACTTATCGCGGAAAATTGAGAGCTAGGCTTGAATATAGAGTTAACAATGGCGACTGGAAAGAATCTGTTCGAGAATTAGGCCAGGCTCCCATAATGCTACGCGTGAGCAAAGCCGTGCTTGTCAGACGTAATTTTATTGTCATAATAACTGACGGCGTTAATCATATAGACAAACAGATGCCATCTGGAAAATTTCACCCCCTGTCAACTCGTCCAGCGCAAAGAAGAGTCAGAAGAATTGGGTGGATATTTCATTGTTAATGGAAACGAGAAGCTGATCCGTATGTTGATTGTATCCAGAAGGAACTACCCAATGGCGATTATTCGGAATTCTTTCACGAAACGTGGTACGGCATATACCAAATATGGTGTTCAGATTCGATCTGTTCGACCAGACCAGACATCGCAGACTAACGTTCTGCACTATCTCAGCGACGGAAATGTTACGTTTAGGTTTTCGTGGAGGAAGAACGAGTACCTCGTACCCGTTATAATGATCTTAAAAGCTTTGGTAGAGACCAACGATCGGGAAATTTTCGAACGCTTAGTTGGTAGGGAAGGCTCTTTAGGGATGAAAAATACGTTTGTTACGGACCGCGTGGAGCTGCTATTAAGAACATACAAGGCTTATTCTATGAATTCGAAGTCAAAATGCCGAGCCTATTTGGGAGAAAAGTTTCGATATGTTCTTGGAATGGCAGATTCTATCCCAAATGAAGCAGTTGGAACGGAATTTCTGCGCAAGATTGTCCTACCACACCTTGGAAACCAAAATGTCACTGAGCCTCAAGACAATGACAAATATAGCCTGATCCTCTTTATGATCCGAAAACTATATGCTTTAGTAGGCGGCGATTGTGCGCCGGACAACCCCGATGCTGTCTCAAACCAGGAGGTTTTGCTTGGCGGCTTTCTCTATGGCATGATTCTCAAGGAGCGTCTTGAAGAATGGCTACGATCCATTGGACCTATTACACGAGACTGGATTAACAGGAGCTCAGGGACGCCGTTTACTGATCAAAGATTCGAAAGAGAGTTCTTGAGTCGGATTATAGCTAGGACCAACGAAAATATTGGAAGTGCCTTGGAATACTTTTTATCTACAGGCAACCTTGTCAGTCCTACTGGGCTTGATCTTCAGCAACCTTCCGGATACACCATAATAGCCGAGAAGATCAATTTCTACCGCTTTATAAGTCATTTTAGGATGATTCACAGAGGCAGCTTCTTTGCGCAATTGAAGACAACGACGGTCCGAAAACTTTTACCTGAGAGTTGGGGTTTCCTTTGTCCGGTTCATACACCCGATGGCAGTCCATGTGGTCTTCTTAACCACCTTGCTCATAAATGTCTGGTTGCGACAAGCAATTTGGATGTATCCGGGGTTCCTGATGTTCTATCTACTTTGGGCGTAGGACCTGACTCCTCATCTTCGATCGATGAAAGTATCGCAGTTGTGCTAGATGGCAGGATTCTTGGTTACTGTTCGCCGAAACAGGGGCGTGTAATAGCTGATACGCTAAGGCACTGGAAGGTAGAAGGACATGCAAAACTTCCAACTGAGCTTGAAATCGGATATATTCCAAATTCAAATGGTGGTCAGTATCCAGGAGTGTACCTTTTTTCTCAGAGCGCACGAATGTACAGACCAGTGAAATATCTACCATTGGATAAATTGGACTATGTCGGGCCATTTGAGCAGCCATTTATGGAGATCGCCTGTCTGCCGGCTGAAATTGAGTCAGGAGTTTCCACTCATGTTGAATTTGACCCGACCCATATTCTTTCGATCCTGGCCAACATGACCCCCTTCTCCGATTTTAACCAGTCGCCCCGTAATATGTACCAGTGCCAGATGGCTAAACAGGCAATGGGCACGCCGGGGACGTCGATAGACTACCGGACAGATAATAAACTTTATAAACTACAGACCGGACAAACACCTGTTGTTCGACCTCCGCTCTACAATGCATACGGTCTGGACAATTTTCCAAACGGGATGAACGCTGTGGTAGCGGTCATTTCATACACTGGCTATGACATGGATGATGCTATGATTATCAATAAATCAGCGCACGAGCGGGGTTTTGGATATGGAACAATCTATAAAACCAAAGTTTACTCGCTCGATAATAAAGAGTCGCGAGGAAACCGCGCCAAGTCGAGGAAGGAAATTACCAAATTGTTTGGTTTTGCTCCAGGAGGCTTAATTAAGGCTGAATGGCGCAACCAGTTGGATGAAGACGGCTTACCGCATATTGGAGGTAAGGTGGGAGAAGGTGACATTATTGCAGCATGGCACACCGTTCAGTATGACCCTGCAGCAAACACATATCTCAACGTGGATAAACAGACGCATTTCCTTAAATACAAAGATTCGGAAGCCGGATATATTGACAGTATTCGAATCCTTGGTGCAGAAACGGGTGGTGAGCCTTGTCAGGCAATTAGCGTCAAATATCGCATTCCCCGTAAGCCCGTCATCGGAGACAAGTTTTCTTCCCGTCATGGCCAGAAGGGTGTGTGCTCTCAGCTCTGGCCTGCAGTCGACATGCCATTCTCCGAATCTGGGATGCAGCCGGATGTTATCATCAATCCACATGCCTTCCCGTCCCGTATGACAATTGGCATGTTTGTCGAGTCTCTAGCTGGCAAAGCTGGTGCCCTCCATGGTCTCGCGCAAGACTCCACGCCGTTCCAGTTCTCTGAGGAATACACTGCAGGAAACTATTTTGGCGAGCAACTACGCAAGGCAGGATACAATTTCCACGGAAACGAACCCATGTACTCTGGCGTTACCGGCCGCGAGTTTGCCGCTGATATCTATATTGGTGTTGTCTACTACCAGCGACTCAGACACATGGTTAATGACAAATTCCAAGTCCGTACCACTGGTCCCGTAAACGCATTGACTGGCCAACCTATCAAAGGTCGTGCCAAGGGTGGTGGTATCCGTGTCGGAGAAATGGAACGCGATGCCCTTCTGGCCCACGGAGCGGCGTTCTTGCTACAGGATCGTTTAATGAACTGCTCTGACTCAACACGAGCCTGGATCTGTCGAACATGCGGCTCGTTTTTATCGACGCAAGTCGCGGTCTCTCAGATGCTATCTCCGCATAGGAATCCTGCCATGGAAGCCGTGGTGAAGACCTCTAGTACTGCTGTGGCACGTCCCACGGGTGGTGTCAGTGCACTTGGGGGTCAAGCTGGTATTGTTCGGTGTAGGAGATGTGCCCGGGAAGCCGTGTTTGACGATCCACGGGCAGAAGTTTGGGAGGATGGCTCCGGCGGACGCTTCACTGGGGGTGATAATACCACTGTTGTTGCAGTGCCCGGGGTATTGAAATATCTTGACGTCGAGCTAGCGGCGATGGGAGTAAGGATGAAGTTCCGTGTCGATAACTAATTTCTTGTTGCCAAAAGTTTGTATTTTCTTGGGAGAGCGCTTGGGTGTTCGCGACATTTTCACAACATTATATAGGAGTTTTTCGCGGAATGTGACTTGCATTTTGGCACTTAGACGATTCAAGTTTCCATGTATTTTATGAATCGAAATAAAACACAAGGAATTGCTATTGTAATCTACATATCAACCTGTCCTATGCCTTAGCTATACGCCTATTCTATCGTACGGAAGAATGGACGTAACGCACATCTACCAAAACATAAGCAAGATAGAAAGAATATTAATGTATGCAGGCAAGCTTAATCACTCCAGTTTCATTGGCACATTCGAGAATTCACCGGTCTCTAACTTTTCTTTCCAGAATATTGGGTTCATGTCGCTGAAGCCATGTTTAACCCAACCATCTTCCTTGACGTGATACAAATTGACCGAACCACCAGAATAGGCGTCACGATGCATGGCAGCCAGGATACTTCTTCGCCCCAGATCGAGTGCCTCTTTCTCACTTAGTTCATAACGATACTCTGCGTCCAACACACCATATGCGAACGTCTGACCGGAACCAACACAGAAGAGATTGCCAGCTAAGCGGGTACCGTCTGAATCGATGTAATATAAAGCAGGGCCTTCTTGGGGAGTGACACCAGCGCACATTGTACCCATGCTCAGACCCATGCCCTTGTAATCATAGACAAGGTTTGCGAGGAGTTTGGAAGCTGCGGCGACGGAGATTCGACGTTTATGACGGAGTTCATGAAGGCGGCAGAGCATGCCTAGATATGCCAGCCAGTATTGGCAGTCCTAAACATAATGAAAATAGTATAGTGAGTAAGTAAGCCGTATAAGAAAATAGTATAAGATGCAGCTCATACCGCAGCACCGCCAGCCATTGTTCCTAGCAAACAGTTATTGATTTCGATGACTTTTTTGACCGTTTGACTTGCGATCCAGTTCCCCGCTGTCGCTCTCGAATCTGTAGCAACGATTATTCCACCTTGGAATCGGAAGGCAAGGGTTGTAGTTCCGTGGGCAATCTTGATTGGGCAGTCGGGATTGGCATGGTCATCTGTCATGGCTCGGAGGAATGAAGCGGGCTAGTCAACGGCTATTAGAACAGGAGATCAAATGATATCAAATAGAACTGGGTAAATATTACTTGAGAGATTGGAGGTAGATCAAACCTCAGGGATAATGGAGGGAGAATCGTTGTGATTTCCTGCTCATCTTGCTCTGAGTAGGCCAGCTCTTGACATCGCGGCCGAGAATATTGCGCGACGAGGGCATCCATTGGAAAAATGCAGCTATTTACAGCTTCGGAAAATATCAAGGAAGTACTAAAGAATGGAATATCGAGGCGAATACAGCTCGGGGTGTGGATTTCTGCTTTTACGACGTTGAAGGTGTCTGGCGGAGCTTCACTGGCGATGCTTGAGCTTCGTGTCGCTGGCGCCTGATTACATAATATGAACATCCTTTTCCTCCACTCACTTCTAATCTTCTACTTGACACAGACAATTGAGGCACCGTATAGTGCAAGTCGTATATAATGCATTACTTCAAAGCCATTCAGCCTGGTAAGTTATACTAACATATATTTCCTAAGCAGCTAGCCGTGTGTCCACTCCGTTTTCGCGTATTAATTCTTCGTTAAAACACACCCCTAGCTGAAACGTGAAGAATAACAATAAGAGTGCAATATCAACTAGACATATACTCATTAATTAGGATGCGATTTGTGGTCCGGGCGCCCCGGTATCACCACTCCAAGTGCCTTTCTGGTATCGAATATCGTCTGTTCCATCCGTGTATGCGTCACCATCTGTCCCATCATCCCTTGGACGGGTGGGGAGCATACCCTCTCCAACACCATGTGCAGAGGAGGTGACCGGCTCCATAACTGGCTCCCAGGAGCGAAGTTCTTGTTCTGCCTCTTCGAGAATCTGTTTACCACTCTCTGCGCCTTCATAAGGCTTGCGATCCTCTCCAGGTACGAGCGGAGTGTCATCAAGCAAGTTTAAGATCCGCCGTCCATGACGAGCCAAAATCAGCTGCTTTTCTGCCCTTTCTATTGTGGCCGCCAGTTGCAAATCATATGACTCTTTAAATTTCTGGCGAGTCTATTTGAAGAATCAGGACGTTAGTTTCGAGGCCATCCATCCGTCTTATGCCACTTTGCTTATTAGCATGGACCCTTACCATGTTCGTCAATTGGGCCTCAGCAACCAACGCTTGCGCCTCTGCTCTGACAAGCTCTTGCTCCAGGGTCGTTATCTTAGAAGCGCCCGGGTCTTTCTGTTTCAGCTTCTGGATCTCGTCCACGATCTTTGACCGGTGGTCACGGGCGGGCTGAACAGAACTTTCCGTGTTCCGTATATGCTTCAAAAGATTGCGAGAGTCCTCCAAATGCTGGGCGTAGGCATCTTCTTGTTCCCCGATCTCAGCCAGGATAACACCGAGCTTGTCTGAGAGATCCGAGACTGCCGCATCACTGGTAGATTCGCCCCAATCGGAAAGCTGAGAAGCCACAGAAATACGATCACGTCCAGCGGACTCGTAGGAATCGATAACGTGGTTTTCAGACTTAATCATCTTGAACAATTTTTTGCTTAGCTCCGGCTGACGCTCTCCACGAAGAGTGGCCATTGTGAACCGATGCCGTGGTCGGACCTCTGGCCCACCTTTCTTTCCCCGATTCCTGTATGTCCCCAAGGTTAGTGAACGGCAGTGCAATTCGCAGGGAGTAGCCCACATTTTGCCTTGGTTTTTGAGTGTATTTAAGAATGGATAGATCTGGGACTATATCAATGCAGTTCTTTTGACACAGGTCGCAATTAGACGATAGAATGGGTGCTGATGAGTTCGCAAAGGCAACGTGAAGGCAGGAAAGGCGGGCACGCGGTTGTTGTCTCTCTCCTGCCTTGCCTTGCGTCTGGCCCCTCGATGACGGCAGGCCGCACCTGACGTCATGGACGGCAAGCGGCTGAAAGTCTGCTGTAAAACGGCCTCACCTGCGCACATCCCATCCCTAGAGTGTTTGGCAAGCTTGCTGCCCATGCCCTATTGAGTTATGTGTGGCCAGACATTCCATGGATCTGTCGCACTTCGCCGTATTCTTTACTCAACTGTTGGTCAAGTGAAATTGCGACCATGGCTGCCTTGAACTTTGTCAAGACTTCTAGCTATCTACTTGGGTAATTCAGCGTGTGGTGATAGACTTAGCCTTCGCAGACATACACAGAGTCAATTTATTAAAGCAGCAGAAGGCCCCTTAGTGTCATTAACATTCCGCACAAGCTATTATCTAATGATGACTTGGAGGTTGCCTGACATCAGGGTTCTTTGTTAGCGGTTTCATTTCAATCTATCTACTAGCTACCTACATTTACATACATGATTATTCTGGCATGACTGATGATATTGAAACCGTTCCTCCCTTCCCTTTCCCTCCTTCTTCCCCCGATTCCTCCTTACTAACCCTGGCCCTCCCCCTTTCCTCTCTTAATAACATCGAACACCAAACGCCGTTGAAAAGAAGTGAAGAAAACAGGGAAAACTGACCCTCAAACAAAAAGGAATTCTGCCATCAGCGAGTCTTCCTCGCATGATATACAGACAATACCTACCTATTTAAACCCCGAAACGAGCTTCACCATGTGATATTATGGCCCAAATCTATTTCTTAACCAATTGTCTCCATGGTAAAAGCCTGCTGGTCTAATTTCGGTGGGCTGACATCGAAGTTGCTCCACTGGAGAATTCCACATGTTGGCAAAGTCGTAATGTCCGATATTGGGTGAGTGAGTTGTCCACTGGAGGTTTTGTGGCTTGTACGGACCTGGCTTGTAGGAATTTCGCTTGCAGGGATTTCGCTTGTAGGGATCTGACTTGTAGAGATTTGACTTGTAAAGATCTGGCTTGTATGTATTGGCCTTGTAGGTACCCCTTTTGCACGTTTCTGACTTGTAGGTAAATGTTTTGGATGTAGCAGGGTTGGACGTATATGCCATGCAAGCCCCAGGTCTGTAGGTAGTTGTTCTGCAGGTGTCACGTAGTGGCGGCTCAAAGTCATTTTGCCAAAGGGCCGGTCGATCGGTATAGCAAGGCGTGGTGTTGCTGGGGTACTGACCGCCGCAGTTTCGCGCGACACGACGAATGACGAAAATGTTTTTGACGAAGGGCAGCATCGTTGAGTAGCCTCAAGATGAAGGAGGTTTATGACGGCTTTAAGGACGGAATACTCTGGTCGAATGACGGATGTGAATAGAAATGCAATAAGGGAGACGAGAAAGTTCACGGCGATATTGATGTTGCCTGGGAGGAGCGAGTGAAAGGACAAATTTAGGCGTGACAAGGTATTAGCCTTGGAGGCAAACAGCCCAACAGCCCCGTCCCTTAGGCAAGCAGAGCCTGGGATATAGTTATTGACAACTATGTAGAACTCTTGCTCAGTGAATGTTAAGTCAGTCAAAAGGAAACGCGCGTACCTATTCCCTGAGTGGTGTGCTCAACCATAAATACTAGTGGGTAGCAGAGGTGAAAGATGAAGAGAATCAGCAGGTACTAAGGGTGGTAATAAGAGGCAAATGATACTGTTGAATGATTGCAAGTGACTCAGTAGTAGTGTGGCAAAGAAAAATGACTTTGGTTCCTGTGATGGCAGTATTTCTGTGGCTGAAGTTGCAAGAGCAGAAAAGTTGTCTTGGTTGCTTGAGAATGGAAGAAAAAAGGGAATGGAGGGGGGAGGAGGGTCATTATATAGGCAGCGTGCCAGGCAGGAATGACACCTGAGGCACCGATGCCTCAGCCATTTTGGCACGTAAGGCATATTTTCTCACAGGCTCTGGACTTTGGGGGAAGTGGAATCAGCCAGTTTAGCAGCAGAATCAGGGAGGGCCCAGAAGCACTGGATTTTGCGTGTCTGCCTAAGGGCACTGTGATGCTCAAACAGATGGAAGATCTGCGCCCGCGCGACGACATGGCAGCCAGCGCATCGTCTACAACGTCCAGACATCTCTAGCCTGCTGCCACCCCAGCCCATGGAGTCAGGCTTGCCCAAGAACTAGCCGGCCTGACAAGTTGTTCTCGTCAATAGGGCCACAGCCGCGCGCTATCGGACAGCCAACGCGGTCTGACTGGCTAGCCGCACGTCATGTGCAGGCATCATGCAGACGAGCGCGCCGGCGGGGAGCAGATGAGCAGAGCGTGCAGGACGCGTTCGTGCATCGACAGCCAACGGCTCTGGCAGCACAGGGGTCTGTCTGCGGGTTGCAGTGCTGGCTGGGATTCTCTGGTGTTTCGTCGCATTCTGGCGGCGGCTCGCGGCGGGCACGGGCGATTGGCGGGCGGCGGGCGCTAATGCAGGAGGCGCGCCGGGTGTGGCGATGCGCCGCCCCGTGACTGGCTAGCCGCCCCCGCGTGTCGCTTGACCGTTTCAGGAGCGCGCGTTTCTGTGAGCGTCGACAGCACGGATTGGAAGCCCAGAAAAGGCAGCGGGAGGGGTGGTATCCTTTGCTGGGGCATCCAGGATTTAGAACCGGGCTGCTATGAGCAAGCAGTGTTGTCCTGATTACGCAGTTTACCCGAAGGAGACGCTGCCATACTGGTCAAGCCATCCGCTAACCCATCGTATTATTCTTTACTCATTATTGACCTGGCCAAAAGGGAATCGTATGGAAGATCGTACCGCGCCTGAAAGAACCACCTAGAAGCAAGAGAGAGCCAACAACCGGAAACTATCCGGGCCTACACCGTATCAAGCCAAGCGTTTAACGGATGCGCCGCCGCTCCAGCCCGAAGGTAAACCGAACAAAAAAGACAACTGAACTCCGCCTCGTTTGCCTCTGCCTATCAGAGAGCTTTATGGCATGTCCTCGGTGTCGTGGTGCTGGTGCTCCCCCTCAGATGCATGGAATGCATCGCCAAAGGCTGAGTTGTCCAGCCCCCCCAGGTCTAGTCCGTCATTGTCGTCATAGGCGGCTAGTGCCTCCCCAGCCGAGTTGAAGCCCGTAGCATCGTCGAAGTTACTCGGCTCAAGGACATCGGGCGTCCCCAAGTTGCCGCTGCCGTCAAATGCAGTACTCTCCAAGCCTTTCCCGTGGTTATCTGCCGCCATGCCCGCTGGAGGCCCCCTCCCCCCTGCCGTTTCATCCGCAGGAATTTTCTCGTCTTTGTTCACCACTATCCAGTCTTCACCCAGCTGGTCGGCTGACGGGGCTGAGTTGTTACCCACGCCGCCCATATCAACATCGCCGCCAGATTCCGTATTGGGCCGCGACGCGCCTTGTGACGCGACGGAAGGCCCAACAAGACGCGTCGACTGCTGTTGGCCTAGTGCTTCGTTCCCCACTTCGAACCGCGTTTCTGCTGCCCCCAGTCTAGCGTTCTGCGGTTCGTTTAGCTTTGGCGTCTCTGCAGTATTTGCCATGTCGATATCTGCCGTGTAGGATGCTTCTACGGTTGGTTTAGGGGCTTTGTTGACGGGCTCCTGGAATCCGCCTTTGTCCACGCATTCAAAGCTCTTCAAGGGCATAATACTCTCACCCCATTGCTCCTGTACTGTATTTGTAATATCGGCGACTTTGGTTTTTGGTTTTGTTTCATGGGGTTCCTCCTGCTGCAACGTGTCTTCCTTGACGATTACTGGCCTTAACCTATCTTCAACTCGCCAAAATTCTGTACCAACATTTGTAGGATCGACATAAGCGTCACGAAGGCGTATTTCTCCTTCTTTTAGCGCAGTCAAGCGCTTAAGCTTTTCGAGCTGTGTTGCATGCTTTCGCTTCAGAGCCTCTATTTCAGCCGTCACATCTGCTACTCTTTTGTTGACTGCCTCGGTAAACTCGTTCATTTTGTTGGAGTCTAGCTGTACGGCCCCACTGTTAAGTTCAGATTCCTCATCAGGATGCGAAGCATTGGTTGGGGCGCTTAAATATCCTTTTGTAAGAGATTCCAACTCCCCCTTTCGACCAAGTCCTAGATCAACAGGTAAGATTTGGCTAATATTGTAAGGTGAGTCAAAGAGTTCTTCCATCCACTCGTGGTTATGGCGATATCTTAGTCGGCTAATCTCTCGTTGTGTGATATTATCTAAGAAATCACCAGTAGAAACTTCTTCATCGTCCAAAGACAAGTCATGAAATGGTGCGGTCGACATTGGGACAGGTGCACCAGCGCGTGGTCGCGGTACCTTGGCTTGTGCATGAGGCATGGCTGCTGGCGGAGGAGGTTGGAAAAAGGGGGCCTGGGGTTGGCGGACCATGTATTGCTGGCCGTAGGGACCCGGCTGGCCGTAATGCTGCTGGCCAACTTGAGGTGGGAGATTGATGGTTGGCCAATTATTCCTATCATGTAGCATAAATTCTTTCCTCGCAAGCTGACCCTGGCTCTGCAGAAATCGGCGTTGAGCAAGAATGTTATGAACAGCCGGAGGCACAGCAATATGAGTTGCCGGAATTTGATCAATAGAAGGGGCTTTGCAGTAATGAATAATCCATAGAGAAGGATCGGGAGGTGGAAGGTTGGGATTGGGCGTCTTGGATGGTGTCAATCGGAACCGTCTTCGCGCGTGGGTGGCGACGGATTCATGGGGAGGGTGATATCCACATCGATGGAGCCACATTTCGACAGTCTATTCCTTTGTTAGCTAGAAAGTTGGCTGATAAGATTTGGTATCGATAGTCTGCCATACATATCCTCTCGACTCGCTGGTGTATACCTGTTCTGCATCCCCCCAGACGTAGCCATCGCTTGCAAAATTGGTCCCTAGGTGATTTAACGGCTGCCAGACAAGCATTACACTCCCATCCGGAGGCGCATCGAGAAACATCCAATGTACTGGCTGCAATTCCCGAACCACTTTAGGAGCAGACAAAAGATATTCGACAGCCGTTTCCATAGTGAGATTGGCCATAGCGGGATACCTGTAGCTTGACACAAGGTGCATATGTGGCAGCTAGAATAATACGCATTGTTATCATTCATGAATTGAGGTATATCAGAGCTTATAACACAGTATAGAAGTACTCACCAGCTGCTGTGGCACACCCCCAGCAGGGTCCTGCATCCTTGCGGCTGGATTTGCACGATTCATCCGCAGCGAGGTTCAAAATATGCAAAATTTGTAAGATATTATCGAAAAATATGGCCCGGGACGTATGGTTGAAACCCGCGGTCGTTGCGCATCTCTGTGTTTCTTCCGTGGATCAAATCGCGATTTGAGCCAAGACGGCCAGATTCAGGTCTCGACACGTGATCACGCCGCTAGGGGTATGATTAGTCACCCACTAACCTAACTACGCTTCCGCCAAGAACTAAAATTACTGAGGGGCATCCGCGTTGTAGGTGGGTATTTTGAAGATTCTATGGTTATCTTGATGCTCCTTCAGCCTAATTCACCATGGCTGTACAGGAAAATCCCAATCTCTTTGCACTCATTGACATGGGCAGGTATGTCCTGTCCATCAATGTGCAGATTCGGATAGTTACCAGACACTGGTTGGAAAGCTTACTGACCGCAAAGTAACAGCAATGGAATCCGGTTTTCCATATCAGATCTCTGTCCGCTAACCTCGAGGATACTACCAACTGTATTTCAAGACCGTGCGGCTATATCTCTCTATGACGCTCAATTTTTCCCGGGTAACACTGAGAGGCAGCCAATCTCAGTCTCAGTGCAAGAGAGCGTCTTCCGTCATCTAGTGCGATTCAAACAGACATGCAAGGACTTCGGTGTCCTGGAGAACAATATCGCCTTCCTAGCCACAGAAGCTACCAGAACGGCGATTAACTCAGCTGAATTCCTTTCTGCAATTCAGGACTGTACAGGATGGAATGTCTCCCTTCTTTCCAAGGAAGAAGAGGGAGAGCTTGGGGCCATGGGTATCGCAAGTAGTCTTGCATCAGTGAAAGGCTTAGTGATGGACCTTGGGGGAGGTAGCACACAAATTACGTGGATGATTGCTAGTGGTGGCTCGGTCCGGACGAGCACCTCGGGGCCAATCAGCTTCCCATACGGAGCAGCGGCGGTGACCAAACGGCTTGAAGAAGCTGAAGGAGATCAAAAGATCCCAGTGATTCAAAAACTACAGATCGAAATGATTAGGAATTTTGAGCGGGCGTTCCATGAACTGGATATCCCGGATGAATTGTGGGATCATGCCAAAACACATGGGGGATTTGATTTATTTTTAAGTGGCGGCGGGTTCAGAGGTTGGGGCTACTTGCTTTTAAGTCAGTCCAAAGTAAATCCTTACCCGGTTCCGATCATCAACGGATTTCGAGCAGATTGCTCGGATTTCAGCAACACCACCAACATCGCGTCCCTTGCGTTCTTGAAAGGCTCTACAGTCTTTGGAATTTCGAAACGGAGAGCTTCTCAAGTCCCAGCAGTTGCTTGTCTTGTCAACTCCCTTGTAACCGCTATACCCCATATCAAATCTATCCATTTCTGTCAGGGTGGTGTTCGTGAGGGTTATCTCTTCCGAAAATTACCCGCTGAAGTACGCGCCAAGGACCCTCTTGTCGTGGCCACAACACCATACTCCACCACCAGCAGCGGTAAACTCTCCCTGTTACTCAAAAATGCCCTCCCCGGTGGCTCATTAGAGGTTGAAGGTACATGCATTCCTTCATCCTTCACGGGATACCTTCTTCAGGCGTTTACGAATTTCATGTTCGTACATTCCTCCGTCTCCAAAGAATCTCGCGCTGCTGTTGCACTCCATAGTACTATTTCAGGCGTTCTTGCCGCAACGCATGGTATCTCCCACGTCGATCGTACCTTGCTTGCGCTTCTTTTGTACTATCGTTGGCAGGGCGACCTTTGCCCTCCAGACGAGTCCTTTCTACACCGCCTCCAGCAGATCATTTCTGCAGAAGAGGCGTGGTGGTGTCAGTATATTGGAAGAGTAGCCGCCTTTGTGGGCGAAATTTATCCAAGTGGAATAATCACAGAGGCTACTCCCCGAGTCTCCTTTTCTACTGGATGGTCTCCAGGGAAAAAGGGCCGCCCTATAGTATCTCTAAGCATTAAAATTCCTGACCAGCAAAATCCACCTTGTAATGATGCCGATTGGCTGACTGATGAAGTCTCTCGTATCACCAAGGTTGGAAAGAAAAAGAACTGGGCCATAATGGAGAGAGCAGGCGAGAGATGGGGATTGAAAGTGGACATCTTGATTTTGCAACACGGACAATGAAAGCGTTAGCTGCAAATGCCTACAGCGAAGGTACGGAGCAGCAATAAGAAATACTGGAAATAGTGGGCTTGATATTAAGTATTAGTTCTGCTATTTCTGATACGACAACAGGAAATCAATGATATAAGAAAACAAGCTATATCGCCGCGGAGTGGGGAGTGTGTCAAGTACTAAATTATAAAACAAGTACCAAAACCTTGCCCTGCAATGAATTGTCTTAGAAAGGCGCTTAAATCCGCCAGGCCCGTGCGCATGCGGCTTCATTCGTTAGTACGGGGGAAGGCTTGCACGATTCTCGGTGCCACGAGGACCCTTAGCTTGAACCTGTTGAGGGTTGAGCTGGACAGCCTCTTGTCTCTCGTCAACCGGGTCCAGCTCTGCAGTCGAGTGCAGCGGCGTGCTAGGGGGACTGGAAGCCATTAATTGGTGCTCATCCATAGGGCAGCGCGCACGAATACGAGGGAATGCATTGTCCTCTTTTGAATCATCATCTGAAAAAGATGGTTGACTAGAAAGCAGTCGTCCATCCAATGGATGGGATTCTCTGCAGGGGTTGGCGTCGTCAGCCTCACTGTCATATAGACTCAGACGACTGAGATCACCCTTGGCCTTAGCCTTACCCTTACCAGGCGTGCTGTCTACATCCAGAAGGCCATATGACTTGTCATGATCATCACCGTGATGATCTTCTGCAACTTTCTGGATGCTTTGCGATAACTGGTCGTACGCGGGCGGGCCTGCAGGGCCACATGAGCTCCCCGCCAGATCTTCATTACCGGAGACGGACGAGCTCTCAAGCTTGACCCATTTTTCCATGCATTTATCGCAGATGCCTTTCACATCATTAGTTAGAGTTTTTGGGGTGCCGTCAAAGGGATCTCGCTCAATGTCGGTCTGGGATTCTTCGCCGTCATGGCCACACTCCCATCTGTCCTTTGACAGGTAGTACTCAATTGGCTTCGATGCAACGGGCACCGGGGCGCCAAACTCGGGATTTTCAGCAACCAGACGATCGAAGTCTTGCCACTCTGCGTCGACGGGCCTTGGAGTTGGTGCGCGGAGTTCAGGGTTGGCTTCCAAGGCCTCCTGTAGCTCGCGTAGGATAGACTCGTCCTCCTCCGTAGCGTGCTGTTCTGCAGGGGCTGTAGTAGCTGGCGAAATGTCAATGTTGGCCATATTTCTTCTGCAATGAGGTCTTTCTTCGTTAGCTGCAATATCAATGTGTTGACGGCTCAGCAGCCACAGACGCCGTTCTTGTAGCATTTATGTGCAATGGGTATGGCGAGTGATTGAGGGCCGGCTCGGCCAGTGACTGCACAAATGAATCCATGGCCATTAGCAATTCACGGCCATAGCCTCAGGACACTCACTGATTCTGCTCACCGTACCAGCCTCGTCCTCCGCCGTTTGCTCGTAGATAATAGACTGCGGGACTTTCGTGCCCCGCCGCCACAAAGCGCTGCCCCCCTCCTTTTGGCGAGGATCCCGGTCGGCAACCAACAAGTTAGTTTTAACTAAGCTATAAAGGTGGCCACACCCCTCCCCCCACCTCAATCCTTCCTCTTCTTTTCTCTCTTCTGTCTCTCGCACAACCTCCCACTGCAACCTCTTCGACGTCTTATCTCAAACCAACGAACCACTCTACAGGTAATAAATACTTAGCCGGTCCTCACTGCGGCCGGCTGCTTTTCCCAAAATTACTCTCCTTTCATCTCTTGGCGACAGCTCTGACATGTGCATAGTTCAAAATACTCCACTTGGTACATTATTGAATTCTCCCGCAAAGATGGACGCTGACATGGTCCCTGCTGCTGGACTTTATATCCGCTGTGGTCAAGGTATCTCAAGTAAAAAGTCTTGTGCATGAGCCGGTGGCCGATCCTCATCCTGGCTCGGCTGTGTCTCCACCTCTTATGTTTTAAACATAGAGAGAGACTTAACCGCTCAGGCTCTGCGGATTAGTCTGAAA